GACCACATATGTGTCTCCATTGGGCGTTGTTTAAAGTATTGTAAAATGCATCTTGCAGCTCACATTTCTGCAGGCATACTTTTAAGAGGAAAGAAAGAAGGAAAGAAAGAAGGAAGGAAAGAGAGAAAAGAAGGAGAAGGACAGGGTTGAGACTTGAGAGAGATGGATGTTCCACCCCCATGAGATTTGCACATTGCAGACAGGAAGAATAAGCAGATTATGAATCCATAATGCGTACACGCTCATGTCCACCCTGAGGAAGACAGGGAGCATTCACACAAACAGCAATTTATACCTAATTTGTATAAAGAAGTGTCTAAACAAAGATCAGTGTAAGGCGAAAGAGGCATACACATGGGATAGGAAAACTCACACTTGTGTCCATATCAGCTGATGTCCCGAGCATTGCTTAACCATACAACATTAGCATTGGTGCACTTGGTCGATTATATATGTGTGCACTCTCGAGAAGCCCGCCTATAATAGTTTTCAGTTATTATCATGTTCACATCTAGGTGATGGACCCTAATTTTTTATTGGGTTTTCTTTAGAAATTATGTTCAACACTACGTTTTGATAATCAGTGTTTGTTTGCATGACATTACTTAAGCCGATATTTGCAAAAGAAAAAAATTACTTATAGCTACACGGTTTAGCTACGGTATACAATGAATTTTTAAAGTCTGAAGGGGGGGGGGTATACCAACAGCAAAGGAAGATATGCTTTGAAGCATTATGCCCTTTTCATTTCCTGTCTATTCTTGAAGGATGGGGTTAGAGAAAAGGGGATCCATCTGCCCAACTCTCAGAGGAGCTAGAGCCTTTCAAAAGGATCAGGATAGAAATTTTACATTCATCAATATGATGACACCTGTGTCATGCAGACCGAGAAGATATATGGAAAACACCCTCCTCCTATATATGCAAGACCATATGCTGCTGCTTAAAATGGTCCCTCTGCCCCCCCCCCCCCTTTCATCCTCCTCAATCAAACACATACAAGCCTTTGATCTTTCATATAAAACAAAAATCTGCTATTTGTGATGGTCAACACCCCCCCCCCCCCCCCCACCCCCCTCCCCACATGCGAAGAGTCTCAGAAGTTGTTCGGAAAAGAAATCATGAACATGTAGCAAGCCTAAAGATTCTAAGGATCATTTTCTAAGGCCTGCCAGATAACAGTTTCAATTCTCAAGTGCCTGTGTGAGGAGACTAGCACAACTTCACCTCAGATGACATTTGATTAGTCTACTTATTCAGACAACATTCACATCAGCTCTTACAAGATTGGAAGATAATGAATATCCCTCTAATATCTGCCAGGGTTTTATCCTAAATCCTTCAACACACATGTAATGCATACAATAGGAGTTTGTTTTTGTCGGGGTATCAAATATATCGCATTTAGCACTTGTATCCAGATGGTTTTGGGATGAAAATAGAAGGCTGTGAATCACGAGCCAAAACTTTGACATGGTATAAATCCGGATGGCCTATGTAAATGCCTTGTGTGTGTGGGTATACATTGTATTAGAGTGTAATTTGATTAACCGAATTGGCCACACCTTTACACATGCGTGTGACAGCGTAAGGTCACACGTGCATGGTCAACACCGACTCCTGCACTCGAAACAGGAAATCTCACTTTTGAGATCAATAATGGAAAAGTATGCAGCCTGCATGTAAAGCACTGTACCATACTGTCAATCAGCCCAGTATGACATGTACAGGTGGCGTATCATATGATTTTGTCCTTTGTTCTTTGATTTCAGGATCAAAATCGTAAATGATGTTGGATTATGATTTGCCAGAATTATGTAGATCATCAAAGACAGTTTGACCAGTATGAATTTAAACTATGTACTAACCAAAGGTTCTAATGAACCCCCTTTTAATCACATCATGAGACGGGACTATTGGAACATCGATCAACATTACATTTAAAACATAAGAATAAGAAGTTGATAATTTGTAATATGTGTACTACCAAAATAAATAGTTAAAATTAAAATTAAAGAATAGTAATGTTTGTTTAGGATAGTGAATGATTACTTCAGACAGTTTTTCCCAGAATGGAGAAACTATTGTAAAATTGCAAAAGAAATGTATAAGAGTTTCATCAGATTTAAATTTAAACTGCTTCATGACAAGAGTAGACGTCCCAACCACGTGTAAGACTGTACATAAAAATCAATGTACCTCACTGGCTGCATCCGTACTACAAATAGATTTGCCTGGTTAGGGGGGGATATACATGTAGGACAGTCGTGATTTAATACTGGAAGCCCCATTATCACCTTACGGGTCTTTCGTTCCGCAGCCAAGGCTCTCTCAACAAATCAACAACAGTTCACTCTAAATGTCAACACAATTGGAGCGCAACAGACATCAGTATTCAACGTATAGCCTTGAAACCCACATAGCCGACAGCCAGACCTACAGAACAAGCCAAATAAATGCGAGGACAAAGATGGAACGTTATTACATCTTTGGGGCTGGCTGCTCTACCCCCCCCCCCTGAAACTCACCGATACAGCACCTACAGTTGTACCTAGAATATCATTATTCATGGGTACGCTTCATAGGCAACTCAGGTATGGCTATTTCATGTGTGATGTACATTGGATCTACGTACATGTGGATCGAGGATGCGGTATTGATATCAAAATGCCATCATAACTTTTTGAGAAAAAATGCATTTCCGCACACATCCTGTGTTCATCAGTTCCTTCTTCCTAATCATATTTCCCTTCCTTTCACCTTATCGATTAAAGGAACTGAAGAAACGCTGACAATTTCATGGCTATCTTGTAGGCTGCCTGTCTACAGTGGTCACGTGAATTCCATTTAAATTTCCTCCCAAGAATGGCATGATATGATCTAGGGCTTGTACAGAAAGGACTCCTTCTGAACTCGTCCAGGGACCACTTGATTTGTTTCCAAGGCATCAGGGTTCCATATAAAGTACATGTAAGTAAAGGATTTTTAGAGAGAGGGAGGTGGGGGGGGGGGGGGGGTTCCCAATTGATTTCAATGGTATGAATATACATTTTGATTTTTGAGAATAAAGTTTACAAGAAATTTTAGAATATTTTTCAAGCTTTTGCAATTACATTATACATATTAAATATGGTACAATAATAACAAAAACGGTATGTGGTAAAAATCAGTCTTCACACTGTTTTTAGAGACGACCTGTCAGTATTTCTTTGTGTGGCCTACGAGGCAAGACTGATTTGACTACACCACTACATGTACATGTTGCCTTGTACATTAGGTATCAATGATTTTTTAGGGATCTCCTGAGAGAGTTGTAAAATACTGGGCAATGAAAGGTATTTAATGAAATATGTATGTTCCTCCCTGTAGTGGCTACTGCACTGAATACCAAAAGAATGAATTCAGGTTTGTACCTTTTTGTGATTTAGTTTAATGTGCACCAGTTACCTACATGTATGTCAGCATATCAATCTGGGCTACCTAATGAACCTTACAATGTAAATGATGCAAATCGCAATGTACGTGTAAGGCTTCACAAGTATATCCCAACGCTGCATAAAACAGAACATGTATCTCATAGGTGTCCCATAAATCATCTGACGCACAGGGATCTGGCCAACATGCCAGTTACCATGGCAACAGATAAGAAGCTGACTTTAAACAGAAGTGCAGGTCATCAGGGAGTCTCATAGATGGAAGACTCTGCTAAAGCTCACAGCTTTTAAATAGCCAGGAGGTTTTGATGGGATGGTTGATAAACCACAGCCGAAATGAATGAGTGGGAATCCGTGCCTCCCTCCGCCTGCCTGCCTGCCTATTCCATTTCCCAATGGCTTTTCCCTTTAGGGGCTGGGTACATGTACATGTTTTCAGCAAAAAATCAAGTCGGGTTGCGCTCAGAAGCGATATTGAAATGTCTCACAAGCCCTGCGGAGACGACGAAGGAAAGAACCTCCCTGCCGAGATGTTATTACAATCTGTGTTCACTAAACACAACAGCAGCAGCAGTGATTATCTGCAACTTTACACAACCCGGCTAGCTGATCTGGAAAATTGGCATCTGTTTTTTTAGGCAAATTATTGAAGTTGAAGAGGGATCTCTCGTACAACACATTTTCATGTCGCCGGTCTATGCAAACTAAATATAAGGCTTGTAGTATCTATGCATGATGATAACTAAAAACAAACTGTTAATGTGCACAGTATGAGAGTACAAACAAAGTGACATACCATGATACCAGTATAATATGAAGCCAACAATCATTGCATTTGATGACCATTTAATCATTAAACATACACTTGAATTTAGCGGTAAATGATATGGATTGTAGGTTCTTTCAGTATAGGCCTCTTAGTTTCAGTTTGAAATCATTATATTCGGCTCTAAAAGAAAGCAAGGTAAAATTACATTTACATACAATGTTACATACTGCAGATGTACAGTATATCCAAAATGGCCACCAAGCTGTCTATAGTGGCCACCTGTCTATAAACTTAAAGACCATTTTTGCTGTTTCTTTTCGGTGGTCACTACAGACGGATTTTACTGTAGTAATATTGGATGTAAAAATACACAAAGTCCCTAGAGATGAGTGCATGCTGTGTATGCACATCAGGAGTAGGTTGATCTTAATAAACATGTACATGTGTTTGTAGATACAGGTAAGAGTTGAAGGAATAGGTAATGTACATGTAAATAACATACATGTATGCCTAAGGTACTCCATCATAGCGCCCGGCTGTCACTGCACATTACTGAGTGACATTACTGAGAGCCGTGGGTTACAGAGGAGTCAAGAGCACTCCAGAATATGGCAGTGCATAGCGTGAGCTCCAATCCTGAATACATTATTCACAAAGTGACCTCTTATCATCTATATTTCCAATTCGCTATCATGCCTGTGGTTGCTGGAGACGGGGGAGAGTGACGGACAGAGAACAGGAGTGACAGACAGAGAACAGGAGTAATGGACAGAGAGCAGGAGCAACGTGGAGAACGAGAGGGAGAGCATATGGTAGGGTAGGGTCGACGACGAGTGGAGGTTGTAGCTCGGAGGGCAAATGGAGCAGAGGCTATTTAAGGGTTGAAAACCTCATAGGGCAATTAGCATGGCAAGCAATAATAACCCACTGGCAACCAAGAAGCGATTGGAGGGGAGAGAGATAGAGAGAGATAGAGAGAGATAGAGAGAGGGAGAGGGAGAGCCAAGGGATGGGGCATAGTTGAAGGATGATTTGTGCACGATAGCATTTGATGTGCTGGTTAACCATCTAACCTTTTTTTTTTATATAAACATGTAGGCAACATTATCTTCTACACAGTGAAGTAAAAGAATTTGACTACCATCTCCTGCACCCCCCCCCCCTCCCCCTCCCCAAAAAAATCTCTTTTCTTCAATTTAGTCAAAATAAACTTGACATGCTAAACAAGGTAATGGAATAAAAAACGATGCACATCTACAACTTTGGTATGCTGTTTCATTGGAGTATCTTGCTGTGCATAAACAAGAATACCAGCATATTTTTGTGCCTCCCATATCCAGCAAACCAGTACACACTGATTTTGGATTTATGCAAGTAAAGATATGAATTGATATTGAGAAGGAAGGCATGATGCACACAGTGGCCATCAATCTTGTTCTCAAGCGATGTCATGGGTTGTGTTTCTAAGAAGCCGTGTCATCGCTCCTCCCTGGCTATCCCGTCTCAGCGGAAATGCGAATTCATGCTCCGTCAACCATTTTCACCCACTGGTTGCTAGTCTTGAGTTACAAGCAGGAGGTTTGGTATGTTATATCGGCATGTGTTTGTTCACATACAGGGGTGGGAGAGGAAGGGGGAAGGGAGGGGGCATCTCTCAATATTCTCAAACAAGTAGCCCCCCCCCCCCCCCCCCCTCTTAACAAAAAATGTTCTCACCATTTTCAGAAGAGTTAAAATCTCTCAAAAATCTCGGACAAGCAACGTTTTATGGCAAGTTTGGAAAGTGAGAGGGGACAATGCCCCTGCCCCCCCCCCCCCTCCCTTGAAGTGCCCCTGCCCCATGTGTATTCTTCCTATAACAGCATGCCTGGTGGTATAGGAATTTTCTGGTGCAGATACATTAACATTTAATATTGTAGGTACAGTTTATACTGTATGCGTATTTGTCATCCTAGATCATATCATGTGATGTGATTTGTATTTGGTAATCTTTTTTTGTTGTTGGTCATAGTCCTTGAAGCTCAAATTAATATTCACTCAATAATTATCAAATAGATCACAGTTGCATCAAAGCATCCTTTGCCATTTTGAGTACCAGTAAACATATTCCATATATGCATTCATGGGGGAAATTAAAGTGTGCATTTAATCTATGATTCATTAGCGCATGAGTGGCATGCCTCATACAAGGACCTTGAAAGCTGTACAGTGTATGGTAGATGTACATAAGGTAGGCTATGACTGTAAGCACTCTGCTCAATCAACTGTTTCTACTAATCAACTGTTAATTAAAACAATACAGACCTACTCTGCAAATAGCTTGATGAAGATGAAGTTGTAGTAGCAGAGTAGGAGACTACATGTACATATATTTTGACTAGATATACACGATTATAGAGTTATGAGATCCACATCTTCATTCCTACATTTAACAAGTCCTGCCCTCTTGAATTCTACAGCCTACAGGTCTTAAATATATTATAAAAGAAATGATACCATCCAAATGTACACGAGACATGTACCGGTAGGCCTATAAAGTCGACACTGTGTTTTAAAAGGAGATCTAGACGATATTAACTTCCTGTCAATCCTGTGTAATCATTAATTATCATACATTGCAAGGGACTTTGTCAGTGTATTTGACTTCAGAAATTCCTATGCATGAGTTGTGCGTTGCTGTGTAACACGAATGACGACATTTCATTTAAAGGGCCACATCAAACACATGTACATGTATACGATGAGGATATTTAATGGTAATTGTTCTTGACAAAGAAAAGAAAAGAAAAAAACTGTTAGATTGTACATCATAGGCCTACAATGTACATATAGAATTCAATCCAGTCTACAGTACCCAAATGTTTGCTTTGATTATGAAGACAGAGCCTACCGGTACTTATCTTTCGTTGAAGTGGTTGCCAACTTCCCATCATAATACGTGCATCCTAGACCGTGCTCTTGTCTATACATTGTTTTATATTCTATAGAATCCTGCATATACATTACATGTATACACATTGTACAAAGACAATGGTCGTCCACATCCTCATCTAGCCTTTTGATACCACAACAAGTACACAAATGAGTGGAAGTGAAAGTGAAAAAATGAGAGAGAGAGAGAGAGAGAGAGAGAGAGAGAGAGTCTGATTAGCAGGAAATTTTTTTGCCATGAACTACAATTCCAATAATTGACCTTCAATGGCGATCTTTCCCTCCGCCAGAAGTATTATCAACTATGACAATGCATTCATCCTAAATATAAAATGCATGTTGTAAATGTCATGCACTCCGTATACACTTTACGATACCAGTATTTCCTAATTGGGCTCCGGAGGGGGGTGGACACAAGAAAATTGTCTGCGCAATCAGGCTACTGTATGTGCGTGTAAAAGGTCGCTTTAACTCATAGGACAGCGAAAGTGTCTGCGTGGGCTCTATGCACATTAGGGGTACCAATTTTCTTTTCATTAGGCACATTAGCAAGCACCAACTGCAGTGCAGAATACATGGGCAATCACTGTTGCAACATCGCGTTCGGTATGTACCCTGCAGCTAGTGATATTGTACATGTAGTGAACTGATGAATATTAAAATACAAGAGTATGAGCTTCCACACATGTATTGTATCTTACATCTACGTAATGTCTACTTTTCATACAGTATACATTACGTAAACACAACATGCATGGAGGTACTGAATTTCTATATTTAAAAAAAAAAATATTCTCACCTTTCTGTAGGAATTAAATTTTCATAGTAAAAAATACATTCCAAGTCTTCAACTTTACATTTTCCTCTTGAAAAAGCACACTCTACATGCATGTGTAGGGGTGTATATTGTTTATTATACAATATGCAGAGATTGTTTTTGTTTTTGAATCCATTATACACAGATCTTTCCTGAAGGATATTATAAATTTTCCATCTCATGCTTTAATAATCTACAAGCCTTTTTGTACAGTCATGATGAGATTAAGGATTCCGAGAAAAAATCGATATAAAATGAAGCGTTTAACAGCAGTTCTCTTTGTATACTTAATTGGACCAACTTGTACATGTACATGGAAATTGCACTCAATCATGTATCACTATCACTATCTTTTTCTGAGTACATTAACCCTACATCTACAGGAGCCGGATGTTTCCTGTATGCATTGTGTAGGAATGAGAGGGTTCAGTAGTCAGCGGGTAAACAGATCCTGCAACTAAGGATGAACTGAGAAAGATGTCATCGACATTGATTCAAATTTGGTTCCTGAAATCGTTCTGGCTTGCAAAATTCAATCTTCCGCTCACGGTCGATTCGCTACTTTGCCGAAAGTGGAAGCGATTCGACGAACCCTTTGAATAAATAACTCAAGAATGGAGGAATTTCGCTTTTCCTCTAGATCGATCCTCATTCTATAATACAAGCACAACTGCACAAGTATATGAATAAGACCCCAAAGTCTTACAAAACTGTCTTCAGTGCAAGTTCGTGAACATCTTATTGTAATAGTGTTCAGACCCATCTATACATGAAACTACGATGTACACTACTCCAAATAGAGTCTAGCCCTGTTCTACAAACAAAAAGTTTTCCTGTACAGAATGATAATCCAGGAAATTAGTTATAAATTACATATTAGTCTGAAACTTAGATGAACTAATCAAAACAAAATACAAATACAATATACAAAATACCACCAAAAAACCCCAAAAATTGTGACCATTTCCAAAAGGCAAAAAGCAATAGTGACAAAAGTGTTCAGGATTAAACACGCTAACAACGTCGCACACACACTTCTATCTCAAAGGCATTATTAGCATTCATCTACTAGTATAGCATACTACATGTACATTTAATTTCCTTTTTTCATCAGAAACTCTTTTGACTTACTGAGAAGATACATTATTCAGACCCTCTGATAACCTCTGATAACTATCAGAGAATATTTAACTGGCTAATACTGGCATAATGAGGTTACATATTCAAAAAGTTATCATCCCTAAACAAGAAACTGTTTTCAATCCTTTTATCCCTTTGTTTAATTCCATTCTTTTTATCCCTTTGTTTATTTCCATTCTAATGCCATGGAATTGCACCATAGCTACATGTAAATGTTGTAATGCACCCTGTATCAAAACATTTACAATACATTTTTGCATGTACTGTAACTCTACATGTAAAAATACCAGCTTTTTATTATTAACCGTTAACTGGAAAATGTCAACATATTTTTTAATGAAGTCATAAAAGTAATATGGCAGTAAATGTTTGTCAAAATTTGGTCCTCAGTCTTAAACGTTTGGAGCTGTGAGTGTGGAAAATAAATAATAAAAAATAATAAATCATATTGCTATTTAATTTTTTTTTTAAATACCAATATCTTATTTTGTTATTAAACTTATGTTGCTACCCTCTGGACACTTCTCCCTCAACATGCATTGCAATGTAGAATTCAAGTAATGCACTTAAAACATGTTTCACATAAAAATAATACTAATGTATTTATAATTGAAATAATGATGCAAATAAGAAGCAAATGTACAGATAAATATGCCAGAGTTCAAGCAAAAACCCTTCTACACTGAGGGAAAGTATACTGGGATGGGGCCAAAAAGTATTGAAGCAATGCTGTCCCCAAAAATCAATGCTACACAACTTTCAGATATACGCATGTATTACATGTAGGCCATCTCACACAAAGAAGATTTTCAGAAACATGTGACTGTCTGTAGTGTCAGCCAATGTGTTTGGGTAAGAATTCAATCAACATATTAATATGAGTGCACATGTGCTGTGCACGACATGTTGAAAAAGTTTGTGCCAAACACCACAATATTCATGTTTGTGTGAACAGGCCCAATATGAGCAGCCCATGAATATGATATATATTGTACGAACAAGGGAAATTCCAGGTTATTTACAGATCTTACAAGGAGTAGGATGAGGAGGAGGAGGAGGAGAACACACACTAAGTGAGGTGGCTCCTAACTGTCTGCTTGCCTGCCTGAGCCATGCGACGGTGATCATGATGCTGTTAGACTGGGTAGCTCCTGAGTGATGAAGTTCCTGAGGCGCTCCAGGTACTGGCCAAAGAGCTCCACGTCGTTGTGGCCGGCTCCTTCCACCCACAGGGGTTCGACGGTGTGCTGGCACCGCTCGTAGATGGCCAGGCCGTGGGAGAAGTCGATGACCTCGTCCTCGGTCCCGTGGATGACCAAGACGGGGGATGCCACCTTGGAACATTTGTCAATGCTGCAGATGGGAGATGGAAAGAGCAAGAGGGGAGACAAAGAGAAAAGGGGAGAGAAGGGGAGAGTGGGAAGAGAGGTGGTGGAGAGAGGAGAAAGAGTAGAGAGACAGGGAGAAAATAGATAGACCGAAAGGGAGAGAGAGAGAGAGAGAGAGAGACTGATTAATCATGTGCCATATTGATGAGTTGTGAAGTACATGAGCAGTGGAACATTTATAGAATACATACTGTTATAACAAAATCTTGTATTAAACTTGAGGTACATGTACAGTATGTCAGTAATTTTCCTGTTCCAAAAGAGATTGTTATAATAAGTTTCCATATTTCCACTGTATTGTACGTTTCTTTAATCTTCATCATCTTGATATACATGCATAGCATTATAGTTCCTTAACGAGTTGAATTAATGGCTTCCTTATTCTTCATCATGCTTTTTGTTCCTTGGTTGATGTTCCATGAACGTTCAATCGTACAAGTAGGGGCAAATGTGATTGTAACGTTGAGATGTATTTTTAACAGAAGCTATGTAGGTTAATTGATCTTGGCAGGCCTAGTGCTGCAGAGCAATCAAATTTGCATTTCATTAAACCCTGCCATTACAAATTTGATTACACATGCTGTAATATCTAACCAAGGAGCTCTGAATAGATGTAACAGACTTCAGCTACATTTACACATGTAGGTTCACACAGGAATATGTAACCTTTAAAGAGAAGGTTGAGTTCCGGAAGGAGGTGAAAAATAGTTTTTGAGCATTATCATTGTATCTAATATGCAAGTGTGGAAGAACATCAGATAAAAAATGTTCCCTAAAAAGCATGGCTCTTCAAATACCTTAATATTCTAAATATGGCATGTAACATCATAAAAATCGGGACAGATTTTTATGCCACAAGTTTGTATACCGTAGTCCCAAACATCTTTCTGTGTACAGCGCTTGTAACTTTACCAAAACTGGGCCAAATTTCTAACATCAATTTGATGATTCCAGAACCTTGCAGTACACACCAAAACTTAAACATGCTAGATGATCAACCTTTTTTCATCGATTCCACACTGTTTCTTTCACAATGCAATTGTATGACCAGAACTCAACTGTATCTTTGACTTTAGCTCGTGGTTTTAAGTTACATTGTATCCTGTAGCTAAGGACTGTGCCAATGCACTCCAAGAATCTAGCTCATTCGAAAACTTTCCTCAATCTTTGAATGAAACCATGGGCAACACAAAAAACTTAAAGCAATAGGGAGTCTTTGCTCAAAATTATGCGCTGTGCAGACGCATTCAACTTCAAGGTCTTCCTAGCCAGCAGTTACTGTACGTACAACTGCTTGCTTGACTTGAATTTAATTTTAAAAACAATGGCTATGTTTTCCAAGCATTTTTAATGGGCATTAGCTTAATTTTGAAGGTGGCATAATAAATGGAATGAAAAAAGAAAAAAGGAAATAAGTGAAAATGAAAATTCAAAACAGAGAAAGAAGAAAGTTACTTATGTACAACATGTACATGTATACCTAAGTATGTCATCCAAATCATTTGGATCAATAACACTGATACGGTAGGTATGAACACAGTGGTGAAACATTTCCAAAAAAAGTCTGTGTCATGTTAGTATTTACCCTATATTATAATGATCTTTTTGCCATTTTGCCTGAAATTGTATGCTCTTTCATCATGCATTTAATAAGCCAGACACTTCATTTATTAGCATTCAAATTTTTATGACATTAAACCCTTTGCCATGTGAATTTTTTCATGGGTTGTACTGTATGGATCTACATGTTCATGTACAGTACTGGTACTGTATATCAAAACATTAACAAGATGACTAGCAATCGAGAACAAAAGAACAAAAGCTCGAAAGAGATACATGTAGTCATGTACACATGTACTCTTGACATGACATTTTCTAATATGCTCTTTCAGATTAACGCACAATTCAACCACTTTCACATGTCCTATCAATCTTAACTTCACAAGTTCACAGGACATTTACAATCCACTTGTACATGTCGAAATGAAAGTGGTACTTTCGATTTACATTTGATTTAACTTTATTTAACTTTACATGTATGTACCGTACATGTGTGTCTGAGACTGTCTAAAAAATATTTTTCTGTTCATGAGAGCTCCTTCAGTACTTGGTCTTGTTTCGGTGTGATATTGGTACTCACAATGATATTTAAGTTTTGGGGGTTTTTTTACCAGATTTTTTTCTTCAATTTACCAGAGCCCTGTTAGAGTTTACCAGGGCTACAGGTACATGAACATTATGTAAATTGTTCACCGCTCCCATGTAAAAAGAATTCGCTGGTCTGATAACTCATTCCCGACAATTGATTACTGTACATGTACATGTACATGTACTGTATGAGCTGCATATCGTTTAATTAAGGAATAATGAATGTTGTAAGGCAATATAGTGAATATACAGTAAATACTTGTAGTGCACATGTAGGCGCATTAGTTTGCCGGTATAAACCCTAGTCAGTCATTATGCGTAACAGTGTCTGCAAATTGAGACTACACGTACAATATCAACAAGAAACGGACAGAGATCGAGGCTCTGCTCACGGCTTTAGGTATTGTGGTAAAGCGTCAACTTAAATAAAGAGTCTATTTTTGCAGACTACAGTGTATATCATGCTCATCATCGAGAGTGTGGAAAAGTGTTGGTGAAGGATTTCACAATTTTCATTATCTCCTTGCAATATACCCTGGGAAAATGGGTCGACATTTGTAAAACAAAGCTGAATCTGTGACAAAATCAATTACCGGTATTCTCAAAGTAGATGAGCGTACATGTATTTTAGAGACGGTCAAATCTCTATGGATTTCACTCTACAGTGTATGATATCACACTGCAAAAAAATTAATTGGATTTAATGCAAAAGCCTTATTGTAAAACATAGCCTCCCTTTTATACATGTACAGTACTGTACACCCATCCACTTCTTCAAGACAAAGCCATAGCTACCTGTACATGTGGAATGGCACATGGGCGAAAATGTACCTTTAATTTTTTTTTTGTTCTAGTCATAAGTCAAAACACATGTAATATCTTTGATGACATTTAACATCAAGTAACACAAAAGCAATACAAAACTAAAAACAACAAATTATGTTCACACCTGTTATGTTCAAATATTTGTTGATAATATCGAGACCTATGGATAGTGTTCTGTTACAGTAACTGTATCGAGGTGAATTTATTCGGGATTATGAAATTTAATTATTTATCACTTCTGGGATTTTCACAGGCACATGTTATGAGTAGGCTAATGTAGACGTCAAACTTTTGGGCTTCTGGTACATAAAATCATCTTGTGTGAAGCAGCACAAATGGGATATATTTTTTGTGTTTCATTACTAAACACGTAGGAATCAAGCACTAGACTATGTTCAAATCATGCAGTAATCAAAAAGAGAAAAACCAGGGGTGATAGTGAGCACTAAAAAAAAAATAGAGTTTTTGTTTTCTCCCTCAGCCACGCCCCCTTGAGTAAAAAAAAAAAAAAAAGGATTCGCGGGGGGAAAATGGCATCTAACAACATTCCCCCCTTACGAGTAAGAAAATTGGGGAAAAAAATAGGGAAGAATAGATAAAATAAGAGGGAAATTGGAAAAATCAGGATAAAAAAGGGAAGAAAAAAAAATTGGTAAAAAAAAAAAGAAAATCTGTTTATCTGTTTGTTTGTTGATTTTTTTTCTTCTTCTTCTTTTTAAAAAAAAACCAGTTTGAGGGTAGAGTCAGAGAGTAGAGACAATTTGATACATGTACTTGTACATGTATAGTGTATATTGTCCAATCAGTATCCCCTCAAATATCTGGGGATGGTTATTCAGGGGGGGGGGGGGGTATAACCATGGACTTACGTAAGTCCATGGTCTAACGTCATTTGAAATTTACAAGTGCCTTGTCAAGTTGTCCTGTTCTTCAAGAATTAATCCCCAATTGGATAGGAGACAGTCTGACCTTGAATTAACCTTCATAACCTTTGAATCACCACCGTTCAGTGTCTAGGCCACAGCTACCTGGTGTTGCTTCATGTACTGTAGTTGCTACTCTGCAACACAGAATTCATATATGTGTGTTCAGATCTCCAGGATATGACTAGTCACCAAGTTCTTTATCAATGTTTAGTGTACATTTATATTGGAAAGGCCTTTTTAGGCTTGTATAATTAAGTACATTTAATACTGTATGTGTACCAGAAAAGTCTATAATGCAAAAATTTGAGTACAGTGTATATTGTAGTGCCTCAAAAACTTGAAACTTTGACACACAAAATTTTGCTCAGTGTCGAGGTTCATGGAAAGTTTAATGCCATGAGCCCATTAAATAACCTAATCAAAGCTTACACAGCCATTGCCGTATCGAGGGGGAGTGTTTGGGGTGTTCAAACACCCCCCTCCCCCCCTGGCAAAAGGGGGTGTTTTAGAATTTTAAAGACACTCTTTACATGTATCTGTTTTGTTTTGTTCAAGGGGGGGGGGGGGGGGAGTGGTCAGGTGGATGTTGAGGGTAAAAAAGGAGTGTTCACTCCCCCCCCCCCCCCCCCCCATCTGAATAAATAGATGTCCTATAGGAACTCAGTGTTATATTGCTCTGGTTCATAACATTACGAGCCGGGCAATACATGTATAACACTGAGTTCCTACAGGACATCTATTTATTCAGATGGTCATATCTCAGCCAATACTTAATATATTTAATTGGTTTTCGACATTCGGACATTTTTTTTTAATTTTGATGCTCTTTTGGAAAGAAAAGAAAGAAGAAAAAATTGAGAAATTAGATTTATACAAATAGATTTATATGAAGCCACAGCTTCGGTACTCTATGTGGTAGTACTTGGTACTTGGTAGGATTCCTCCAAAAGATGCTGTAATGGTGTTTAGGTGTGTTGTCATGTGCGGTACAGTCTGAAAGTTTGTTTCATATAGCATACAAGTACAATGTTCTGTACATATACTGTACCTTGTACCACTACCAGTATGAATCTCACTACTCCATTAAGTTCATGCAATGTATGATTCATATCACCACAGCTATTGAATCACTTCCATCCCTCTTTTTTAACTGCTTGGGAAAATATGTGCTGCAAATTGGTCTTGCTAGTCAGACATGAACTACATGAACTACATGTACTAATGCAAGCTTCATTTAATGTGAAACAAATATTTATTATTTACTGTACTGTACATGTACATGCTTTTTCTGGGGTACTATGTACATTTAAAATGGTCTTGAGACTTGACTTTTCCTCCTGTACATGTATCTTCAAGTACATCATGCATTGCATACATTGTACACTGTAGCGTACATGTAAAATCTGTCTTGAGTCAGAAAGGTTAAATTCTTAAAATAGTCTCAAGATTTCAATCACTTTACTCAATAACTCAGCACTTTTCTTACATGTACAACATGTTATTTTATTACACTTACATAACCTTTAAATTATGTGTAGTGATAATGTGAAAGTTGTGTACGAGTATTGGTTACCATGACATCAATGCTAAGATCCTGGTTTCATGTTACTCTCTTTCTTTCTTTCTTTCTTTTTTCTTTTTTTTTTTTTTTTCTTTCTTTCATTCTCTCTTATCTTGCCAATTAATTTCTTAGGAATAGACACTTACAGTTAATGGTGGGGAAGCATGTACAATGTACATGTATTGTAGAGTAGTAATTTACATGAACTACAGAGTGTAGAAGCCCCCCCCCCCCCCCCCTCACAAAAATAAAGAAAGAAGGAGAGAAAGAAAAAGAAAAGCTGACAGGAATATAACAAAAAAACTCATTTATTGTTTACCCAGAGGTTGTGTCCAGGCAGATTGTGTATTCGGACAGTTGATTTACATGTAAAACAGCAATTTTAGGTACTGTAGTTTACAAGCATTATTTCATTAATCTTTTACGACTAAATTTTTCATTCAATCAATTAATCAATCGATTGATTAATTGATTGATAACAATACCATACATGAACAGGGTGTACAAGTGTATATCAAAAGATATAACTGCAATATAAATGATTAAAAAACATGTACACTGTATGCACTCCATCACCTGCAGTACCGGTAGTACATCTACTACATGTGAATTGCAGTTTCAATCAAAAACATGCAGGCATATTTGTTAATCAAACTTGAAAAAATACTTGTTTTTCGAAAGAAACTGGTAGTCATTGGTACAAATGGTAGTGGTGGTTAAACTTGTGAAATTGGCCATGACTTTGAAAAAAACAATGACAGTGTGACAAAAATACAACATCTGTTATCTAAATTATTAAAATATTGTGCTGAAACAGTTTTAAGTCTTCAAATGTCCCGTGAAAATCACATTGTATTTTAAAATAAATAAATAAAATAATTTTGAAATTGTAACAAATTGAAAGTTAAATCTGTTGGGGAAAAATACAGACTTTGCAAATTTTACAAAAAAAGTTTACATTAAAAAACATTTCACAACTCAAAATTACCTTGGGAATGGATCAAACCACCATGTTCTCCTAGTATCCGGGAACGCTACACGCATTCCAGACATGAGCGGGGAATGTAGAATCACTGCGGCACTTTCATAGCGTGAAGCTAAATCCACTGTGGGTACCGTACCAATACTTTGTCCATACAGAATGATGTTCTCCGGACTTATCCCGTATCGCGATCGTAAAGCCTGCCACGCTGCCTCGATGTCTGCGTACAAGTTACGTTCCAAAGGCTTTCCACTACTACTACCATAACCAGAATAGTCATAGCTGAAGATGTTACAGTTTAATCTTGAGCCAAGGCCGATGTAAAAGCTACTCATCTGTCCGATATCAACAGCATTGCCATGACTGAAAAGGATTGTGTATTTTGGATTTGGAGCGCATCGAACGAACATGCATGCTATCCTATTCCCACGCTTATTTCGGGTGTAGAACACCTCGATTGATTCTAGTTCTCGATCTGAAAATTGCCATTCTGCCCTATCCGTCAAATGTAATGTCCCACGAGTACCAGTATCATCAGTTACGATTGAGTAGGTAGGTTCTGGTGGCAGAAACGCCAGCTTTGCAGCTATACGAGACGGACATGGTGGACAACAGAATAAGCAGCACAGCTCACTAAACGAAAGCCCGTTCATGATGGATGCGGGTTTTCACAATGTTTACGAAAAATCTCCGATTCTTACACTAATCCAATGTATACATTACCACTCAGAAATTAATGTATTCCGTGAGTTTACAGATTCCAGTCCACAAAATGCAACTAAAGAGGAGAAAGGTAGGTGTCTTTGTGCTAACATACGACAGCTTCAGACGGCGAACAACAGACACAAATACCGGCCATGTATAAATTCAGAGAAGAGTGACGTACTCCACATGATGACGTCACTATACTCCCAGTTGAAATTTGACGACGCCTGCGCATAGATGCAAGTTGACTCACCAACACTATTTTATTCCTTTCATTCACAAAATGTCAACAATAAGAAACAGTTAGTAAATGTCAATATCATCGGTGGCATTGGACTTTTGAGCAACATACCATCACCGACGAAATACTGACTCATCTTAACCTTCAACAAAAAATCCATTGTCCTCGCAATCATGAAGTCCATCCAAAATTGAAACACATGAATAATTATGTAAATGGTTTAAAAAATGCATCGATTGTCTGCGCTATCAATTATCTCTATATATTTGTGACCCAGTTTTCGGGACTTTAATATAGGCAAACAAAAATGAAGGATAATTGAAAAAGAAGATTTCTTGTTCTTGTTGGAAACAGCCTAGAGCTTGGGGTATAATAGCGGGGGCCGATTAATCTGAATACATACTAAAATGGCAAAATAAAAGAAAAGGTTGCCTGAAACTGAAACAAAATTCAGAAATAAGAAAGATTATAAAAAAGTGTCATATGCAAAGTGATGAAAAATGATTCGCTGTGTGAATTTATAAGTTTCCAAAGAACAGTGGCGTACGCAGGATTTTTTCAAGGGGGGGGGGGGGGGTTAAAATCGTGCCCAAAATTTCACAACGACTCAGCCAGCCGCTGAATAAGCGGGGGGGGGGGGGGGGGGGGGGGGGGTAAGCGGACACTTTTTGGGGGGAGTCCCAACATTTTTATTGATCCTTTATATGCAAAATGATATTCAAAGCGCGACGATGTGAACGTGTGTCAACTTTTGGCAACTAGTGAGTTAAGCATGAAGCATGATCTGACAACCGCAAGAGCCAATGTTGGGTTTGTATAGGGCCGTTCCTCCCGGCAGGCGCGGATCCAGGGGGCCAAGCGGGCCTTACCCCCCCCCCCCCCCCCCCCCCCCCCCCCCCCCCCGCGGCCAAAAAAAAAAAGAAAGAAGACGGCTCCCCTCCCCCTGGCACACTAAATTTCAAATTGATTTCAAATTTGGGCCTTCCCATAGGAAAACCTGGATCCGCGCCTGGTTCCTCCTATACTGCCCCCGAACAGAATGCACGAAAGGAGATCCTTGCCATGTCAGAACTCAACAAAATTGACAGGCTGTCAGGAAACCAGTATTATGCTCTTGTTGTACTGTCGGGCAGACCCCCCCCCCAAAAAAAAATAAAATAAAATAAAAAAAAGATAACAAATTGGGGGGGGGTTCAACCCCCAAAACACCCCCCCCCCCCTGCGTACGCGCCTGGGCCTATCATTACACTCGTATAGTAAGACCTACATGATTTTTATAAGACAGGTCATCACTTGGAGAGGGAAAAAATCCAACATTTTTGTTTCGTTAAGGTCTTCTCATTAATCATCAAGCAGCAGCACAGGGGGATTGGGGTCCATAGGACCGGGCCATAAGACAACTATATGAATTTTCCTTGCTCACCTGCCATCGGAGCTGTAAGTTTTCGCACCTCTCATTAATTGCTTTTAAAAATGATACCCACTACCCAGCCCTCATGTATGAACTTGCATTTCCGACACGTCTGGGGCGTCATATCGTCCCTCAAAGTGTGGATGCACCAAAAACAACAAAAGGAGCATTTAAAAAGGGTAACATGAAAGTGAATAAAAATGGCAAACTTCTTATATCAAAATAGTTTATCTAGAGGAGTAATATTTGATAGCGTTGAAAACGAAAAGAGCACAGTACATTCTCATGAAATTGTGGGCACTGTGCCCTCTGTAGCCCCCGGCTACTGCCTCTCGTCGTGGTGCAGAATAGGGTATACTTGGCTGTTACTACACAAAACTGCTCCGATTCTTTGAAACTTTATATGACCTCAAAACTGAGGACACACTGTGTAAGTGACAATGAGAAATTTAGGTAAGAGGTAAAAATAGGTAAAAAGAGGCACTTATGAACTGGCAGTTATAAAGAAGGGAAAATGGACACTGTCTTGTCAAAAGTAACAAGGGAAACACATCAAATTTGAAAGGGCACATAATAAGAAAGGGAAATGGACACTCTTATCAAAAGTAACAAGAGAAAACTGTCATATTTGAAAAGGCAGCATTTTTGAGAAAGAAAAAGAGGCACGTTCCAAAGTAAAAGGGGCGCAGTTATCGAAAATGAAAAGGGGGCATTTATCATACCGAAAAGGGGGCGCCCATCAGAGGTGAAAAGGGGCAAGAAGGGAAAAGGGCATTTTTTACAAAGGAAAAAGAGCACTTGTCAACGTAAAAGCAACATCTTCAGATTTGAATAGGGGCGCTTATCAGAGGTGGAAAGGGGCACCTATGAAAAGGGAAACTTATCTGAAGTAAAAAGGGGCACTTTGGGGGTACTTGAAGAAGTCTTGGGCTCTGTTCCCCCACTTACCATTTTTATAATTCTGGCTTTCTTCTTAATGGAGAAGATCCATGGACCCTCCATCACGCAAACAAACAAAAAATAAAATTAGGAGATATCTCGGTCTACCATCGCGAATGGCTTCACGATATGTATTTTATAAAGTAAAATACTGTAATGATTTGATATCTTTGCTCTGTTTTTTGAGAAACTAGGAAGTAGGTGTCATGTACAGGGGCGGATCCAGGATTTTCCCAGGGGGGGGGGGGCATTTCTGAATGAGTAAACTGAACATTTAATTATGTGAATATATATCTTTTTTGGAAGATAAAAGTGGGGGAGGGCATGCATCCCCATGCCCCCCGCCCCTTCTCTGTGTCTGTCCCTGTGGAGCTATACATTTTGTTTCTCCCAAATGTCGTCAAACTTTCTGCATCCTCGACTAAGTTTCTGTCTCGGCATAATTATAAATAAAAAGGTTTGTCTCGGCTCAAACTTTGAACAAAGAGATTCGATCATACACAGTATGTCCTCCGTAGGAGGACATACTGTGCAACTCCGCTTCTGCACAGTCCGCTTCTCCGTATGATCGAATCTCTTTGAATTGAAATAGCGCCCCCTTTTGGCAACTTAGCCTCAACTTTGTCATCTTTTCTGCTGCTGCGCTGCTAGCGCTACCTACTAGCTGCTGTGAAATCCTTGAAGTTAGGACTTGCGAAGAAGCCTAATAATTTGGATATTGAAGTTTATATAGTTTTAAGAAGTAGATTTATCGGTAAGTTATATGAACTATACATAATTTGAACCGTTGAACATTCATGGATTAAATAGATCCTCACTTTAGAAGAAATTAATTATTGGTGATAGCTCACGGAAGCAGACACTGATAAGCTTCCCGTTTCCTCCCCGACCTTCTCCGGTGGATGACTATCAGATACCGGTGGCGCTGGCATGATGTCTGCAGAGCCAGAGTTTGTTTGTTTTTGGAGGGGGGGGGGGGTGATTTGATTTAATTGAATGTTGGCAACTGCCTGCTTGGGCTAGACTCTGTGCACTAACACTGTCTGTGATTTAACCTGTCATTTTCTTTCATTGTTAATTGATCAGTTGCTAAAGTAAAGAGTAAAGTAAAGATGCTGTTGACAGCTGAGACTGAGAAATTAGAATTTACTTTCAATCATTTCCCTTGCAACTTTAAACAGTTTAAAATATTCTTAAACAATTACCATTTAGCCAGTTTCCTTTTCACATGGAAATGTGGGGTATTATCTCAGGCCTTTTAATGATTCTCTTGTGGTTATGCATTAATATTAATTTTCTATTTGTTTTCCTCCGTCTCCATTATAACACTTTACAGGTAAAACATTCAGAAGTTTCTAATATGATTGGATCACGGTCCTTTCAAGCTTTCAACAGAGGACCCACCTGGTCTTATACTCGCCAAGTGAGGAAAGGTCGACTGGAAGCACTAGAACTAGTCTGCCAACTAGGAAGGAGTAATCACAATGGAACAACCAACTCATGTTCTTACCTCATTCACAACAAGTTCTTCCAGTCAGGCCCGTCATCATCGCCATGTTTGCCATCATCCTCAGCAACATCTTTGCAAGCATCAGCATCACATTTGAAGTTATCAACATCATCTTGGCAATCATCAATATCACCTTTGCAATCAACATCTCCTTTTCAACCATCAGCATCACAGTCATCGAGGCTGTGTAGTTCTTCCGCAAACTCAGTTAGTCCCTCGAGGGAGCCTTCGAGATTGCTCGAGTGCAGTGATGAGAAAACTCAAGAAATCGCGGAGAAAGACTTTATTGTTATTCAAAACTTTATCACAGAGGAAGAGGAGGACTCGTTGTTGAAGGAAGCAGAAAGGTTCCTGAAAAAAGTGCGCTATGAGTACGACCATTGGGATAATGTGAGTTAATTGTTCAATGCAAACATTTATTGCTTAAAATAATCTCTAAGGCCTACATGTATGTTCTACTAATTTACCTGATACAGTCAAACCTGCTTCTAATAGTGACCACCTCTATACAAAGACCACATATTTTGTTCCCCTTGAAAATGGTTTCTCTTTGAAACTTGTACTAAAGGAACCTGTCTACAAAGATCACGTTTTGTGTTTCCCGTAGGCAGTCGCTATAGACAGGTTTGACTGTACTAAAATTAGTATGGTTTAGGTCTTGCCATAGAAAGAGTTCAACAATGTTAGACTGAGGTCTTAGTTTTTTAATTTATGATAAACTTGATTAGAGTCGGCATAATGTTTGATTTCATTAACTTAGAATATGGGCTTACGAGACCCAGTAAACAACACATCCAGACTCTCTACTCTAAAAGAGGTCAACTCAAAGTAGGAGCACCTCATATTTTTAATTGTGGGAATATTGTTCTGTTTAACATGATTGATAAAGTGTTAACAATGTCTAGCTTTTTGTAACGCAACCCAACCCTTTTTTCACCAAATTTACTAGTGAAATTAAAATGGTATATTACAGGGGATGTAGCATTTTTCATTATTAAAGTTAGACAAGTTTGTAGAGTTTTTTTTTCCTTGGCTCATGTGAAAGTCTTTAGATTGAAAGTGAAGTTCACATATAATTTTCTTCCCCAACATCTGTCGCTCTGCAGGCAATACATGGATTCAGAGAAACAGAGAAGTCTCGCTGGTCCGAGGTCAACAGTCCTATCATCCAAAGGATCCGAGACCAGGCCTTCCCAGAGGGTTCCGCACAGCTCACTCTGGTCCATGTCTTGGACCTGGCCCAGAATGGTTACATCAAGCCACACGTGGATAGTATCAAGGTAATGCAGTGCACTCTCATCACAGCTGTTGCTAGACCATTCTTTCCTCATGTTTGGACAACATTTTCAAAAAGTATGTAGGGGAAAAAATGGTTCTCATATTTCTCTTATTTGCTAAAAAGAGGTACAATTTTTTCTTTCATCAAGCAAAAAAAGAAAAAGGGTCACCATTTTTTCTTCTTCAAATTGCTAATACTGCTGTAAGCCTGTTACATATATTTAAAATTTGCAGTTTTTTATTTTAAAGGGATGTCACTAGCCTTCTCCAGTGATGCTTTAGTGTACTTGTACGTATATTTGTTACTTTATTCCAATAATTTGGCCTCAATGTAACACAATCTGGGAATAGGAGGTGCATAAAGGTTCGATACTTGAGCGATTTCTGTCTTTTGGTTTGAAAGATGAGTTGCTGGCCTGTGGTCCAGTAAATCAAACAGTTCAGTCTAAGTAACTGCACTTTGATTTGTATTTCTATGCTATTGTTTGAATCACTACCACGGCATTAGTGTCCATTGCCAAAAACAGTTTGTAGACTAATTTATATACCTCACTTAAGAAATCCAGCCATCTGATTGGTCGAATTGCATTCATAAACTTCAACTGTTCCTGTAAAATTCCCGGTAACCATGCTTAAAACATTTCAATATTTTTAATAACCATGGTTATTAAAAAAATAGGTCAGCCTCCATGGTTACCCCATAGGTTTACATGTTAAAAAATGGTTTGAGCGATGGAGGATACCGTATGTGTGCGAAGGATTGGTCGGTAATTTCAATACAATTGAATCTCGATCGATCTTACCGACAATTTTATCTTGCATTGTTGACATGAAGACGAAAATAAACTTCCAAAAACAAAAAAACAACATCTGCCGATAGATCTTGATCTAAGTTCGTGCCAATATGCATTGCAAAAGTAAAAGAAGAGTCCGTATATGGAGCTTTTGCGAAGCATTCATCACACGCGAAGCCGGTTTCAATCCATTTTAATGTATATATTGTACAAAACTGCCAAGCATGTGAATAGCGCGCGATGGCCGAGAGGTCTGAGGCGCTGACTTTAGATACATCACCTTTTGTACGCAAGAGTTCGAATCTCATCTTCGACCAAAAAAAAAAGTATTTTTTATTTTTTATTTTTTAGTCTATTTTTTTTCGGCATATAAAAGTATTAATGACTGCTTTAATATTCGAGAAATAGTTGTTTTCATACGCTCTCGGGAAGGTTACAATTGGGCTATTCCCCTCGGCAAGCCTCGGGGAATAGCACAATTCTAACCTTCCCTTGAGCGTAATAAAACAACTATTTCTCTCAAAGCAGTCATTAATACTATACTTTAATATGGTCTTAATCTATATTTGACCAAGTCTTGCAAGACATTGCAAGTACCAATTTTTTCCCCACCATCTTTGTTCATAGTACAATAATAGGATTTGTTTAGCAGGACTGCACTACTTGTATCTACTTGCGCCCTCTATATAGCCAACAATGCCTAAGCAGTACCTGTTGGTCCCCCATAGTCCCCCTTTTCTTATGTTAATTGAGAGCTGATTTGAAGAGATAACCACCTGTCAGTGACCATGCAGGCAGGTCTTGGCCCTCCTGGCCAAACTAGTGCAGATAGGCTTTAAATTGATGTTTTTCATTAAATAAAACTATCCATTGTTGTATTTCTTATTTACTACCTGTACAGTTTTGTGGTTCTACCATTGCTGGCCTGTCCCTTCTATCTCCTGCGGTCATGAGACTAGTCCATGAAGAAAACAGCAATCAGTGGGTCAATGCACTTCTCAGCCCAAGAAGTCTCTATATCATGAGGTATGGTAATTAGCAGTTTTGGGTTTCATGGAAGCATGATGCAAGTTTTTTGTAAATGTACCAAACTGATTGATGAAAAATTTCTGAAGAGAATACAAAATACATCATTGGGATGTGCCTCCCTGATATTGCTTATGATAAAGTTTTATTCCTATGTTTTTGCCAGTCAATCCTTCACAGAATATTCACTCGTTTTTTGTTCATAATGTATAAACACTTGGTAGTCCAAACTAAATGTCGCCAAGCAAATGAGCCAAATATCATTTTACAGTTTCATTTATTACAAAAAAGTCTTGTCTTGGTAAGTTTAGAAATGATCAAGGTGTCCATGAGGAGCAGGAAAATACTGAAGTAATAATCACCTTTCTTTTGCACATGCTTCCTCTTTCTCCCTTCCTCTCCCCATCTCTCACTCTCCCTCCCCCTCTCCCCCGATTCACTATCTCTCGCTCACTCCCCCTCTCTCTCTCTCTCTCGTTTTCTTAAGTTACTTTGTATTTATTTCACATATAAAAGAACATATAAAATAAACTCACTCAGTGAAAATGCAATAAATATGATTATTACCTGTTATTATAGTTAGAAACAGTTTTAATTATCTTATTTTTTAATGATTTCCCCCATTGTTGTCCTCACAGAGACAAGATACGGTATGACTACACCCATGAGGTCCTTAAAGAAGAAGAATCCGTCTTCAGAGGGAACCCTGTGACGAGGGGAAGACGTATCTCTATCATGTGTCGTGCAGAGGTCTCTCAATCATCACAACAAACGGACAACTGAGATGTGTTTTTTTGATAGACTTAACTCAGTTTGAGCCGTTCATTTTGCAGCTGAAATCTGACGTTTCTTTCTTTACAGGTCAAACAAGGGAACCCATTCAAAGACTTGTCCATTTTACAATGATTTCTTAGAATATTTCAGGATGAGTTGACATTATCAATTCAAGATTGAAATTATGAGTGGCCCCTTGTTTCCCATAATATGAAGGCTACTTTTTTTTTAGCTCAATAAAACATTGTGTAGTCTTTTGAGTTTTGACAGTGTGCAGTATAAATAAGCTTGTGTCATGTTGCATTATGTGATAAGAACAAAAACAAACAAACACACAAAACATGATACCGGTAAGCACTCTGACTTTAAAGATATTTATTTGTAACTCAACCTTCCCAAATTATCAGTGTGAAATCAATATCAAATGATTAGCAATTAAATATACTCTTCATTGTTTTACTTTATTTTGGAGGATTTCAAATTTAAAGTCTTGATTCAAGATTTTGCCCTAACACATGGATTTTAATTTCAGTTGAGTAATTATTAATGGCCTGTTTTATAAATTTCTCGTTCAACATTTGCCTTGTCCCGTAACAAGGCACACAGTTCAAGCTCATGTCAGCAATTGTAAGCAGAAAGCATTGCAAGACTCATGAAGTTTCACTGATTAAAGTTGATAAATAAAATACATGTAATGGAAATACTCAGCAGCACCACAGCTTTCCTTTGACAGTACAGTGACACAGATAAGACATGAATAAAGATGCAGATCTATAACTGTGATACTTAATGTTCTTTGCTGTGTTTTTATTTTCGTCGAATGGTTACAAATAAACAGAAAATTTGTAAAATAGATATCAGGTAAACAGCTGTTGCCTCTGTGGAGTTTCGACAATCGATGGAAGAACATGATCACGCTGTATTTCTATATTGCCGTGAAACTTGCCATTTACTCTACATGGCCTTTAACCAAAACCTTTGAGCTAAATAGTGGTAAATTAAACAATATATTTTCAGCATTAAATAGAGTTTTGATGCAAAAATTCATTCTAGTTCATTCCGTCCTTTATTCTTTTTCTTCTTCTTGGACGACTTTGCAGAAGATGCATTATGATGAGATGTTGGGGTATCCTCAGACAATCGTAAAGCATGACCCGTAGACTTGACATGTTTGAAGAGTTTATTCCGAGTCGGAAACCGTGACGAACAGGTGTGACATATCGGAGGTTCAGAAGATGATGTAGACTGTAATATGGAAAGGAGAATTTATAATAAGCATACAATGTTTATCCAAACTGACTTTCAACTATGAATTTGTTGTTTTAGAACGGTGAAAACTCGTTATAAATATCTCTTGGCCCCATCTCATAAAGAGTTGCGATTGATTGATCCAAATCAATCGCAAGTATGCAGTCCTCTATCTCTTATGTACATAGTTGCGAATGATAACAGTTGCAATGTATCAAATTAATCTTAACTAGATGGAACTTCGACTGCGTGCAGTCGTAAATGATGCCTCCGTCATAGAGCAATTTTACAAACCAAAACAGAAGAAATTTTTCAAATTCATGTTCAATTGTAATCCATTAACAGGTTCTCAGAATATCGTGATTACAAGCAATTTCTCATATACATATATGACCCTTTGATCTTTGACCTCATGACCCTAAAATCTACTCAGTTCATTGGCTCTGCAAGATGTCCCGAGTTAAATAGTAATCCATCCGTCAGTTCTAATGAGAATGCGTTCACAAGCTATATTTGCATACATAATGAGCCCATGACCTTTGACCTTTGACCTTATGAACCAAGAATCTACTCAGTTCATTGGCTCTGCAAGATCGGGCTGTGCACAACAGTGTAATGAGGTACCCGAGTACACTCCCAGGCTCACAGGCGAATACTCGAATATTCGGACGCCATGTTTTTTTATAATTTTTTTGAATTTTTTTGAATTTTTTGAATTTTTTTGAATTTTTTTGAATTTTTGGATTTTTGGATTTTTGGATTTTTGGATTTTTGGATTTTTTTTCTTTTTTGCCACTACCATACCACTCGGCAGTTTCTCATGTCCCTCGCTGAAAACGCATGCAACTTTACTTTGAGTTCCAGTTGAAGGCGCCAATTTAATTAAAATAATAACAGTAAACAATGCTGTTTTAAAAACCAAAGATGGCAGAATAATCCATTTTCCTCCAAGTCCAAACAGAAATCTGGACATTTGGTCCCAGTTTCTGAAAGGTGAGTTTGACAGTGCTTGAGTTGGGAAACATTTTTACCGACGGTACCATGCCAGCGGACGCCGCTCTCCCTGGCACGGGTAAGCGCTGGCCTGGACATTTTTTTTTTTTTGCAGCCGAATATTCGGGTACAAGAAATCGTACCCGAGTAGTTGTCAACCGTGCGGGTACTCGAGCATTCGACTACCCGTCGCAGCCTTAATACATAAATGATCCAAGTTTGGCAGGAATCCATCAATCTGTTCTTCAGATAACGCAATCACGAGCTGTTTTTGCATACATAATGAGCCCTGTGACCTTTGACCTCGTGACCCCAAAATCTAATCAGTTCATTGGCTCTGCAATACATACATGACCAAAGTTTGGCAGGAATCCATCCATCGGTTCTTCAGATAACGCGATCACGAGCTGTTTTTGCATACAAAATGAGCCCTGTGACCTTTGACCTTTAACCTCGTGACCCCAAAATCTAATCAGTTCATTGGCTCTGCAAGTAACATACATGACCTAAGTTTGGCAGGAAACGATCGTTTCTTGAGATAACGCGATCACGAGCTGTTTGTGCATACATAATGAGCCCTGTGACCTTTGACCTTTGACCTCGTGACCCCAAAATCTAATCAGTTCATTGGCTCTGCAAGATACATACATGACAAAAGTTTAGCAGGAATCCATCCATCAGTTCTTTAGATAACGTGATCTCGAGCCGTTTTTGCATACAAAATGAGTCCTGTGACCTTTGACCTTTAACCTTGTGAACCCAAAATCTATACAGTTTTTGGCTTTGCAAGATACATACATGACCAAAGTTTGGCAGGAATCCATCAATCGGTTCTTCAGATAACGCGATCACGAGAACGGGACGTACGTACGTACAGACGTATGTAAGTACGGACGGACAACCCAAAAACATAATGCCTCGGGCTACTTCGTAACGGAGGCATAAGAACTTGTACTCTGCAATATATGGGCTAATCGATAATGACTAGGAAGAAACTAAGGGATGTCCTAAAATAGAACCAAAGTCGGACGCATGGAACCCACGTTGGACTTTAGTTCTGTACAGGTACTAGGAGAGTGCGTTGAATTGTCTACTTGCAAGTCGCTCTTATGTAAAGTGAAAGTACTTGTACAACTGTTTAAAGAAGTAATATGTGAAGCTCATATATTGAGTATAATATAGTGACAATGGAATCCCCACAAAAGGAGCAAAGTGTTTTTAGATGATTAGTTAACTTTACAAATGTCTTACCTGGGAACTTGATGGTACATCTCCACCTTTTGTTTTCACTTTGACATTACTGCTGAAATGAATATAAAATCAAATGATTATTAAGTGATGGGTAATAGAAAAAATGAGAGTGTGGGAAAAATGACACATCAATGTTCAGAAACTGTTGAAGCCAGGCATCTACTTCATGAATCATCATTGGTCTAAATTCATGGACATTTACTTAAAATGCAATTTTGATTTAGAACACATATTCTAATGGGATTTCACTGAACACATTACATTACATTTTCGGCTTACAGAGTGTACTTTGCTAACTTCTCTGTTCACTTAAAGAGAAGGTTGAGTTCTGGGAAGATGTGAAAAATAATTTGTGAGCATTACTCATTCTTATTATGCAAGTGTGGAAGAACATCAGTTAAGACATGTTCCCTGTAAAGCTTGGCTCTTCAAATGCCTTCATATTCTAAATATGCACGTAACATCGTAAAAATCGGGGGCCGGCTTTTTACGCCACGTGTTCGTGTAGTCCCATATACATCTTTCTGTGCAAGTGTTTGTAACTTTACCAAGACTTGGCCACATTTCTTATCATTTTGATGATTCCAGAACCTTGCAATACACACAAATTCTTATATGCTAGATGATCAACCTTTTCTGGTCGGTTCCACACCGTTTCTTTCACAATGCAATCGCATGACCAGAACTCAACTTCATCTTTAAATCTTTTGGCTAAGAATGTCACCTTCAGTCTATTAAAGACAGAGGGTGATTTGCTTAAGCAGACTTAAGCCAATTATTTTGAAAGCTTTGATAGCAAGCATATGGTTTTCATACATATGCAAGTCTTGATACACTGTGTACAAGCAAAATATATACAAATTTATTTAAAGTGACATGTTTATGGCACATAATCTTGAATAGGCTATGTGATGTCACAATACAATTTTTTAAATTTTTTTGTTGTTGTTGCTCGTTTGGATTGATTGATTGATTTCTGTTCATGGTCTTTTTCCAGATTTACTTTGCCAACAAACAAACCATAGAAATAATACATCATCATAATTAAGTGGGACATCAATGAACTTAGACTAAAGATGCCTTCATGAAACAGGTTTTATGACTCTATTCTTGAAATTCCCAGGCAAAGAAAATAAATATATTGTATCACATTTCACTAGTAAATGGGTAATTTTAAATATTTACATCAAATAATCATAAAGAAGGATTGCCACATGAACTAAGCTTCAAGTCGTAGCAATCCCTTGTAAAATTTTGTGTGTTTTACCTTACTACTAAGAAAGCATGCTTGTAAATAAGCAACCATGGGACTGACGGCCTTAAATCCTCTTCGAGGGTCTTGGCAATGAGAATTAATGCCTTACCAAAGGGTACTAGCACATCGACTTAATTTTTGAACCCGGGTCCTCCCAGTTACAAGACCACTGCTCTACCACTGAGCCATTGCACCTCCCTCTTAATATTACTATAAAGACATTGAGAAGTTTGCCTACCTGGGTGTTTGATGTTTACTGGACACCTCGTCTTGATCTTCTAAGGTCAACCTCTCCTGGAGATCAGCTGATAAACTCAGCTCTTCATCTTTACATTCAGGTCTTGTATCATCTGGGACTGGTTTTGTAGTCCTACAAAAGGAAATCAGAACAGAATTGACATATACGAAAGATACATACTTACATACATACTTATCAGTATTTTGTTACTTTTATAATTCATTTGTTCTATCATACTGAATGGTTTATATATGTCATTTTAATTTTAGGATATTTGAGTGGAAAAATAAATAAAATCTAATCAAATCAAATCAAATCAAATCAAATCAAATCAAATCAAATAATAATAATAATGATAATGATAATAATAACAATAGTAATACTGGATTCTTGTATAAAGCTCATATAGCCCTCAAGATTCTTTCCAATAAGCTGTAAATAGTTGGATAAAAAATAGCAAGCTTACTCTGTCTCTAATTTTGATAAGAGATCTTCCACTTCTTCTTCTTCCTCCTCCTCCTCATTTCCTGCCATCTGTCTTTGTTGTTTTCTCCTCTTTTTCTGCTTCTTAGACAACCTGTTGAAAAACGATAGTGAACTATTACAGCCCTATTACGCATTAGCAGATTAATTACAGATTCAAATATGATTATTATCATCATTTACAAGAGTAAATTAAGATCTGTCTAATGAAAGTCAGGATAAATTACCAATTACGTGTATGTTAAACATGTATGTCAATTGACAAAAGCCTGGCAATGTTGCAAATAATTTACGATCGTTACAGCAGTAGCTCAGTTTCCTATTTTCATTTCTACAAGGCCTCACATAAATTTTCAGCTATTTTTTTAGATTTTTAGTGTTCTCCTATCATCAATATCCATCAAAGTTTGCAATTTCTAGCAGCTTATTCCTTAAGTAGCAAAATGTAAATCTGAATTTGGAGGAACTCTTTTGTAGGAATGCAATACAATTCCATGCAACAAACAACAACGGTACCCTTATGCTCTTGTTTATTTACATATTTCCATACTATCATGCATGATCATTTTGACCATCCTTACTTTATTTTTGTGAAGTCCTCTTCCTCCAATTCTCCATCACCATGTTGATTATTTAGATCCTTCAGCGGGTCTGGTTCTTGATCTTCATCAGCCTTCATCTGCTGTCTCCTCTTCTTCTTTTGCTTCTTGGACAACCTGTAAGACAGCGGGAAGAAGTAGAGGTGTCATGGTTGGGATGTTTAAGCACTTGACTTGAAATTCAAAGGTCGTAGGTTTGATCCTTAAAGGTTGTAGGTTTGATCCCCGACATGGCACTAATGTCTTCTGGCAAGGCATTAATCAACATTTGCCACTCCATGTCCAGGAGAGAAATGGGAACCTGGTAGTGATTTCTCTACTTCTCCTCCAACAATCTCAAGTAGTCCTTAATAGGACAATGCATGAAAGAATACTTCTCGCTCCTTCTCCTTTTACTTTCTATCCTCTTTCAAACCCAACAGTCCCTTCAAGGACTACTAACATGGTGAAACCACAAACCTAACAAATGTTATATGGCGTTGTAAAAGGAAACACATTCCTCAGAAAATTTTACGTTTAATTAATCAGGAAGCTTACATTCAACTGGCAATGCCATACTCTTAATCTTGTCTTAATTGAGAATAGCAAATATAGTAGTTTCTTTTTCCTTTAATAGGCTCTTACCAGAATTTACACTAAATTCTAAAGATACTATGTAGATCACATGTACTACCACAAGAATATTGAAAGTACCCTTAGAAATGGTGAGTGCACAAAACTTGTTTTTGTTAGCCACCTTACTTTGTTTTAACAGGAAAATCATCATCTTCTTCATCACTGGGTTGTACAGCGTCTATTACTTCTTCTTCCTCCTCAATGTTTTCTGACTCGTCTAGTTTTGCCTGCTGTCTCTTCTTTTTCTTTTGCTTCTTGGAGAGTCTGGTAGTGGAAGAAAACAGTCATTAATATATTAATGATAAGAAAAAAACAGTACATATACTCATCTAGATTTCTAAAAGAGACGGTAACGAAGCAACATAACTTTTCATTATTTATGTAATTTACATAATAATGATTCACACACCTTACCCATCTCATCTGTGCTGGTTTTACCTATCGTCCTCATCTTAGGATGCTTGCATCCTCAGTTTGTGGATGTGCACAAAACTAATTTAAATCTCAATATTTGTATTTAAAAAGGTGCAGCATTAATTTCCTTTGGCAAGACGTTAATCTAAAATATTGTGCAAGCCTAGATTTTTACTCACTTTTTTCTTTGTGGTTCTGCTCCATTCACCTTGGCTTGCTCTTCCATCTCCATTTCATCAAGATCTTCATCGTCTACCTCTTCATCTTTCACCTCCCTTTCCTCATCATCTTCGCTCTCCTCCTTCTCCTCCCCATCTCCCTCCTCCAGATCATAATCTTCCTCTTGGCTCTCCTCCTCCCCAGCAAACTCTTCCTCCTCTGCCTCCATTTGGGCTTTCAGGAATATTATATTCTCTTTATGTTTCTTTGAATTTTCGTGATTTGCAAACCTGAAGAAGAAAAAAAAAAGACATTCTTAACAGCTTCTTTGGAATATTGGAATGAACATGGTGAAAAAAACTAGAATCCGACATAAGAATTTCTCTCTAAAGGATAAGAAAATAAAATGGAAACTTAAGTTTTTGATATGCGACTGCCATGAGCCAATGACACGAGAGTCACTTTCTAAAAAAAAAAAATCTAGTACAGAAACACAAAATTCAAACACATTTTGTTGTACAATGTTTCCACAAATTACGTTTTGTCAGGAAATTCTTTCCATGTGTATGATTTGGGATCTCTATTCTCCACTGGCTAACCTCTAAAAATAAATATATTTATATATAAATAAGAATATAAAAAAATGCCTGTACCATTCGTATGGGCCTGAAAAAATCATGTCATATCAGTTTTCTCAGCCAGGATATTTTATCTCTTTTGATTTTGGTTCTTTGAAGGCATTCATAGGGGACTTGCATAATTGAAAAAAAGAAGATGAACGAGAAAGGGGAGAGATAAACTTTTATATAACAGACAAGATAGGAGAGGGGAAAGAGCAGAGGGGGAATGGGAATAGACAATGAGAAAGACAGGAACACAGAGTCATAGAGTTAAGGAAAAGAAGGGAGATGAGAAGAAGGAGATACAGAGAGAGACAGAGAGAGACAGAGAGAGAAACAGACGGACAGAGAGGAAGACAGAGAGAGAAACAGAGAGACATAGAGAGAGATAAACAAACTGAGACAGACGAACAGAGAAAGACAGACAGAAAGAGAGACAGACAGACAGACAGACAGAAAGAGCTCAATATATACATGTACTCACGCTTTGGGGCTCTTGAAACTCTTGTTACAGGCAACACAGAACAAGTCATCCAATTCATCTTCAAGGCTGTCTGCCTGGGAGTCTAAAAGAAACGCAACAAAATTACATTGTGAATTACAAAATACAATTTTTTTTTTTTTTTTGTATTTAATTTAATTTTTTTTTGCTGTACCTCCAAGTACCTTAACCTTAAAAACTGGAAATTCCCTACACTAGGTGAGTTTCTTACTTCAAACCTGGACCAAACACTTCACGTAACATTAAACCTAACCCTTAAACTAACCCAAAACCCAATCACAACTCTAATCCTATATCTTTGATAGAATTAAGCCTGAAGCAACTGTTGGCAGAACAATGTCATGGCCCCTTTACAGGTGGACTTTGTATACAGGTTTCAAAGGAAAACAACATTTAAGAAAACAATTTAAAAGCGATCTTTTCAAAGATGGGTGACATTCCTACATAGGCGGTCCAGTTTCACTGTAGTCAGCAATGCCTACCTGGAGAACTATTGTGGGGCATGGGCCTTGTGGAAGCTTAGCCTTACACTACTGCTACTACTTCTACTACTATTACTACTTCTACTACTACTAATACTACTACTGCTACTACTACAACTCACCTGAATCCATATTATCACTGTCTATTCCATACTCTTTGTTAAAGGTAGCTTCCATGGCCTTGAGCTCGGCTTCCATCTCTTCTTTGACCTTTTGACCCTGCTCAGCTAGCTCTGCATGCTCCCTGTAATCAAGCAAACACAAGAATCCTCACTGAGCAGCACAGTTAGCATTTCACATGCTTATCTTTAAAGTGATACTGAACTGATGAACTGTTTGCCCTAGCGTACTGTTTATTGCACAGCGCCATCTCATGGTCAACATGCCAACAGTGCGTAACCAAATACCTGATTTCCACTTCGCAGACAGAGGTCTCTATGAGAGAACCAACAGCGCAGCTACGGAAGCGGCAAGTTACGTGACAATTACTGATACAGCTTACCTGAGATGGCACTACATAGGATTTTGTGGTAGTACTTATAGTACAGTATGGCTCTCAACAAAAAGGTGTTTTTTTTAATTATCTGAATGCAACTAAGGTCTAACATTTGTATAATGTAATCTTTATTTGTGTGCTGTAAGACATAGAAAGTGAAGCATCATTTTCCAGATTTTTTTCCTTCGTTTCAATCAAGAATTACAAAAAAAAACCTCTTTCAATCAAGACCACCTCTCAATGGGAATTAACTTTCCTGAAAAAGACAACATGTAACAGGTGTTTCCTTTGATTTAATTCTTATAATGGTATTGACAAAATAATGACTTCTATTTTTATAGTTACCTTGCTCTTTCTTTTCTTTCTCTTTCTCTCCTCTCTGCTTCTAATTTCTTCTTTTCTGCAGCTTTCTCTTCCATCAATTTCTGATGAAAAATAATCATTGCATTGAAACTTATTATCAAAGCTGGATAAATCTTAACAATTATTATCATAAGTTTGATACAACATCCAAAAAAGAAATAAAACGGTTCACATTTATTCTAATTTCCTAGAAAAGTACAAGCATTTATAATTATCTAAAATCATTAATCTTCATATCAGTTTGGCTGTTTTTTTATAGTAAAAACATGTTCAACATGCTGAATGAGAACCTATTTCAATAAAAGATGCACTTTCAAGCCCAACTTAGTATTTGACAGGTAAAGGTGCCATTCTAACATTTTAAAAAGCCAAACTTTGTGGTTGAAACATGTCAACATGCTGGAAAACATTCAATAGTTTCAATGATTGCCATTTATTGTTTAAAGGACTGATCAATTTCTCCCCCCCCCCAAAAAAAAAAAAATAAATAAATAAATAAAATAAAAAAATAAAAATAATAATAATAATAATAATAATAACAATACAATAATAATAATAGTAATAAATAGAATAAATAAAATTAAAAAAAATGAATAAATGAATATATTTATTTTTAAAAAAACAATCACTTGAATGCTTCCTCCACCAAAGCTCTTTATCATAATGAACAGAAAGAAGCATAAGAGGAGAGTACGTAAGAAAATGTTAATTGTAATTGTGTTGACCTCTTGGAAAATTTGAAGGTTTCTAAAATTTTGGTTTTACAATATCCACACTAATACTCACCCGATGTACTTGAACTCTCTTGTCCTTCTTCTTTGCGTATGATACCAGAAGCTACAGGAATGAGATAAGATGAGTACGAACAAACAGTGTTCAAATGAGGAAAGATAGAAATTAAGCTTTAATTGTTTCAGGGTAGGCAAATATATATACCAGTAGTAGAGGTAGACATTAAAAGTTGACAAGATTAGGAACTTGAAAGGGGACTTATCTCTACATATCAAAATCAGCAGAGTGCCTGTTGTTTGGAGGTTCATGCATACGCATCACTCTGTTTGAATTAAGATGGTGGGCTGCTCAAACTTCCTAAGCCAGGCCCCCCCCCCACCCCGTCCTCCCCCCACTGCACCCACTGGTAATACTTTTCTTGTTACTTTAACAAGATAAGCCAAACAGTAACACCCATTGAAGAAAGAAATCATTTACTCTTAATAATCTTAGTGCTAGGCAACTTTCTGGATGAAAATTTTAATCTGAAATCCAACAACATTCCAAGTATTTACCTGAACTTGTTGGTTCCATTCCTTCTTGGCGGCTTCTCTCTTCTTCTTGTTCTCTTTTTCAATGAGTCGAGCTACTCGTCTGTTGGGTGCCTCGCGCGTGTCAAACTCCTCCACCCATACATACGACCTGGAGGTACGGTAGCTCTGCCAGTATGCATAAAATACATGCACAACCTTTGGAAAGAGGTAAGATGTCAAGAGATACATGTAAACGTAAGACAAAATACACATCAAGTACAGAGATTGATTTATTTTAACAAAGGTTTATCAAAATGTAACATGCTATTTGTGATTAATTATTATCAGCCTCATATACGGGTATAATGTAAATATTTCAACTCCACTGGCGTCTCAAGGCACTCTGAATCAAACAATGAAAAGGCAAACTGTAAACCACTTTTGAGAACCATTTGCAAATTATGTTGGTGTGATTCCCTTATTTTGTAGCAGGAGACTTCTGCAACAAACTAAACCACTCATAACATGAACAAAGTAATGTACTAAAAATAATTGGTAATGAGGAATTTAACAAAGACTAATGCATTAAATTTGATAACAACATGAATATATGGCATATTGACAAAGGGTAAACAAGCTTGTGCCGAAAAGCTTGCTGGTAACAAGGCAAGCATTACCTCTTCATATGAGCTCTGTGACTCTCCAAAGCCCGGGATGCCAGTGATCGAGTCCTCGTCTTCCATATAGCGAATATCTTCCTCTGCAATCTTAGCAAACACATCTCTGTATACACTGTAATAACCCTGCATAGTTAGAGAGGAAAGCGACAAGAAAATGTATTCATTACTAATGATAATGATTTTTTTTTCCCCATTTGAACCTGTAGCTTTAAGTTGTTTTTTCCCCCGTTTTTTCTTCTTTTCTTACCCAAGCATAGTGTACCACCTACATCAGTGTGTTGGGCCACAATCAGAGACAATCTCTGAAGGCTTGACAATGGTTCCAGGTGACTGGGGTTAATCTAGCATCATATCTGGCCAAGTAAAGTTATATACAAAGCTAGACTGGAATCCTGCATCACCATGCCATCGTAGCTTTAAGTTGCTATTTCATCCTGCTCTTACTTTGCAGAGTGAATTTACAATGCTCATGGTACAGGTACAGTACAACTTTCAACATCATTATTTATTTCTTGTATTTGCTGTACTTCCTGACATGTACAACAACATAAGATACATTTTCTTGCATCCTGTATTACATTCAGTGTACATAATTATTTTCAGAAGTACAGGAAAACACTTTTTTTTAATTTAAATTAATATAATCATTTAAATCCATCACTATAGAGGAATGTGACATTTCTCAATAAAAACAAAAATGTCAGCAAAATATGACTTTCCAAACCTTCTCAATATATTCAAGTATTTAGAAAGATCTTTCTAATCTTTACAGCAACTAGAATATTTTGGCAAACTTGCACAGCCAGAATTGCAAGGATGTAAAATGCATTAACTAGAAAATTACAATATCAGAAACAAATGTTTACTAAGCAGCACCAAACGAAAAAACTATACAAAATAAAAATCATCTTAAATTCTTTAGATTAAGTTTTGATTTCACTCACCTTCTCATCATCTCCAAATCCTGTGTATGCTGTTGGTGTCATGTACTGCATAACATCCATAAAATTATCTTCATAGTCTTTCCCGAACCCTGGTACAAAAAATTATTTAAAAAAAATTATAAAAAAACAATTTTACATACTTTTACTCATTTCTAGAAGAGATTTTTGTTATAGCAAACAGTGCTCAACTTTATCCAGGCATGCAAGTGAAGTACTATTGGCTCTGGTTTTGCCATTAAATGATGATGAATTACTGGATGGCGTTGTAGTTGTAAACCTTTCTCAAACACATAAAAATACAGAGCAATTTTTTTTAAGTCAGAAATTTTTTCTCATCTTTTGCAATTCTGAATGGAACCTGATACATACATTCAGTGAGAGTCGTGTGAAATTTTAAAAAAATACTTAAGTTGAAGCTTAAAACAATCACATAAAGAACATGAAGCTTCATCAGAAGTACAAGCTTACCTCCTTTGAGTATGGCTTCCCTGTGCTTGTCATACCAAGCCCTCTCCTGTTTGTCCGATAACACGCCATAAGCTGTCTGGATCTGAGCAAAGTATTTGGTACATTCCTCTACCTTATCTGGATTTTTGTCTGAATTAAAAAAAAAAAGTACATGTATAAGTTAAATTTAAACCTTGGCAAGTCCAAGCTAGTTTGTCCCACGCATATACAAAAATCATGAATGGCACAACAAACGATTTGATTACCGATTAAAGAATTACCCTGTAAACTTTTTGTTTGCTATTATAACATTAGCAAAGGAGGTAAATATTCAAATTAAAGAGGATAAGACTCATAAGAGTGCAGAGACTCTCAATTTCAACCTTGCCTAATATGCACTTTTTGGCATGACGCGTGGTTGAAACATTTTTAAAAATCTTCCCAACTCTCCATTTGTTCTCCCACTTTGATTTCTCTCTCCTGTTCAGACAAGACTTCAGGGGGTGTTCCATAAAAAAAGGCAACAAATAAAATAAATAAGATGAATCAATTGATTTGTAGTTCCTCCTCTTTCTCCTCATTTTTCTCCTTCCCTATTTTCCCTCTTCATCATTGATCATCTACTTATCATTTTTTCCCTCCTCCTCCATCTTCTTCTTCTACATCTTCTTCTTGTTGTTCTTCTTTTTCTTCTAAGTTCTTACTCTACATCAATAGCAATTAGTGTAAAAAGGTGCCTGCTAGGAGTCCCTGCGTGCCCTTAGTACACAAAACTAATCACTATTGTAAAGTCAGCATTAAATTGGCAATGTGAAATCAGTTCAAATACCCCCAGTTCACCGTCTACTTTCATATGGGTTGTCCGTCTAGCATCTTCCCTAGGATTATTGTTCCTAATAGGAACGTGCAAGCCTCTGTACAAAGTAGGTGTGACATGCATCAACGAGCGCATAATTTCGAAATCTGTTTTTCGCATCACCAACACGAGGACCAGAAATAAGAATTGTCGGCGAAAATGCGGACGATCCTTATTTTTTAAGATGCGTCTGTCCGCGTTTACCAAGACGACCCTCATTTTAATGTGCCGACGTTCCATGTTCTCGAACCAGCATCCTATTGTAAATAGAACAGCCCCGCCGCGTGACTACATTTAATAAATACATATAAGATTAGAAGAATAAAAAGGGCTATCATTGAAAGCATATGGAGCCTCGGCTTATTTTCGCAGAGAATCCTTATTATTTTAGGACATGATTTCATTTTTTTTTACCGCGTTTACGAGGATATCCTCGTTTATGTGGATGATCCTCACTCTCGGATCACCACCCCTACTGTTAAAAGGTTGATTACTTTAAGAGGTGGCAAGTTAAACCATTAATAGAACAAGCCTTCAGTCTTACGTTTTACAAAAATAAATCTTAGTGAATTCATATTTACAGATAAACTAGGTACGAGAAGCTTAAGGTGTGGGACTACAGTCACAGCATGATTCCAGAAAACTGAGAGCATACTCACCGGGATGCCATTTTAGGGCCATTTTCCGGTACGCCTTTTTTAAAACATCGTCCTCAACATCCCGAGGAACACCTAACACCTCATAATGACACTTGACTTCGGGCATTTTTATTCCTTTCTCGAAGATTGAGACATAACAGAAAATAGAAATCGCTCACATGCCGCGCCGCAAACTGAAGTTAGCCGATAATATTTTCACAATGAATAATAATCATATGAACGTACGTACGTACGTGCGCGCGTACGCAGATAATATGTGCTCTCCTATAATAAAAACAAAACTTGTCAACATAAGTACCTGCATGGTTCTACTTATTTTAAACAAATATATATAACTTTCTATATAATTATACAAATAAAGTTAAGAATTCGTTTTTAATAATAAAAATATTTATTGATATCCTCAATCCTTTACTTGGGGGCCTAAGTTATTGAGGGTTGCATGGCATTTCGGGGCAGTGGTGCAACCAGAGAGTTGTGAGTCCCTGGTGCAATCATGGCCTCTCTGAGTAGTTTTGTAAAAGATTAATTTTGACATTCAATAAACTGGCCCCAGGATTTTGTAGCTTAGGGATGTGTGGGGTGGGGAAGTATATGCATTTTATGAAAAGTGTCTATATGAAATATGTAGATGTCGGGGCATTGGGAGCAGTTCTTGAAGGAAACAAATTAGTGGCGTTTTGGGGGTGGGTGTTGAGGGGGTTCTCGCATTAATTTTCCACATGCGCCGCAAGCTCCCGTTAAAACTACTAATGTATGGTTTATTCACTCGATATTTTTATTGGTACCGTGCACTGTCATGGTAGCTGAGCACTAATTTTATTTTATTTTTTTTTTGCTGCCCCCCAAAATGGATATTAGACATGGGCATTAGACAACCCCAACCAGTCTACCGATAATATAGTAGACTGGCTCTCAACCAGCATTGACTGATCTTTACAGAAGTTGTCAACCACTCGAACAAAGAAAGAACAAATGACATTGATCGATGTACTGACATTCCTCCACATGAAATAATGAGGAAAGCTCACATTCATTTTCATATGATCTCAACACTCTCTTTGATGCTCCAACTTTTGCTCTAGTGAGCGACAATTTCTGTAAGCGTTTTGTAAAAACATAAGTGTATAGCAAGGGTCAGGGTTGCCATAAAAGATTACAGTAGGTTTAGGGTTAGGTATAGTTTTGGTTTATAGGGTTCAAATATGGAATTCAGGAAGTGAAAGCTATAAGCAACAAAGCAATTTTTCATAAAAGCTCCCCCTTGGCAATTGGACATGGTCATAAATGATAATACATGTAATTCATCTCGAGAGAAATGAAGGGAGAACGAAAATCAAGAAAACTTATCCAAGTCGAGTGTGCTTTTTTTTTTTTTTTTTTTTTCAAAAATGAAATTGTAGAATGCAATAACTCTGAAAACCGTTGATATCAGGTATGGGAGTAATTTCAAAACTTTGTCACATTTATATTGATCAGTTCTCACTTCTCACTCCATCCTTAATTTCCTACACTCCCTCTCTTCCATTATGAAAAAGACTTGTACATTCCTCTCTCTCACAATTTCTTCTGCTCTGCATTCCCCCCCCCCTCCCTCTCTCTCTAAAACATGTCTGCTCTTTCAGATATTATCTGGTCTCACAGGGATAATGCAAATTATATGTCTGTTGAGCGATGTATACATGTATGAGCCAGATAGTATCCCTTCCATCAATATCAAATGTGTTACCGCAGTAGGTGAAATGATCGTTTCGAAATAAAGATTCATTCATCAAGACATAAAGTTGACACTTCTCTCCCAAGAATATATTCTCATTCTCCAGTATATGAAGTGGTCTTGTTATTAAAGCCTCTCTAAAGTGTTGGGAGCCCCAAAAATTTGACGGCAAAACTTCACTTCAATTGTACAATGAAGTGAAAGAAGATGACATTGAACAATGAATTCTGCAATGATTCTCAAGATAAATTTGTTTGAAGACGAATATTGATGAAAGAATACAAAGAGTAGGTTCCCTACGAACAACACAAAACCTTAATTCTGTGTTTTTTTATCAATATTCAGCTTGAAAGACATTCATTTTGAAAATCCTTTGAATGTTTTTTTAAACAGATAAATGGCGCCATACAAATGTTGTGAATCATCATCAAATCCTTGCAAAATTGTGTGTTAAATAGCATCCTCTTTCACATTATTATAACATTTAAGTGATATCTTGTTATCAAATGTTGTTGATACTTTGTGGGCCCCCAACACTTGAGAGGCTTTAATAATAATTACTGCATCAATCAATGAATATGAATCTCTTGTCATTATTTAAACTATTCACTCCATTCATCCATACAATACCAAGTTATCTCTTTCCAGACAAAACAACTCTGACCAAAACACAAAATAAGTAAACATGACAGCATGTGTTTACAGCTGGGTTGAACTGTGTCACTTTATTCTATTTGAGAATTCCATGTGGATGCCACGGTAGATTATAGATCACAAAGTTCTTCACTTGTTCACAACACCTCTAAGATGACGGTGACAAGGTGGAAACTACCCGTGGCGAAGTGAGTTTGACGCTTTATCGCTTGGTATCGGGTGTGCTGGGATGGGAGCTTCATTGTGCTGGATTGCTGTTATACAGACAACTCCAAGATCATATATCTGAGATGACTGAAGTTTGAGTACTTGAAGATTGTTTGTGAGAAGTAGCTTAGAGGCGAGGACCACGGAAGGCCATTCCAGGGGCTGCTGGCTCGGTGACTTGGAGGTTGGTGATGTTGAAATCCTACAAAAATGGAAAAAGATGAAGATAAAAAGAAAATGACCTTGATCAAGTGTTACAGATTAACCAGTGTTTGCCACATTTATTACTTTGTTTGAACTTTGTTGTTCTTGGGGCATCTATGAATGGGTTTGTCACTACCATTTTCAAAAGGAGTGGGGAGGTTGTGTGAACAAATTTGATGAAAAGTTAATTTTAATTTTCAAAAAGCGTTTTGCTCAAAAAGGTAAGGACCACAGACTTGTATTTGTTGACGCCCACACACACGCACGCATTTAAAAAAAGTCATGGGATTTGGCTATAAGATTTAAAATTTGCAAACAGATAATGTTAATGGGGGGAGGGGGGGGGGGAGGAGGGGAGGAGGGTATCACCAACACCCCTCCTGCAATGCCCCGTCTACTCTGCCAGGACTTCACCTGTAATGCATTCATAACGAAAGTTTCAACCATGTAAAGAGGGATATTAGGTTAGGCAACACCACACGAAAGCAAGATCCTGTTTAGAAACCTACAGATTTACAGACTGGGCCACTTTAATTTCTGAAATGTATGTAATGATCTACATATTAAACAGGATTTTTTTCAATTAACAAAGCCTAGATTTCCTTATCAATGGCATCTTTTTGAGAACTCTCCATTTATAAATTATTATTCTAAGAAAATCCCACAACGATTGATGCCATCTATGAATTATATGCGAAATGGAGTGTACACACAACTTCATTTTTGTTACAAAATAGCAACTCCAACAATGGCTGCAACTGGAAGACAAGGAGTACAAACAGAAGATACGAGGGCAGAGAAAGGTTCAAGATGAGACACTCAAAGAGAGACGGAAAGACATTATGAAATCTCAAAGAAGTCAAAGAGAGGAGGAGTTAAAGGCATAGCAAGTTACAGAGCAAAAAGTTATATTGGAGGAGTTTTTGCAACAATCAACCAAAGTGAATCAAGAAGTTCTAACAATGAAAAACACAAATGTGACGCTGGGTCTAAAATCATGTTTAACAACAGGAAAAAATAGCCCTCAGAATCTTCCTTGTAAAGCCTAAACCCAGCATCAGGTTTAAATTTTAAAAGAATACAGACCTGTGTGCCTTTTTGTTTTTTATCTTGACCAAAAACAAAAATGATCAAAAGAAGAAACATTTGATATCAATTTTTTCCAGTGGTGTTGAGCCATGGTATGGACCCTATGGGGCAAGAGTGAGAGAGACAGAAAAACCTATCCATACAACTTGAACTCACCAGGAGTTTGAGCATGTCCTTGGTGTCAGGGTCGACCTCGATGATGTCCTGTTCCAGGGCGGAGACCTCGGGAACGTAGTTATCCCTCCTCTCACGCTCCTCTTCTTGGAGCTTGATGGAGATACCACGGACAGCACCCTTCTGGATACGCTTCATAAGATGTGTCACGAATCTGCAGGAAAATGTGGAGTGCACAATTCCTACCGGTCAGATGCTGTACTTTTAAATGCATCATTGTATTACGCACTTTATAAACCCAGAATATCAATATCATTATCAATAAATACCTTTCAGAAGTAAAAACAGATTTAACTTGCTGTTTAATACTTTTTTTAGAAAGCCGTTTTACTATTGGGCAATTCCACGGTAACGGAAGGACACTCAGACAAGATTTTTGAACTTCAGGTTCATACTAAAAGAACTGTTTTATTAGTATAAGATGTGAAACAGTACAGATATAATACCTATATAAGTGCCTTTAATTCTCCCCAAAAAAATTGTCATTATAGTTAAGTAGTTTAAGAATGTGCATATTAATTATCTCGGTAACGGAAGGACATAAAAATGGACATGGTTTTTCCAGTTAATTAGTGTTTATCCAAACTTTGTGAAGTTGATGAAGCTTTCCACTTGACTGAAACACATTTTGTTCCCCATAGTTTAATACATACTAATAAAACATTTCTTTTAGTATGAACCTGAAGTTCAAAAATCTTGTCTGAGTGTCCTTCCGTTACCGTGGAATTGCCCTATTCTAACATCAATGTTTCTAACCCAATTTATTCATCCTGCTTGAATCAAAATGACGGCTTGAATGTTCTCTTTCTAATTCTATTTTCCTTTTGATGACATTATTCCTATTCATCAATAAAACTAAGTTGAATACCTACCCAGCGATCTGGTTTCGTAGACGTTTACTGGGGATGATGGCAATCTCCTCGCATACTCTCTTGTTTGTGTGGAAATCAAGTGTAAGGCGGGTGTAGTACTTCTCAATGATCACCCTAGCAGCCTTCTTCACCGTCTTTGTCCGGACACGACCCTGCAAATTTGATCATGAGTAGAAAATTAGAAATTATAGAATTGATCATCTTCATGAATGTGAAAACACATCGCTTTGAAGTCTAGATCTATAGACTCTAGATCTATTCATGTTTTTTCGGATGGAGTTCCAGATAGAGGTCTAGCCATCAGCAGTAGGGGCGCTGGTCTGAGAATAAGGATTGTCTTCGTAAGCGGACGACCCTCATTCTCAAACCAGTGTTCCTACTGATCAGGTAAATCATACCTGGTTTCAATATGTAACTTTATATTAATTCATCATGAGTTTTGTTATTCGGTATGGGAGTGGATGGTTTATAATTTAATTTGCATCTTAAAAATCAATATGGCACAACAATCACAAGTCACAATCAAAATGCAAATTGCGATGTCAATTCATACTTCAGACAGTTCAGCATTTACTTTGGTAAGAAGACCTAGATCTAGACCTAGACTCTGTATTATAACTTATTAACACTTCATAATTAGTTACTCCACTTAATGTCTTATCAAGTAATTTGTTTAGGCTTTTACTTGCACTGTACACTCGGCACTTGACAAACACAAGGTACGATAATACGCCAACGGCGGACTGTACTATACTGGAAGAAGAAGAAGAAAACATCGCCTCCGCATACTCTACACAACTTTATTCTTTGCAAATACAACAACGCAAACCTCCGATCCCTATACGTGGGACTGAATATGGAAACTTTCTTTTACGGACAACACATCTCCACATTAATAAAAAAAATCATGCGAGTATGACATAATGGCAAAAAAGGGCTTAAATGAGAAGAAACTAAAATAAATAGCTTTATTTTCGTTTCAATATCAAATGCGTCAAAGGCCATGATAACTCTGATCATAAGGATATAATTTCGGGGTTATTTTCACCAACCATTTTGATTACAGCGTTGAAGCAAGAGGCCAATCAACTGTAGGTGGCGCTCTAACCTCGATCTAGATTTTTAGATTTTGTATGTGATGAGGGGTAGATCTATAAAAAGGGACTCTACATTGCATTCTATTCTAATAGATTTCAGTTCTGGAAAAAACGAAACCAATAATAATAATAATAATAATAAGTAAGTTGCCATGAGACTTAATAGTAATTACAGTTAATACCAGGGGGCGACGAAAAAATAACTCAAAGTGGAAAGGGGGGGGGGCTTCACTTACGAGGGCACTTATATAAAAAGAGAAGCATGCACCCATCACTGCTGCGCTAGAAAAAAAACTAATCAGAAAAATTGTGCAGCATTTTCTCTCACTTAGCTAATAACTCAAACAAGTGTGTATGAAAGGAAGTAATATCATGTAGTGGTAGTGTAATTAAGCCACCTCAACGGCTCGACCTGTAAATAATTATTTTTTACATGTATATTATAGTTTAGTCTGTGGGTGTTAATTTTTTTTTTTTACAGACGTGTGTGTCGCAAGGTGGGGGAGGGGTGGGGGGGGGGGGAAGGGGGAGGGTAGTAGTCTGTTTGGTTGGATGGGGTTATTTGTTTTATGTTACAACTGATTTCATTTTTGTTTTCATCAATCGTACAATCTATATAATGAAAATGTTTTGAATTCATGTCAAGATGAAAAAACAACTGTATTTTATTTTTAATATTGATTTATATTGTTTGGAATCAATAAAAAAAACTATTGAAATAAAAAGTATCAATCACATATGGTATCCCTTATTGTAATGTCTATAGCTTTCCTAAAACACTTAAAACTTGTAATAAATGTTTTTATTGTTTGTAATGTTTATCTACTGTAGTTTATAAACAAATAGTATTGTTTTTCTTATTTTATAGTACATGTACGTCTTGATATTTTTTGTTTTTAATTTTGTTTAATTTTTTTTTAAACTGTAGGCCTAATATACTCCGAAAGGGGGTCGAAAGAGTCAATGAAATCAAATCAAATCTAATCGAATCAAATCAAATCATTTCATAGAATCAGGATTGGATTTACTTAAACATATGATAAATAAAAACCTGATCCAAAGACTCTTCAACTAAAGCGTGCTACAAACTTTGGGTTTTCAAGATGAAAATAAAGTATCAAATTTTGTTTCCCTTCCATTTATTGCCAATGAACACAAAACCCATGGTTGGACAGCTGACGTATAATCACAAACTGACATCATGCAACCCTACCCCCCCCCCCTCCTCAAGAAGAGGGCAAGGGACCCCCCCCCCCTGAAAATAATAATATATATATATATATATATGAATAAAGGACAGGGAAAATAGTTGTGTTGTATCTGTTGTTCTTGTTGTTGCCGGTAGTTAAGTGGTTGTGTTTCTTATGCTTGTTCGTAAGTGCTGTTTGATTGCTTATCCCCAGGCAATTGTTTTATGATTTATTATAACGCATTCGTAATTTCAGTATCAATCAAAAGCCAATCAGAAGTGTTATACTTTACACATCATTCTTTAGACAGATAAAATTGTTTTACACATTTTACGTTCAACTTTCAATATTAAGGGTGTATTATGTTTTGATCTAACACATTATTCAAAGTAAGCTTAATAATAATATTTCTTAAAATTTGCAGATTCCCCCCCCCCCCCCTGCCAACAAAAAAGCGATTACAAACAAAATAACAAGCACAAAAAGAGCACAAACGAACACTCAGATTGAACATTTTTAAGCTGTATATAGCAAAACATGACACAACATCAAATGAGATGCTGCTCATAATTATTGAGTCTGAAACAAAATTCTGGTCAAGAAAGGTGAAAAAAATTCATCTGGTTAAAAAAGGTATAAACTTTAACTAATATTAAAAACAAAATATAGCCTATAGGGACTCAGGCTATTCATCTTCGCTTCAGTTATAATCAGAAGTACACAGTGGACGAAAGCTTGCATACAAGATTTTGAAAAATGTGGAATTCTCTTCCAGCCTCCATTCGTTGCATTTCTGATATTACTTTGTTTAGATCAAAATTAAATACCTACCTAATGGAAAATGCATATTTAACCTAGTTCTTAAATTGTTACCTTACCTTGTTATCTTATGTTTCATAATTTCACTTTAAATTTGTTCACTTGCCTGTCATTACTCTGTTTAGTTTTAATCGTATTGTAAAGCGCTTTGATATAAAGTTTTATGAAAAGCGCTATATAAGTAAAAGTTATTATTATTATTTTGAGGTCGGTAGAAGTCTAAACTACATGCAATTGAAACAAACACTCTTTCAAGACCTATACAGTGCGTCCCCCAAAAAACGAAAACGAGAATTATCGATGTTTTAATCACAATTATAATTAATAAATTACACATAATTATTGTAAAGCTTAGATCCTCTTCTTTGATTTGGTGCAACTCATATGATGCCTATTTCCGATAAAAACAATTTGAAGAGAGGAAACCCAAAAGTCATTTGGCGGGCGGGATCTGAATTAATAAGATTTCTAGAAAGTTCAAATTTGAGCCAGGACTAATAGTTCTGCCTGTTTACAGATGTGATTGCATTTCCATAATTTGATTAAACGAGTTCATTTTCACTAGCTGCCTGCCGTAGCAACAAGCAGAGTTGACAAAAGACTAAAATCCGTTTTGTTGACGATCAGCCATGCACAAAGAAGACGAATTCATGGCTGATCGTCAACGAAACGGAGTTGTCTTTTATCAACTTTGTTTGATTCTACGGCAGGCAGCCAGTGAAAACGAACTTAAAGGTAAAGACCAGTATTGGAAACGCCCCAATTTCAAAAAATGAAATGGAAGCTCTCATTAATCATGTGAAAGAATATGTTTTGACTAATACATGATAATAAAAATTTGCCGAGAAACCGCCTACTAATTCATATATTTGGAAAATTTGTTTCTCTCATGGTCTGTGAGAGATATAGGGTAGTCCCATATACATATTTCTGTGTATAGTGCTTGTAACTTTACGAAGAATGGGCCAAATTTCTTATCATTTTGACGATTCCAGAACCTTGCAGATGCTAGATGCTAGATGATCAACCTTTTCTGATCGATTCCACAACGTTTCTTTCACAATGCAATCGCATGACCATATTACTGGTCTTTACCTTTAACTCGTTTAATCAAATTATGGAAATGCAAGCATTATTTTAAACAAACAGAACTTTGTTATTCCTGGCTCATTTTTCCTGATTGAGGTCGCATAGGGGGTATGGGGCTGTAGTCCCCCCCCCCCCCAAAAAAAAAGAAAAACACTCCACGCGACCACGCCCTCCCCCCCCCCCCTCATTAAATAGGCCTCCCTATAGCCAATATTTAAAATATGATTTTTCAACTCCTTGTTTCGTCCCTTCACTCATCTTCCTCCCCCTCCTTCTTCTTATCCTCCTCTAGGGCCCTTTTCTCTCCTCCGCTTCCCCCTTTCTTCGTTTTTCCGCCTTTTCCGTCTCCTCTCTCTCTTTCCCTTTCTTTTTGTTTCCCCCTCCTTTTTCTCCTCTCCTAGTTCTCTCCTCCCTCATTTTCTTCTTCTTTTTCTCCTGTTCTCCCTTTTTCTTTTTCCTCCTCCACCCTTCCTCCTTTGTTTACGGGGGGGGGGGAGCACGTGCCCCCTGTGCCCTCCTGAATCCGCCACTGCCTATAGCTACTATTCCCCAAGCGGTTGTCCATCTCAGTGGGTCTATAGTGGGTTGGGCGTGGCAGATAAAGCGGCGTGGCAACGGCGTGTATGGTTTTATTCGAAGCTAATATTTACTAAAAACATAGGTCTAAGACGTGCAAATTCACTCATTTTAGATAGATGCCCGTGAACAACGGGTCATTTTGTCGATCGATAGCACAGGTCTATATAATTGCATGATGAAATAATCCATGGACAGCCTTAATTTGTACAAAAGTGGCAAATATCAAAAAAAAATACTCATGGAGACGTCCAAATTTTATGGGTGTGCTTTACTTATACCTTCTGTTTGCCCTCTTGAAAAGAATACTTCCATCTTGCATCATATAATGTACCGCCAGTTCATAAATGAATAATGATAGCATAACTTTGGTTCATGAACAATATTCAGCATAATAATATGGGGCATATTTATAGCAGTCGAATCCGGTGGGTTTTACAGTTTTGTACAAAGTTACAAACTGCCCATGTGCAGATAGTATCGCCAAAGTGTCTAGTTGTCAGACTTATTTGATTGTTTACAAAATAATTTACACAATCAGTCAATCACAGAGAAATAAACGTATATCTTTGGATAATGAAATTACCACATGAGTTTAAATGCTCCTCTGATCATATAGATCAGGAATACGACTGCATAATTTATGCACGTGTATACTTTTTACTAGCAGACACTCCGCTTTCGACCAATCAGAGGCCGCCAACGCTAAGTACACGTGGATCGCCATCTTTCTAGACGTTCTGTAGTTGCTGATGCACTGTGGAGACAGGATCTGGAAAAGACCGACACATCGTTCAAAATGAATGCACTTCTGCTTATTTCGCTCCTCTTTGGAGTTGCTTACGGTAGTGATGTTATAGATTTTACAGATGATGACTTCAAAGACAACATTGGAGACCATTCACTGATATTAGTGGAGTTTTTTGCTCCGTGGTAAGTACACTTTATTTGATCTCTTGCCATTTATCTTACTTACTTAGTCCCACATATTTATTATATGAGTGGGGGCGTAGGCTATGTGAAAACTGAGCTGAGTTCCCCTAATGTCTGGGCGATTTTTCACAACTGTGACAATATTTTGGACCCGTAATTTCGGCGTGGAGATACCTTACTATAAGATTAAATAAATCATCCACAATTTTTCAAATAACGCTAACAGGCATGATTTTAAAAATAAAAGTCGTTAAAAGACGTTATCGTGAAGTTTCGTGTCAATTTTTATTCTTTTTTTGGTAGCCTAGACTTCTAATTTGGAGTATTTTTCCTAAAAACGAAGACATTTGTCTAATCTAAACACTTTCTCACAGGTTTCATGGCAAACCGCTGGACAATATTACAAGTGCACACCGACGGTGGATTTCACTTCAGTTTTGCTTTGGTCGATCATCAGACAGTCGGCATAAATAAGGATATCTTTGTGAATGGGACAGATCGCGTCCTAAAAAATAAGGATCGTGGGCAAATTCGTGGACGATCCGTACTACCGCTCCGTGCGTTGGTGATGTGAAAAACGGATTCCGCGATGATGCATTTCTCACTTATACAGCACATAGACGTTCATAAGAACGATAAATCCTTGGGAAGACAGACAGTCTGGAAAAGAAGACGGTGAACTGGGGGTATTTTATTTCATGGGAACCCTTTTTTTTTTGCATTGCCAGCACGCAGATCGGGAACCCTACACCTGCAGAGCAAAAAAAAAAAAAACGTCGGCAGAAATAGTACGATCATTATTTTTTAAGGACACAATTTATCTGCATTTATGAGGATATCCTCGTTCATGCAGATGATCCTCATTCTAGGACCAGGGCGCCTACTGATCCATTAGCTGAACTGGAACTATACTATATCACTCTGCACTGTCACTCTTTTTTGTTTTGTGTTGATTCAGGTGCGGCCATTGTAAGAAATTGGCTCCAGAGTTCGAGACCGCTGCCACCACCCTCCAGAGGGAGAGTCCTCCAATTGCCTTGGCTAAGGTAAGCAAATAGATGATCAAACATGATTTAATAAGTGTACTAATCACCAAAAAGTATTTTGTTTTGTATGTTAGAGGTTCAATGTTGCTATTCTGTTAAACAGATATGAGCTCAAATTACTTCCAAAGAGAAACATTGCAAGTTACATGTTGGGCCAAATATAAAAAATGAAGTGTTATCATCCCCGTCACCTCCTTTTGGGTAGCCGCCTCCATTTTTTTTACTATTCAGAAGAAAAAATGCCAGAAGAAAATAAAGCATGTGCTTCACATTTTGTTTTAATACATGTAGCTTCTAAAGGGATACAAATCATTTGTTTTGTCATACATGTACATTGCATTGGTATACTCACTTAACACAATATCTGTGAATAAATAGGCTTGACAAGCTATAACTAGCATGGCAGCCATCTTGGAAAAAGAATGCAAAATAGTCATGCCCTGCCTCCTCCTTTTTGTAAAGTCTGGACGAGAAACATGTTTTTTTGTTATTTGGCCTTATAATTTTATTGCACTCTCAATTATCCCAAAACTGACTCGTGAGTAGAACTGCTAATCCATAGAATGCCAGGTAAAGTTTTTTTAGGTTAATTTTATACATTCTGGCAGCACAGTGTTTACACATTTTTTGTTTGGTGATTCGTACACTTTGAAGAAAGGGTTGAGTTCTGAAAAGGTGACAATTTGTGAGCATTTTCATTATCTTTTTTATGATTGTATTGAAGAATGTCATAGAAAAGTTGTCTCCAGGAAAGGATGGCTCTTCAAAATGCCCTCATTCCTGTATGGATGTGAATGATTATCTTTATTCAAATGCTACTAATGGAAAAATTTATACACACCAAATGTAATGTAGGATGCAAGAAAATTTATCTTTATGTGGTTTTACATGTCAGGAAATAAAGCAAATACAAGAAAAATAATGATGTTGAAGTTGTACTGTACCATGAGGATTGAACATTCACTCTGGAAAATCAATGCAAGATGAAATGGCAACTTAAAGAAAGTAGCTTGATGGCATGGTGATGCAGGATTCCAGTCTAGCTTTGTATATAGCTTTACTTGGCCAGATTGCCATGCTAGATCAACCCCAGTCACCTCGAACCATTGTCAAGCCTTCAGAGATTGTCTCTGATTGTGGCCCAACACACTGATGTAGGTGGTACACTATGCTCGGGTAAGAAAAGAACAGGAAACAAAACAAAACAGAAAGCTATGGGAGTATGGGTTCAAATGACCACAATGACCGCAGGTGTTTTCAACCACCAACTAAACAGTGGACTTCACTTTTATGACCAACAGGTCTTGTGTAATGCACTGTGCCTTGAACCTACATGTACCGCCATAAGGATTTCTCATCATATTAAAACTCCCCTCACCCTCCAGGCAAGCTGGAGTTCAGAGAAATATATAGTGGAACAACGGGTTTGCCTCTTGAGAGACATGGGGAGTGTTTCACATATACTAAGATTGTCTTTAAGTTGGAATTGAATATGGCAGGCCGTTCATGCCACTAGTTCCTCTAACCATTCCTTGCATTGGGTTTCTCAAGGGACGTACAAATCATGGTCACAAATCTACAGAATTTACATTTTTTTGATAGTTCATTAATATTTAAAGACCATAATTGAGAGACCAATGGTAAGAGCAACCAGTGGCATGAATGGCCTGCTATAGTTAAGTCCAACTTAAAGTCAATCTTAGTCTTTGTGAAACACCCTCCTGAGCACACATTACTTGGTAATTCGACCAAATGTGGTGTCTGCGAATTATGATGCAATACATGGACACCGACTACTATGTGGTTCTGAAACATTTATTCATGTCAGTCAGTCAGTCAGTCCTTAACTTTGTTTACATCCTTCATACCTGTTCAGGTTGACTGCACAGCCAACACCCAAACATGTGGTGCCTATGGTGTATCCGGCTACCCTACCCTCAAAGTATTCCGCAATGGAGAACCCTCAGATTACCAAGGTCCCAGGGAATCTGGTACGTACTATTGGTTCTTCACTTTACTTTGAAAGCCCTTTACTCTTGTTGGACAACAAAAATATATGATGGTCTGGATAAATGGATCACACGTGACTGCTTTCGACCAATAATTTGAATTAGGATCTCGGAGTGAATTGTATGAAGGCAATTATAGCATTTCAGAAATGTAAGTGTTACAAACCAGTTTCGCCCCCTCTGTTTGGCCAAAGTTATTCTTATCTCTCACCTTTAAAAGTTTTTGTATTATAGTTTGAGATTTTTTATTATTTGAACCTATGCAAATAAAAATTGCAAAATAGAAAATCACTAATTTTCACATTAAAAAAAGGTGATTATAAAGTCCACTCCACATTGCTAATTTAGAAATATTATGCCTATTTTCTATTAAATTGTTAGTGTAGGATTTACAAATGGAGCGATCATCACAGGAGTATTTGTCGTACAAAAAAAATGGGCTAATGTGATAACAAGAATGTTCAACTCTTTCCATTTCATGACAGCTGGTATCATTTCCTTCATGAAGAAGCAGGCTGGACCCAAGTCTGTCGTCATCGCGACGGAAGCACAATTTGACGACTTTACCTCCGGTGCCACTGCTGCCATCGTTGGTAAGAACCCTTTGAATTATCTGTAATATAGTCGTGCAGGCGTATAGACACCAGGGGGGTGTTTCACAAAGATCCTAAGTTGAACTTAAACATGATGGACTACCATTTGTAGCTTTAAAATAAAATATATTCAAAAGTAAAAATTCAAATATTTTAGACTTGTTATGAATTCCACATCAAGAACATGAAATCTCTTCTTGATAATAGAATATATGAATGATTTGAATCAACATTTTATGCCTTTTAAAATAACTTTAAAAAAATATTTTCATAGATGCTAACGGCTTTCCATAATTGTTAAAGTCCAACTTAGAGATAAGTTCAACTTAGAATCTTTGTGAAACACCCCCCTGAAATGTCTATCCCTACCCCTTTCACAAAAAAAGAAAGGTTTAAATGCATAGTTCTGAGTAAGGGACTTTAATAAGGGCTGGTTTGACCTCACCGATAACAATAACTAATAACTATAGTGATAAATCGTTCCTAACTTGCCCAATTATTTAGGTAAACAAATTAATATGGAGCTTTCTGATGTGAAGCTCAGCGTACTTTGGGTAGTAATTTGTTGTTGTAGGTCAGAACCGAAAGACTAATATGCTGATGAGCCATCAACGATTTTCTCATCTCTTTGGAATTGCCTGTCAACCGACTTTCTTAGGACAAACCTCTACAATTTTCTGAAAGCCAATTATTTTACTCCTTTGATATGATGACACGAGTCCAGAAGAAATAATGTGGGTAGTGTACCTTGTATTTTAAACTGAAAATTTAGAAGATTTATTTGATTTCATGTAAAATAATAATTAGAAAAAAATCTAGCTCTAGGCTAGAGCTTATTGTCGATAAAGTTGACTATAATTTTGGTTTGCCTCATTTTGAACAGGATTCTTTGCCGATGAAACAAGCGCTGGATTGAAGGAATTCAAGAAACTTACCGATGCTTTCTTTGAGGAATTCAGATTTGCTTACACCCTTGATTCTGGTCTGGCTGAAAAACACTCAGGCACAGAGTAAGTCCATCATCTGACAGTGTGCCGAGAACCAGGGGCTAGTCTCAAAACTGTTTTAAGTCTAAGCTTTTCGACATCCCATGGAAACATCCTATAGCGCATTTTTCTAAGGGATGTCCAAGGACTTAGACTTATGATGATTTTCGAGAAGCTGCCCAAAAGGCCATCAACCCAATTAGGATCAGAAATCAATGCCCAGTTTGTTCTCGACCGGATCGTCCTTTTTGTATCTATTCTTTTCTTTTCATCTCACACTTCTTTCTTTTGTAATTGTTTACTCTCTGTTTGGCAAGTTTGTTTTTCCTTCATAATCCAGTTATTCTATCTCTAATTACTATCACCTTCACTATTTAATCACTAACTCTTTATAAATGCCTTGTATCCTCTGGAAAAGATGCTATTGAGTTCTATATAAGTCATATTATTGTTAAAGGGATCCGGTAACTTTGTCTCAGATTCTGAAATAAAATTCTGGATTTAGCTCATGATGAAATGATAATTATAAACCTTTAGGTCAGTCAGAAACCCCATGACTTTTACAAGCCGATCGCCTATCTGATTATCAAGATATTTATGATTGGAATGACAAATTTTGAAAACCGTTCACCTGACGGTTTTCATAACACTACAGTCTATTGGGGGAAACAGGTACAGTAAAACCGGTCACTCAAAGATTTTTACTTTTTTGAGGCACTTCTTGATCATTTTGAAGCGCAATTTTTTTAGGGCTTCAATATTAAACCATATCACAGACACTGATAACACGTAGGGCCGTGTATCTCAGATTTAACATTGTTAAACGATCCCTTTAAAGCCACACAATTAATCTCCATGTGCCACAATATATTTATCTTGGGATAGATGTACCAAAGGCTTTGATACTATTTTACTGTTTCCAGCGTAAGATTTTTTATGCCACTGTCAAAAAGGTTGTGATAAATACTGGAAATTGGCAATTTTTCAAAGCTATTATGTTGCACAAAGCAATTCTGTCCTGTGATACCTACTGGTAGTCTGTTTTGTGTTAAAGTGCACATGTGGCAGACGAGCAACCTTGCAGTGAGGCAAAGAAAGCCATCAAGTGGTAATATTGTGGTTTAGAGGTTGCATTGTATTTATAAGATACGAGTGTTCATGATCAGAAGCAGAGGAAGAGAGGAAATTCATTGATAATCACAATATTTGTCCTTATGTTTGTCTCACAGTAAAGTGGTTCTCTTCAGACCGCCACAACTCGCGAGTAAATTTGAAGAGAGTCAAGCGGTGTTCGATGGAGCCATCAAAAAGAAGGATGTTGAGAAATTCATCAGAGAAAATGTGTAAGTGATTCAAAGTTCAACATTATATTTCAACACTTTCATGAAACAAAAGCTCACAAAATATTTGTTCACCTTCCCCAGAATTTAACCTTCACATTCGAGGCTTAAGCAAACTTTTGTCTGTACATCTGCCTGTTTTTAGAAATTTTGGATGTTGGATGGTTTGTTTGCTTGGAGCAGATTAAACATTGAAGGTGTTGACCTTTTTAAAGCTAACTGTTCTGTACTGATTTAAGTGTTGATTGATTGATTGTGTGTTACTTAGCTGCGTCTGTATATATAGTCTATGCAGTTGAAATAAATAATTTGTGAGCCTTCTCATTCTATTTGTTAGTTTGGAGTAAGACATATTACAAAAGTAATCATCCCCTGAAAAGGATCGTCGTTAAATGCCCTCATTTAAAAAATATCACAAGAGATATATATATATATATATAGCTGAAAAGTGTGGACCAGTCATTAATGTGACATGTGTGTGTGCGGTAGTATATTTGTGTGTACAGTGCATATGACTTTCCCCAACATTCAGTCAATTTCCAATAATTTTGAGGACTCCAAAACCTCAAAGTATACACCGATTCATGTCATACTATCCAATCATCCTTTCCCAATTGTTTCCACAGTTTCTTTCAACATATGAAAACTTGACCAAACTCAACTCAACTTTATTAGCTCCCCCTTTTTTTTTACAACAAGAGGTATAATTCCATGCCAATTTTTAAGAAGGCAGTAATTTCTTATTCTGTGATTTTCCAGTAGTGTTTTTGCTGAAAGTTTACTTATTTGGAATGTTTGTCAGTATAGGATTGTGTGGTTCGTAGATAGTTAGTATAGTAGATCAATACTTTTCGATAGATAATACAGTATATGAACAAATAGATTGATTATAATCTGAGCAAAACCTTATAATGTCACTTATTCTTTTCTTGTTTGAATTGCCTGCAGCCATGGACTTTGTGGTTACATGACAGCAGATAATCAAGCACAGTTCACCAAGAAGCCACTCCTGACTGCCTATTACAATGTCGACTATAAACTGGACAAGAAAGGTCAGTGTTTTATGTCACTCTTTCCAATCCACAGAGTACCTTTGACCATGCACCACAAACCCACACAAAAGTTGCATGGTGTGTGATTTTCAGGTGTATTCGGTCAAGATGGTCAAATTTTAGTTTGTATTATTTCCTGAAAGAGTATACTCTCTTTACGTGCTAAGATACCCTCCTTTTTTAGCAAATAAATATTCTTTTAGAATCGGACCTAAACTAAGATATCATTTCTGTCGACTTTTTGGTGGTTTTGTGGTGCCGTGTCACATTTGGTGTAGCGTGGTTCAAATACTACTCCAAAATTGTGGACCAAGGTGCAGATTTTAAAGGGGTTTCCCATTTTCCATCAGCCTGACGTCGGTCATAAGGTTTGACAGAATAAGATAGGGTAATGATGCTGAGACAAAGTATTCAGTCTTGCTATCATTGAGCATTAGTAATACGCCTCCCGTGGCCAACTCTAATAGACCAGTTTGTAGTTGAATTGCACATTGTTTCATATGTGTTTTATAGTATAGTATTAATGACTGCTTTGAGAGAAATAGTTGTTTTTATACGCTCAAAGGAAGGTTAGAATTGTGCTATTGCCCCGAGGCGTGCCGAGGGCAATAGCCCAATTGTAACCTTCCCGAGAGCGTATAAAAACAACTATTTCTCGAATATTAAAGCAGTCATTAATACTTTTATATGCCAAAAAAAAAAAAAAAAAACTTTTGTCGAAGATGGGATTCGATCTCTTGCGTACCAAAAGTGATGTAACGAAAACCGCCGACTTAAACCGCTCGGCTATCGCGCTCTGTTACCATACGTAACAGTTTTTTTGTATATATACATTAAAATGGATTGAAAACGGCTTCGCGTGGTGAAAGCTTCGCGGCTGCTCCATTAAACAGGCCCTTCTTTTACTTTTGCAATGCATATTGGCACGAATTTAGATCAAGATCTATCGGCAGATGTTGTTTTTTTGTTTTTGGAAGTTTATTTTCGTCTTAATGTCAACAATGCAAGATAAAATTGTCGGTAAGATCGATCGAGATTCAATTGTATTGAAATTACCGACTAATTCTTCGCACACGTACGGTATCCTCGATCGCTCAGACCATTTTTTAACATGTAAATCTATGGGGTAACCATGGAGACTGACCTATTTTCCCAATAACCATGGTTATTAGGATTTTGAACTGTTTTTTAACCATGGTTACCGGGAATTTTCGGGAACAGTTAAAGTTTATGAATGCAATTTCGACCAATCAGATTGCTGGATTACTTAAGTGAGGTATATAATATTAGATGCAATCATGAAGAAATTAATATTGATTGTTATATTTTTTTCCCGTTTGTTTACAGGAACCAACTACTGGAGAAACAGGTTAGTTAATTTCCTTTCATCCATTGATTTTGAATAACATTTGATGATGCAATATTTCAAAGGGTGAGATATTGACAATGAAGTAATTTGGGCTGAGACAAATTTTTTTTTTAAAGGAGCCCACCTCATAATGACGCTCAAATATGAAGTATTTGTTGTTTAAACATATTTGTGGCTTACACCCAGTAAATAAAGATTGATTAAGTGATCTGTAATTGAAAACAAGTCAGAAAAAATCTTGAAACCAGCAGGATTTGAACCTGCCATCTACTGCTTGCCGGGCAGCGACTCTACCACCAGGCCATCACTGCAAGCCCTGCAAGCAGTAGATAGCAGGTTCAAATCCCGCTGTTTCCAAGATTTTTTCTGAATTGTTTTCAATTACAGATCGATCAATCAATGTTTAATTACTGGGTGTGAGCCACAAATATGTTTAAAGAATTGAAATTTCTCCAAGGAAGCATTACATTTATAAAAGAATTATTTGTTTACGGAATAAACAGCCTTTTTATCCGTATAAGTTTTTATTGTTTTGATTCGTTTGTTCCATCCCAGAGTAATGAACGTTGGTCGGGAATTCATCGGTTCGGTCTACCTGTCCATCGCCTCTGCTAGTGACTTCCAACGAAAGCTGGACGACTACGACACCAGTTTTGACGCAGAAGGTGGATCTCCTGTGGTTGCTATTGAAGGGGCCAAGGGCGAGAAGTTTGTCATGCCAGAGAAATTCACGTGAGTTGGCCTCATCCTTGTTGACAAATTCTTTTCTTTTTTTGTGTGTAGGTGGAGGAGGAGGGGTGTGGTTGGCTTGCATGCACAAATCAAGCATACACGTAGACTGTAAAATGGTATTAGTTCTTTTTCCAATGACAATCAATCTTTAAGCACATCTTCTTAGAGATTCCTAAATCAATGCAGATTGAAAATTAAAAATTAGAGGTGAAGGGATTGTAAGTTTTCTTTGTCCTACGACCATCAACCTCATCTACTTGTATGATTATTATAATGTTGATTTCCCTAAACCACAAGGGATTTCAATAAGAACTATGTGTCTAATGATTAACAGCCTCATCAATAATAATGATGGTAATTTTACTATACCATAAGTGATTTTCAAGAAGAATTTTCTTGATTGATCAACTTTGTTCTACTTTATATCAGTGTAGCAACGTTGCAGTAGAATTTATCAAATTGTATTAATAAATAACTGAATGAATCGAACACATGGTGCAGCTATTAAAGATAGTCATCATGTACGTATGGCTGTGATAATGTGGATAGATAATTGGACTATGGATCTTATTGTATGTTATTTCTATCCCATGGTGCACCTTTGGCCACATTTGCCACTCTCCACCCAGGTGGAGTAAATGGTGACCCTGTAGGAAGTTATTTCTTGAATGGTTTCTCTACCTTGGGGCAGCTCGGTTGAAGCCACGTTACTTTGTAGATGCATTTAGCATACTTTGTTAGCAGTGTAAATGTAATTTTTAATATTAGAAAGGTCTTACAGATACAAATGTGTGATTGGTCCACAGCTCATATTGTGGCATCGATTATGAGGATCATCAATACTGCGTAAATGGTTAGATGGTTACATGAATAATATAGTCAAATGTTTTGTGTCATACCACATCCAAGCAAAAATTGTTTGCATAGTGTAAAACTGCGTGCGTTTTACACATAAGGTTGAACAGCTTGAGAAAAACAAGTCTATCTAATACAACAGATTGACTCGAAGTGGTGTATTATACATTTTTGGGACCATAAGGAAGGTATATTTTCCTTCATGTTCATCTTTACCCTAGCACCAACCGCTCGGAACACTGTAACTCCAATGTCATACACTACCAGTCAGTAAAGATATGTTCTTATTGATTTCTTTTTTTGGTTACAGAGTTAAAACACTTAAAGCATTCATCCAGGCTTTTGTAAATGGTGAGCTAGAGCCTTTTATCAAGAGCGAAGATATACCAGCGTCCAATGATGGCCCAGTCAAGGTAAATACATTCAGCAACAAAAAAGAGAGAGCAGACACTATTTATAGTTAAGATTTTAAAATAAATATTTGATATAAACTTATCTTTCATATTTCAAAACCCTGCTGACCTATTTTTTTTTACATGATAATTTTCTGATACTTTTGTTTTTGTTGTAATCAGAGAATTATTTAAGATCTCAAATTTATGTAGACGTTTCCAGCAAATACAGTAAATTAAATATCATAATCAATATCATTTTCATCAAGTTCTTCTTGTTGGTGTGTTTGCTTTTCAGGTGGTTGTTGGCAAAACCTTTGATGAGATAGTAAACGATGAGACTAAAGACGTCCTCATTGAATTCTATGCACCTTGGTGTGGCCATTGTAAGACCTTGGAGCCTAAATACAATGAATTGGGAGAAGCGGTGAGTAAAACAAATTGAGAAGGTATTACGTTTTAGGTTATTCGTCCGTCCATATATGCCTGTCTGTCCATCTATCCGTCCTTTTGATGCCATGCTCCCGTAGTTATCATGGTTGACGAAATCTTTGCTTTGTAATCAATCTCACCAGCACCATGGTTATAAAGCTTGTTATCGCTGCATTCTATTTACTAAAGATGGATTACTGCCAAAATTATGTCATGTATGTATCTTGCAGAGCCAATGAACTGATTAGATTTTGGGGTCACAAGGTCAAAGGTCATGGGCTCATTATGTTTGCAAATATAGCTTGTGATCGTGTTATCATTAGAACTGATGGATGGATTACTAATACTATCAAACTCAGGACATGTATGTATCTTGCAGAGATTTCAGGGTCATGAGGTCAAAGATCAAGGGTCATTTATGTATATGAAAACTAGCATGTAATCATGATATTCTGAGAACCTGTTAATGGATTACAATCAATCTTGAATTTTAAAAATTGCTTCTGTCTTGGTTTGTAAAATCACTCTATGGCGGAAGCATCAATTTCAACAGAGGTCCATCTAGTTTATCAGTTAATTGTGCCAAAGGTAAGCTAACCTAACAATTGATGAAGTGATTCCCTTGATGTCGCATCATGTTCACTGTTTGAATCATGTTTTTATTTTTTTCTTCAATATTACAGCTCAGTGGAGATAATAACATTGTCATAGCCAAGATGGACGCTACCGCCAATGATGTACCCCCAGCATTTGAGGTCAGAGGGTAAGTATCTCTTGACCTGTTCAGACTAGAAGAAGTTTATACGAAACTTGTATAAAGAAACAGCGTATAAAGAAACAGCTATAATGAAACGGCGTATAAAGAATCATTGTAATGCGAAAGGGGCATACAGACTAGATAACAACATCGTGTAAAGAAATTAGTTCTGAAGAGGTCAATTGATGTCATTGCAGACTCACAATGAGCCTTGCAGATTTATACAAGACCCTAGAATGGGGAATTTCTTCTATACAAATTGTCTAAATACGTTGTATTTCCAGTAGGAATGTATCTTTACATCAAAATCTGTTATGATGTAAATAAATAATAATTTACTGCAATAGACTGTACTGTGATTTGAAAAAAAAACAAAGTGTATAATGAAATTGTAATGAATCGCATTCCTTTTGTATCTTTTAATTTGTTTAGGTTCCCAACCCTTTATTGGGCACCAAAGAACAACAAATCCAGTCCCAAGAAGTACGAGGGTGGTCGAGAGGTCCCCGATTTTATCAAGTTCATCAAAAAAGAAGCCACAAGTAAACCAGTCAACACCGGAGACAAGACCGAGTTGTAAAAAAAAAATCCATCAGTAAACAAATAATAAGAATTCACCGCCTATAGACATTCAGACAACAAATATGGAGAGAAGATTAGGGACTATTGATATAAAGATATATCTTTATCTGGAGAGTGTAGTTAAACTAGATATTTTCATGAAGGCCATTTTCACGCCAAGACATTTTCCCCCAGCTTAGAGCCAGAAGGGCATTAACGCTCTGTAAACAAACGGGACTTAACGCCCTTCTGGCTCTTTGAAGGAAATCCAAGGTACAATTCAATCATGTTTGCGGAATGATAATTTTGTGGCGATACTAATAACTCCAGAAATTCGCGAAAGTTTCAATCACACGCAAGTTTACGATTTAACAGGAGGTAATCGGAATCTGTGGGGGATAAACTGAATTTCTGTTTAATCGGATAGAGCTACTTTGACAGGTTATTAAATACATCCCTGTTTGATAGTGGGGCCTCCAATTGGATGGCCAGTTCCTATGTCGTTGGGTTTGAATGCCCAGAGAAGATAATATTGTTCCATTCTGATAGGAGTTGAAAACCCAGTGCCCATGCATGAAGTATTCCTGAACCTCATTTGTGTAGGGGTAAACTTAAAAACAAGATCTAGGTGGAATACAGATGTTTTTTCTGTAATGAAATCAATGACTTCGATTCGATTACTAAATATTCAGTTCCTCTATTGCAGGTGCTCTATTGGGAGTGGCTATCTGAATTAGAATGTCAACATTTTAGTTATTTTTCTATATATGTGAGCTCATTGTATTAGTAATGAGAAGTTCATGTACGAGTATGATTTTTTTCTCACTTTGTTTGAGCAACAAATAATTGTCCTTTCAGTATGTGTATACTTATCACTTCTGTATGAAAGGACGAAGTCACATCTCCTTGTTTGTTTGTTTGTTTGTTTGTTTACTTTTCTTCCTCTGACCATTCAGACAGTTTTATGAGCCATTCTGATTTAAAGTGTACCAATAACCTAAAAGGTGTATTGCTAGAATGTGTACAATCATTTAAGGGGTATGAAGAAAACAACAAACATAAAACGGCACTTGTAGACTTGTTTCTTTGCCTGCCCTATTCTATTTGATCTAGTGTACTCTACAAAACGTTTCACTAGTTACCGAGTTTATACTTCAATATTTCTTTATAGAAGTAATAGTTGAAGCTCGTATGTAGAAAACGGTTGTTGAGCGACATGGAACCTCTTATATTAAAAACAAAACATGCTGTGATGATTGGTACACTTTAAGTCGCAAGTCGAGAAGTCAATGTCAACTGTTATTTCAAGCAAATATAGTCTAGAGTCATTTTGTATGTCCTTCTGGTGCTGTACTGTCACACAAAATAGGGTTAAATTCACTCAAATATATACCTTGTTTCACACTAAAAACTTATATCATGACTCTTTTGGAAATAATACGACAGCTGGGAGGAATGTGAAACTGATCTAGCTTTATTTTCTTTTGATGAGATGTTAATAAATGATCATGAGCTGTTTGAAAGGGCTAGGAAATTGGAAGTGCCTCTGTCAAAAAAGAAAATTGTCTGAAACTCTGCTGCCCAGATATTTGAATTGGCACTAATATGATGACATTTATTCACTGCACTTGCAATTTCGCCACTGGTTTCTTACATCGATATATGCTCAGACGCAGTTTCTTACATAGGTTTGTATCCTAGTTTGAGTGAATGTTCCGTTTCTGTTTTTTTCTTCTCTTTTTGTAACTTCGTACTATAAAGAACTTTCTGAGTTTTCTAGGAAGGGTACTACATGTCTATGTATGTTTCAAGAATTATGAGTTTTAATCAAAATTTCTCTTTATTTATTTCATGTATTGTTTCAGTTGATAAAGATATGTATGTAGATTTTTTGGATTTTTTTTTGGATTTTTTTTGGTGAGGCCTAAACGGGGATTGTAGTTTTTTTAATGTGCTGTGCTTAAAGCAATACTGATGTTAAAAAGGTGATCGTCAAACTTTTGTGTACACTCTCACTGTTCAGTTGTTTGGTACACTGAGTCTTTATTTTGTAACTTTCAAAGAGAGCGTATTTGATACAATTTTTATGTTCTGTGATTGCATTTGTTGGAAAAAACAAAATAATGATTGAAAAATAAATGATTAATTATACATGATGTTTGTCTCACTCCTTTTATTTCCAAAATGCATTGAGGAGGGGTAGAATATTAATAATAACAATTAAAAACATTTATACTCTTTCACTCTTTATTTCTTCTTTCTTCTCTCCTCCTCCTTTCCCTCCTGCCCTCTCCCACTGTTTCTCTATTTCTGTCTTGTATTTCCTCTTCTCAATTTTCTGACAATGTGATAATTACTCATTAATAATGTTCACCAATTTTAAACAGTATAATAACAATTCCATAATGGCAATCGTATTAATGTATCATTCAACATTTCCGTATTATGTGCATTTTACTTTTACAGTGCTTCATTCTCAATTCTCGTTCATTTGCTTACATTTTTTTGTCATGAATTGAACTCTTTTTTTTCTCTCGTTATCCTTTCCCTCTCCCTCTCTTCCACTTTTCACTCTTTATTTCTTGTTTCTTCTCAATTCACTGACAAACTGATTATCACCATTTTATAACTTACAATCTTTCTTTTTTTCTTAATACTTTAAGGAACTCCATGACTTTTACAAGCCTGTCTGATTATCAAGATATTAATGATTGGAATTACAAATTTTGAAAACCGTTCACCGAACGGTTTTCATAACACTACAGTCTATTGGGGAAAACGAGTACCGGTATGGTAAAACCGGTCACTCAAAGATTTTTACTTTTTTGAGGCACTTCTTGATCATTTTGATTAAGCGCGATTTTTTTAGGGCTTCAATATTACACCATATCACAGACACTGTTAAAATGTAGGACCGTATATCTCAGATTTAACATTGTTAAATGATCCCATCACTGCAAAGTGAAATGAAAAAAAAAAGATTTACAGCTTCATCAGGAGCTAGCCATTGTTCCACGTCAAACTATGATAGCAAAACAAACAATCACAGTGCGTTAATCTTCATTTCATGAAGCCTGCACTTTTCAGGAAGAAGAAGAATCCTAAATACAATTAAGGGTGCATGTTATAGGTAAAGACCAGTATTGGCAACGCCCCAATTTCAAAAAATGAAATGGAAGCTCTCATTACCAATCATGTGAAAGAATATGTTTTGACTAATACATGATGATAAAAAATTTGCCGGGAAACCGCCTACTAATTCATATATTTGGTAAACTTATTTCTCTCATGGTCTGGTGAGAGAGATAGGGTAGTCCCATATACATCTTTCTGTGTATAGTGCTTGTAACTTTACGAAGAATGGGCCAAATTTCTTATCATTTTGATGATTCCAGAACCTTGCAGATGCTAGATGCTAGATGATCAACCTTTTCTGCTCGATTCCACAACGTTTCTTTCACAATGCAATCGCATGACCATTACTGGTCTTTACCTTTAACTTGAAGAAGGAGGCTGAAAATTTAAAACAGGAGTGAGGAACGGGCTTGTATAATATATGCTGAATACAACAAAGTTGTGCTGAGCTGTAAGCATGTCTATGCTAGTACAGCTATGGTACATAATTATGGGGAATGTTGAGTTCAATAGTCTTGTAAATCACAGACAGAGAGCTTGTAATTAAAGAAACTTAACTTTGCCGAACTGTCGTAGTAGAATTTGCGTGCCTGGATTGGTGAAATATAAATCTAGGAAGTAATCAAAAGAAATCAAGTGAAACTTAAAAAATAATAAAGCAATAACAAAACTTGTTAAAATTGTGTCAAATAACAATCACACCCGCGTCAATAACTAAACTACACAATACATCGACAACAACGACTGGAGTAACCGCTCTCCATAACCCCATTTCTCTGTATGCTGTACTGAGCTGACTGAATGAACGTGAACTTATGGCTGGAATGCGGAGAATATAAAATATAAACCGAGTGTTTTGGGTAAGTGGTGCTCTCTTGTGTTTTTAGGATGTCTATCAAAATGTATATTGGGTAGATATAATATAGGGGCAATAATAAACACAATCAAAGCGAGTTTAATTTTAACTTTAATTAACCTTAATAGATTACAGTCCCATTAACTACAAATTTTGTTTGCTTTGCCTTGAAAACAGATCTGTGAGTGTGAGTGTGAGCTGTGTAATCGAGTGTAGAGTCTGTAACATCGCACACATAGCATGCAGCATATATCCTGGCTGTGTATTAAGACGGGCAACACTGTACTGCGGTACATTCACTCAATATTTTGTAAAACCTGCTGTATGGTATTTTCAAATGATTATGATAAGCAATTTAATGAATCATTGTTGATTACAAATAAATTAAAGTAACGAATGCCGAATGGAACGTGGTGCTAGCAGTAGATCTAGTTAGTCTTCTAGCAGTTAAAGTCTTCTTCTTCTTCTCTTTCTTCTCAGTCTTCTCAGTCGTTTTCTTTACTGGTCAATACGCATTAGTCAATACACCTTAGCATTGACTCTCTAGCTTTGCTGGAGTGGGCGCTAGATCGAGTGTACTTTCGTATCCATTTTTGACCCGTAACTCCAAATAGACCTATCTAAAATTTCAATTGTTCAAATAATGGTCATGATTTCAAAGTTGTTATGTTTCTCGCCTGTTTCGTGTCAATTTTCTCATCTCTTTTAGAGTGTTTTTCCTAAAATTGAAGACATTATAATAATTTCTCACAGGTTTCACAGCAAATCGCTGCACAATTACAATACGAATGCATACTGAAGGGATGCAAGCGCGAGCGTGCGTGAAGTTAGCGACCGTAATAATAATGATCATCATCTTCATAATGTGAATTACATGTACTGTACTTACATGAATTTAATGAGGATCTGAGATTACAGTCACTCGTCAGATATTGCGCAACTGCTTTAAATGACTTCACTGGTAGAGTGTCCGCAATAACGAACGCCTTTTGATTTTATCGATATCAGGAAGAGGGAACTAAGCAGTCGTCTATCAAGAATGAGGAGGGGGGCTTTAAAAATAAGTTTACAAAATTTTCTTTCCATTTAAGCATTAAAAAAATCATGTACCAAAATGGTATATGATTTATTTTCATTTCATGTCATTTATTTATTTAAACACAGCAACTCTCTCAGCCTAAACGGCTGTTTTTCAGAAAGTCTGTGTTAACTGAATAAAAAAATATGCAAATTATATCACAAACAAAAACCAGTAACAATAGATAACAACACATAAACATATATGCAAAATAAATAGATAAAGTCAAAACAAAGGAAAACATAATTGGCATGGGAAACTATGAAGAATAAGAAGAAGAAAAAAAAACATGAATTATTGTAATATACAAAATACAATGAATCAAAAGTAGATAATTAACAGAGAAGTGTATTGTAAACCGAGAGTCTGATTGACTCTCCTCCCAAGGGTCACCCCCCCCCCTCGCTACCTAGGTTGTGACATGATGTTTTTTTTTACTCTCTATGGTTTTCAGTTCCTGTAAAATTGTGTTACAGCATTTTGCCCCCCCCCCCCCCCCATAACTTACACTCCTTATTTTGTCATTTGTTTGGCCTTTAGGTAATGCGAAATTTTGAAAAGAGTGTCGGGTATTATACACGAGGTTGCGCTTTTCAAAGAAATGTAGAATAGGTTTTGGTGCATTTTTATAAAATAATTAATGTTCTTTTTTAAAATCTTTCTAAAATGTTATCTAAATTCAAAAATAGGAACAGCTCATCTGTTGGGAATCTTGGGTCTTTCCTTAAGACAATTTTTAGCGCTTCATTTTGTTAAGTTTTCTTAAGTTCGTAACCCCTGTATTTGCATAGACTATATCACAGTAATCAAAATGACATTGTATCATGGATTTATTAAACAATTCTGCTTGGTATAATAATCGGAAGAATTCTCCTTAGTATATATTATTTAAACAAAACTGTTCTTCTTATTTTGTTGATACATGTACATGTATGTAGGTTCCATCTTAGATTTTCGTCTAGAATTACGCCAAGATACTTACACGATGAAACTCTCGGAATGGGTTTACTCTCTACTAGTAAATGTATATTAGGATCAAGTCTGTTTAACTTCTGGTACCTACAACAAGAAACACACATTTCTTAACATTTAATTTCAGTTTGTTGCATTTTAGATATTCACATACAGATTCTAGGTCTTTGTTTAAAGATGTTGTCAAATCTTGAACATTGTTACTACTGAAATATAAACACATATCGTCAGCATACATTAATACCTTAGAATGCTTCACTGCAGTTGGTAGGTCATTCACATATATTGAAAACAGCATGGGTCCTACGATAGTACCTTGCAGTATTCCACATGTAAGCTCCTTAGTATTCAAGCTTATACCATTCATTGTAATAAATTGCTTTCTTCCTATTAGATAACCTTCAAACCATTTGGTAACTTTTTCAGACATAATGATGAAACATTATTTTTGCAGAAGGATGTGATGATCAATGTAGTCAAATGATTTTTGTAATTTGAGCATAACAATCCCTGTTGTGCACCCTTTGTCTATATTATCAGATAGATCATTAATGATATTTAAAAGTGTAGTAGTTGTTAAGTGTTTTGGCCGAAAACCTTACTGATTATCACATAGTATGTTGTTGTCATTTAAAAATTCATATATCTGCTTGAAAACAAATTTTCTATCACTTTTGCTAGTACTGGAATAACCGATATTGGTCTGTAATTGCTTTTTTCTTGTTTATCTCCCTTTTTATATATGGGAGTTACACCTGACATTTTCCATTGAAGCGGAACAATTCCTTGTGTCAAGGACATATTTATAATATGACATATTGGTTTGGCAATATATTGTGAGATCGTCTTACAAACAATGCTGGGATCTCATCTGGCCCTGTAGCCTTTTTGACAGAAATGTCTTTTTAATTCCTTTAATGATTTGATAGTCCACGTAATGCTGTAATAGTAGAGTATTTTACCAGTGAATTTAAAAAGTTTTAAAAAATGGGTTGTTTAGTTTACACGTTAATGCTAGTATGAGGTCCATCCTGTTTACGGTTAGACTTCATGCATTGTAGGAGTGCAACAGTGTAAAGTAAGAGAAAGAGCCAAACTCAGGCTTTAGGAATATATCTCTATTTACACATGTCAATTATAAGTATAAAACATCATGATGAAAGAGATGAAGGCAAGTATGGTTTTAATAAAGAAGACTCAAATGTCGAGGAGTGGAAGTATGGTCCCATTTATAAAACCAAACTTTGAGAGATAACACTTATAGCTTCCAGAGATACCCAACTATCATGCACAAAGAAAAGAGACCAAGGATCACTTTTCATTTAGAACCCTTACATTGAACAGGATTGGGATAAATACCTTTCAGTCCTGCACAACTTATAGGGTAGAATTTCCACGGGTTTCTGAGTTGCCTACCGGTAGTTTGATTTGGCAGGGCTTGAGGCAGCCAGTTTTTAGACCCAGGATATAGTATCAGACCTTTACCGAATCTGATACAATTTTAGAACGTCTATCTTTAAGAGTTTGGGATTATGTGACACCTAGTGCCTTATTGTACGTTAGGTCCTGGGAGTCTAAGATGAGTCTAAATTCCCATATCTGATCTCTTTCTATCAGGGATCTTTGTCTTCGGTGATACTCTACCAATGGGCATATGAACTCTCTGTAAATCAGAAGGTGATCGCCAACAGGTACTCTGAAGGGAATGATGGAACGAAGGATGAGCATTCCTGTGTTAGCCTTTTTGAGCATGTTATCAACCTTTTCAAGTCAGATTGGATGTGGACGCCCAAAATCCTCATTAACTTAAGTCCTTAACCTCAGACAGGGTATGGTCGTTCAATGTCGGGTGCAGTGAGGTTGGGCCATTTCTCCCGAAGTCTACACACATCAAATTACATTTACTGGCATTCAACCATTTAGAGAGTCAAGAGTACTCTGCACCTGACTGGTTGCAACCCGCGGTCTTGATTCCACAATGGTCATATCATCAACATACATGTATTTCCAATACCCAACTCCAGAGGTAGAGAGAGTATCATTGACAAGTATCAAGAACATAACTGGTCCAAGCTTTGTACCCTGTGGCACACCTGCTTTCAGTGATGATTTCTCTGACAGACAAACTTGGTATCGGATACGCTGGATGCGACCAGTCAGGAAATTAGAGATCCATTTTTACAATGAAACCTTGAGTTAGTTCTATCAATTTCCTAAGCATGACAGTATGGTCAACCCTGTCAAAGGCTTTTGAGATATCTGTTGTAAATCCTTGTAATGACAGTCAATGTCGTCCCTGTAAGGGTACAACATATTACACATATTAATGTGTAGGTGATGATGATGATGATAACGTACATGTATACACTGGTACTTATTAGTTGTATTAATTTCCATTTTCTTCACTAATGTGGCCTTTGCATGGAGATCAGCCATCCAGTTCCCTTTGATTCCACAATGTCCAGGTATCCACTCTACGTACATGTACATGTATATATCAACTCCTTCACTCATGGTCATGGTGAGAATCTCCAGAATAAAAGGTTTGTCCTTCTGTTTTTGTAATGCAATAAGAGCACTCAGTGAATCACTAAAATATAACAACCCCTTTGTCATTCTTGCTGTTCTCTTATGATAGACATGAAATAACACACCCAACCGAAATGGACACCAACCGACCTTCCAGCAGCGGCACCCAGATGTTCGCTCGCATTCAGACAAATCCTAGTCCCATAGTTCAGATAAGCTATTCGCCCATTCAAACCCCGCAAGGGACTGTGATGATGCCTGTTGCCAATGTCACCCAGAACTTTAGCCCCACCCTAGCCGCCCAGAAACATTCAATCCTCCCCATCCACCTGTCGAATGCATCCGGAGTTGTCATAGCCGGGGCAAGAAGAGATGGCATCCCCACCGGCAGCCTCCAAGGACCAGAGAGGGGCAGAATATCAGCTGGTGTCATGGCAACGACCCCAGTCCATATGTCAAGCGAGAGGGGCAGGATGAGCGCATCGGGTGTTGCTATGGTAACGAGAAGAGATGTTGAGATGGGGGAAGGGCATCAAGAGGAGTCCAGACCGAACATGTCAAGGTTGTCCAGTGTGCTGAACTCGCTCTCTGATCAGGACCAGGCCAGCATGGATCTGGAAGTCCAGTCTGTCATGTTCCCAGGTAAAGAAGAACTTTAACTTGAAAAACATTATAAGAAAAAGAAGAACAAAAATATTGATAAGTTATCTGATTATTTAAAGTAAATAAATGGAAAAATCTCTTGTGTTGTCTGTAACACTTAAAAAAATTATAGCTATTCCTTATAATAACATTGAAAAATTATCCTGTTTAGTCATTATTTTGTACAATTCTGCCTTTGAGTTACTCATTAACCATAGCTGTGTTGAATCGATGTTTAGTAAGGAATGCTCCATAAGTAAACTGAAAATGCTGCTCACTGTTTTTGCATGGAACAGTATAAAATACTTCTAAGATCATACCCACATAAATGAAGACAAAGCTGATGAAATTCACTTGGGAAAAAAAATTGGTAATGTCTTCCTATTTCAGGAATTTCCCTTGACTTGATTTTGATTGTAACAACATAAATGGAAGTATTGAAGCAAAGTTTTCAGTTAATGCTTGGACAAGTCAAGTTGAGCAGGAACATAATCAAATTAATTATGAATTTTTTTTTCATTGTTGTAATCATCATGATCATCTTCATCATCATTATTTTATTTGTTATTGTTGTTTCTACTAATGTTAATGTTATTGTTTTTCCATTATGAACAAAAACAACAACAACAATTTACAATACAATGTACTTTTACAGAGAGTAGAGGACTTCTGCCCACAGTGAAGAGGATTTGTCCAAGTAGATCATCATCTTCAAGCAAAGCATCAAGCAAGTCCAGCTACTCACCCATGAGGGTAAGTGTCCTCTAGTCTCTACTCAAAGACATGGGGCATTGTAAGAAAGTTGCGATTGATTGCAAGTTGCAAATTTGCAACTGATATTTGCAATCGATTGCAACTCAACTTTCTTGCAACGCCCCACTAGTCTCCTAAATTTCCTAGGATTTTGTTGGGATTAAAGTTTTAACAATTAAATAAAGTTAACTAGATCTAGCTTTTATTCTCCCCTCTCTCTCTTTCTCTCTCTCTCTCTCTCTTACTAATATGGCGTTGCAAGAAAGTTGAGTTGCAATCAATTGCAAATTTGCAATTAATCACAAGACTTACGCTTGATTTGGGGGATTTGCAATTGATTGCAACTTCCTTGCAACGCCCCAATTCTAGTCTTACATCTCTTTATTACCAGCACTTGTAGTCAAAAGTAAGTTAGGGGAGAGAAATTAATCATCCATACTTGTAGTCCCCCTCCTACAGGCCCACATATATATATATATATATATATATATATATATATATATATATATATATATATATAGTCTGCAAGCACAGACCCTATATTTGACATCTTATTACAACACTTTAGTACAACAACTATTGTGTATTGAGTGAAGACTCGCCGAGGTCTTAGTGTGAGTTGACAGCACAGGATACACTGAGGGGTCAGTGACACAAAGACAGAACTCCATTTCGGCCATTTTAGAAAAAGTGGTTTATGTGTCACTGAGCACTTGGGCCTTAAGGAGTTTAGTCTTTGTGTTTCCTGGAAAGCCCACATTTTTCTGAACATTTTGATATCAAATACTCATTTTGGCAAAATATGGAGTTACGTCTTTGTGTCACTGAACCCTCGACATGTACTATTAGCGTATGATATTTTTCCAAGAAAATGATATTGCAATGTTTTTTAATGTTTAAATAAAAAAATCCCCTCCAATTTTTTGCCATTAGCATTAACAAAGTTTCCACACAAAAACATAAAGACAAAATGATTAACAATTTTTGTTTAAAGATGTTTGTTTTGCATTAATCTTTTTCAATTGTCCTTTTTCCTTAAAGGGATAGTTGGGTTCTGTTGCAGAGGGCGCTACACAAAATAATTTTTTTGTGAGATAATGAAAAACTGAGTGTCAAATTTGAAGGAATTTAATATTTAAATGACAAAATCATATTTGTTTGATCAAAATCGGTTCAGAGACGGCTGATATATAACAATTTCTAATACTTGTGTACCACCACAAATATTAGATAATTTGAAAAAGCAGTTGAAAACAAACGAAAAAAAGAAATAGCGCCTTTTACGTCGTATTTCAGCCAATGCCGATATTGGCTTTTTTGTTGGCATTTTTGTGTTGGTTATATTACACACAACCAGCCGGCCCATGTATTGCTATTTTTAATTAAATAATTAATTAACGGTCACCATATATTTTTAAAAGTGGAGCTGAATTGGTATGATCGTATTGGCTAAATTTCAAACATTTTGGGGTCTAAAATTACCTTCATAGCAATTTTAGGTCCTAATAGGGCACTAGAAATGTCATAAATGAATAAGAGCAATAGCCATGCACTTTGAAGGCATTTGCGGTCTGAAAACAGAACTCAACTATCCCTTTAAACTAAAAAATGTAGGTCTATACCCTTTTAACCACAAGAAAAATAGATTTGTAAGTTACACTATTATCAAGGTAACCCTTTTAAGCAATCTAGCAGAGTCATTGGTGGTTTTGGAGCTCCTGGACGTGATAGGATCTGATCTTTCTCTTTAAACATAAAAAACACAAACATCATACGATACTACCAGTACCTTTAGCATGTTTTGACATCCATCCTGTTAACCTTTCAAAAATGGTGGTGGTGGTGGGAAGGTATGAACATGGAAGACAGTAATAAACATTGACAAACAAAGAGTAGAGTGCTCGTACTTATTTCATTTTTTGCTCCTTATCCTTAGAGGCATTCATGTATGGTTCACAGACCATGCTTAAACAGACTTTAGTGGGACTGCTAGCTCTGTCTAAAGTTATCTTTTTATTTTTATTTTGTAAACACCTTGTTGTACTACTCACCATGCAGCAATCTACCACTTTCACCAATACAAAGAGGGGCAACATCCAAACAACTACACCAACATTTCCTATGGGTAAGTAAATTTATCACATGATAGTTTCTTGATGAATAAGGTGTAAATTAACTGTAGCGAATTTTTGTAATTAGGAAATGGTTATCTTGTATGAGTTGGAGCCTCTATATTCTTTTGTTCAGTAACAAAATTTAAAGCAAATTATATATACATGTAGTACTTCAAATTCTTCAAGCTTTCCTCCACATTTGAATTGTTATTTACTTGTATTATCCAATCGCCTCAGTGAGAAATCATTTAACTCTCTTTTCGCTATTTCTCAGTTTTATGCATATCTCTGAGAAGATTTTTTTTTTTGTGAACCTTACATGTACCTCGTAGTGAAATTTGCCAGATTATTTTTCCAGAAGTCTTTATTATTTTTTATGATACTGACCATACAGTGTAGTACCAATTTATACAAAACAACTACTTTAATGATAAAATTGATTGTTTGTCTATTTTGTGTTGTTTTGCTCTCAATATTATATAATACAATATTTAGCAAGAATATTTAATTAAGTTGATTTGTAAAATGATAGAATAACCTCTTACAATTGGGAGTGTTGTTACAATAGCGTTCAAATGATTTGTGCTCTAGTTTCATTGATTTACCCTCTAATTTATTTGATTTGCCTTCATTTGCATTTTCCTTTTTCCATTTACTTATAGTTGAACAGAGTATCCACCAGCTTGCAGCACAGGGAGAGTTGGCGTTGATCACAGAAAGGCTAGAATCGGGGTCAGATATCGATGAAAGCGACTCGTTGGGTCACACCGCCCTCACATGGGCATGCCAGCACAATCAGGCAGACATGGTGCGCTTTCTACTGGACAACAGCGCAGACCCTAGCAAGGCCAGCCTAGACGGAGAGACCAGTCTCGCCTTCTCGTGCAGTGTAGGCAATGTGGATATAGTACACATGCTACTGGATAAGAAAGCCCCAGTTAATGTGTATGACTATGTGAGTACATCAGAGATCAATTCGAGGGGTCAGTGACACAAAGACGTAACTCTATTTTTGCCATTTTGAGAAAAAGTGGTTTATGTGTCACTGAGTACTTGGGCATTAAGGAGTTAAGTCTATGTTTCACTAGCCATTGACTTCAATGGGGTGTTGGGTGGAGTTCTTTGTGTTTCCTGGACAGCCCACATTTTTCTGAGCAGTTTGATATTAAATACTCATTTTGGCAAAATATGGAGTTACGTCTTTGTGTCACTGAACCCTCAAATTTATTGATACAGCCTCTTAGGGGCAGTCCACCCTGATATCAAGTTGGTTTTGATAGAAGCAGAAAAATGGGTGTAACAGGTCAGTGAAAGTTTGAGCAAAATCCGTTAGAAAAATAAGAAAGTTATGAATTTTTTAATCAATCAACCACAAATTGGCAAGTCTGTGCCGAATCTCGCTTATAAATCTTGTAATTTATCTCAGTCATAATGAAAATAGGATTTTTCTTTTACCTGTACATAATATTTTCATTCTCAGAATGGAGGGACCCCATTGGTGTATGCTGTTTATCACAACCATCCTGCCATTGTGAAGATGCTATTAGATTCCGGGGCAGACATGACGCAAGAGATGGAATCCGGACACACCCCTCTCAGTCTATCTATGGTACTGGGTCATAAACAGGGTGAGTCATTTACATCATCTGTTTTCTTTCTCTATTATTACTCTTCTCATTGATCTTTCTTTGCATTTTTCCCCTTTTTTTAATTAACATTTTATTCATCAAATCAACATAAAAAATAACATAAGAGGCACAAAATTTGACAAGAGATGAAATGTGAATCCAATTACTCTTTCCCTCGTGCATTCCTTGTGTACAGTGTGTCTCATGGTGTGGGTTTCGGGCAAGACTGTTGTTGTTTTAATATGTTGTTGCTGCTGCTGTTTTCTTCAGCTTTTCTATCACTTCTTGTTTTTGTATTCTTTGTATCATTTGCAGTAGAATACTTCAAATATCTCATGATCCATTGAGACAACCATTCTTTCATCCAACTATTACAATAACACTCCTATCAAAAGGCTGAATTACTCTAGGTCCAATTTGGGTTCATGCTTTAACTTCATGGTTAGATCAGATCATCTTTTTGGAGCCAGAAGGGCATTGACTCACAGATGTCCTTCAACACAGAGCTAACTCCCTTCTGGCTCCAAACAGAGGATACTGTATCGTCTTAGCATGCAAGCAGTCTCAAATAATAACTCATGTTTATCATGATCATCACTCATGTACTCATCAAGAAACGGATTTGTTATGCAGCACCTTTTACCACTTTTTTTACCCTTTTATTATTAACTGTCTTTCTTCTCATTTTCTACCTCCAGTTCAGAGAGTGATAGAGCAACACATGCTGTCGCTGCTTCAGATCACCTAGAACAGAGAGACAGCCATACGTGTCCCAAAGAAGCCAGACATGCCCAGTCCTCGAAAGCCCTCTAGGATGAACGGATATAGTGCAATGATGAACAGATTTTTTACTGAAGCAAAGAGTGATAGAGCAACACATGCTGTCGCTGCTTCAGATCATGTAGAACAGAGAGATGGCCAAACGTAACCCAAAGAAGCCTGGCTTGCCCCTATACTCGAAGCCCTCTAGGATCAAAAGATGTAGTGTAGTGTAGGACTGCAATGATGAACAGATCTTTGACTGGAGGATATTTTGGGGAGAGTTGGCACCAGGACTTGACATGTTGTGATTTTTCAGTGCGAATGAGTGGGAATGCATTCTCTATGAAGACACTGATCCAGATAATCTGCTCCTCTTCAAAGCTTTATAAAAGGGGAAAAGGATAGAGACCTATATGTACAGTGCAATAATACTTTGTCACTTCCTAAGCGAAGTGAGCAAAACATGAACAAGAAGCTCCATTGAATGGACTCCTTTGCCAATGCAGTAGATGTGACATGGACTAGTCACTATTTTATAGCCAGAGCGAGATAATCCCATCTTCTGTGCCATGGCCCCTGTCTCATTGTGAATAACAAGATCATCGCAAGAATTTTCCATGGACGTTTTTTCCCAGGTAATAGTATTTTTATGTTTATTCCAACTGACTTCTAACAAAGCAAGTACATGGTTCTTCATATTTGGACCAACCACGTAAGTCCTTTCCACTTCGTGATATCAGGATGAATGCTTTATGGGAGGGCACACGGGCAATACTAAGGGCTTGATGTGGTTTTGAACCTGGGACCTTCCAGTTACAAGACAGCTACCACTAAGCCATCACACCTCAATTAATTTTTCCTTCTGTGGATTCAAATGGCATTATTACACTTAATAATCCAGAAGTTAGTGTGACCAATCATCATCTGCAAGACTGTATTCAATAGATCCTTGAAAGGGCACAATTGTATTTCTCACAGATCTAGGTCTGCATGATTTGTAAATAAATAATAATAAATAATAATAATAAATAATAATAATAATAAAAACGTTACTTATACAGCGCTGAATAAGTGTCTTCATGTTTTTGTTTTTTGTTTAAATTGTGCAATTATCTGAGAGAAAGTCATCAATGGAGATGATACAGTATTATTGAAGTTTAATCAAATTTCAGCAGCATTTTTACAAAATTTAAGTTTTGATCTACAAATGTATATACCTAGGCTAAATGCATTAATAGTTAGAAAATTCTGCTATGCAGCCTTTTCTTTGAAGGAAATGTACAAGTATTTGCTAGACCAGTCAAAATAAATAGTTTTTTTCAAATTCATCCTGATGGTTTGCCATAAGAAAGAGAAAATAGATTAACTGGTAGTCCAATAAGTAGAAACAAATATAAAAACAAGAAAAATAAATGGATATACACTTTTAAACCCAAAAATTATGTTCATTCCAAACACTCAGTCAACTGAATATAAGAAACAAGATAATCTCGGCTGTCAGGACATACCATAGTCTTGGGGAAATACTTTTCGGTCGACAATAAGAAAATATGTTGCTCTACATACACCTCAAAATTGTATGTTTCAAAAAGCAGTCTGTGAATTTATTCTTCATTCACCAATTTTATCATGGGGTTCAAGATAATATTTGACCTCTCAAAATGCTCTTCAACAATCTGTCTGTCTTCTGATTATCATTGGGATCAAAGATCACGTTATCAATATCAAACTAGACTCTACTCAATTTTCTGTTCTTGTTTTCGCTGCTTATGTGTAACATGATAGATGTAATGACTATTCTTTTTGACATTTTAAAACTAAATCTTTATTTTTCCAGCAGGCTGGATTTTAAAATTTCTTTAAATCTTAAAATTAAAATATGAATATTGTCTGAAAAAATGATATCCAGTTGATATTTTCCTTTAAATCCTTGGAAGCTACTACTACCAGCATCTATTTTCAATGTAAATGCCTTTGTTTTCTTCCTAAATTGTGTATACATAGGTATATATTCAGGTGCACCCCTAGTGTTTCTGTTATGTTAAAATAAGTTTCATGATCATAAAAGCAACACTTGATTTTATAATTCTTTATGTCTTGCCTTTGGAGAAAGTTTTGAAATTTGCAAATTCTTCCCATTTTTTATCCCTCCACCTAGTACATGCATTATGTTGATACATGGCATTCTTTGTTAATAATGTGAAGTGTATATAGTAGTTCAGTCTTTATGCAAGTGATGTATATTTGACCATACTTTGAAGAAAAGGAAGAGTTTCATTGACTCTGTATATTGCTCGACTTTCATTTTGGAAGATTAAAGAAGTGGATTTGTACGAAAAATGATTATACATCGATAGTGTCTTTTTCATTTGTTTGGCATTTTGATATGTTCGTTTACATTTCTGAAATGAGTTTCTTAGTTGCAGAATATATGTGTAGAAGCTTCATGTCTTTCCTGTATAATGGAATTGAAACTGAAAGAGTGATTATAACATCAATGAAAGAAACATGATTGCTTAGTGGTTAAACTTTAATGAATATATAGTTTATGAAAAGTATGTTAGACAATCATTTTATATTTCCTGATGAATCAAGTCTTGCACTGACAAAATAATTTTGAATAGTTGGGTATTGAGCTACATTTAGAAAAAGAAAGCGAGAGATAGAGAAAGGAGGCTGGAAAATTACAAAGAAAGAGAGGAAGACAGTTAACAGACCTAGAGAATATGTTTAAGTTCAAGTTCAATTTATTCAATACTTTCATTAAATATATTACAAAGGTAAACAAACACGTAGAACATTCACAAAATAATATCAAGATGTAACATGAGAATAACATAAGCAGACGACACAAAGAACAATGGAAAAATATAAACATGCACATTAATGGAAGTATTTGGAGACAAGACATGAAGGCCGGGGCTTGTGTAAAAGTCTGTCTCCTGATTGTGGGAGAGAGGTTGGTGAGGGAGGGGTGGAGACGGAGTAGAAAGGAGAGAAGTGTTGAGAGAAGAAAGTATAAAAAGGATTGAAAGGGGTACTTGGGGAGCTGGAATATGGGGGAGGGGGATAGAAAGAGAAAGATAACTAGCGTTTATAGGGAGAAGTGAGCAATGAATATTAAATTAACAACGGGAAATACTATCTGAGTACATAGAAACGAGTGAGGTAGCTATTGGATAGATGGGGGAAACATTTAGTAAAGATAGAAAGACCAAACAAATGGGTAAACTTAATTGAGAGAAGGCGTACTCAATTTACACTTTTTGAAAGCATCATACATGTAGATGGTTGGTAAAATGAAGCAACGTTACAACTTATAAACTTCCACCTTGATTTCATAGAGGACATTTTATTCAACAATCATACATCACTGTACTTGATCGCTTCGCAATTTATTAGAAAATGAAAAATAAACATACCTTGTGAAAATAGATGTAGTATATGGCAATGATTTGTACAATAATATATAGTAACTTTAGATCGTTCAAAACTTTGCCGCAAATTATGTACATATCTACATAATTTCGTACGAATATCTCGTTTAAAAAAAATGAAATTTGAAGGAGAAAGAGAAAAATAAAACCTAGAGATTATACTTGAAACTTTTACCAGGAAAGGTGGTGTGTACTTATTCGACGATTTTAATAACGTAATGTCACACGTGCCATTGTGTTAACGTTCATGATGTCATATCAACTCATTTCGTAGTATAATGTAGCACATTAATGTTTAAATGTTTAATAGTTTAGTACGTAATTCTCGGTCATAGATAATTATGGAAATGCCAATGCGAGTAAGGATTGCAATGTCGACTTCTAACGCGATTTCCAACCTGCGGGTGAGGTTCGAGACAAAACCATTGGCGCGGAATGTATAATGCTCTATCCAATGAAGCTAAAATCTTTTAGCATCTTGCAAATAGATGCTAGGCCCTCTTTTTCAAAGATGATATCACAGACAATATAACTGGTATTGAACTTAACATTTTGTGTTTGAGGTATCTTTGGAAATCAAAAGAGTTATTCAAGATTATAAAAATAGTTTTAAACCGAATCATAAAAGCTCTTTACCTCTTAATGCTGGAAGAAAGAACACGGGTGATTAAATAATTCTTCAGCATATACAATTAACTCATACAAAATTACATAAGAGTAAGAATCACACACCGACATGAAAGGAGCGCTTTCATACAAATGAAAGAAATAAATATCGAAGATATCGAAATATTAAAAACATAGGAATGTTAAAAGATATATATATATTAACGCGTAATCATATTGTTCGCTATTTATCGTTAGTCGCCAATCTAAAAAAAAATACACCTTCGCTTCCTAGCTTAGCGGGGTCATTACTGTCACATTCGAGTCTTTCGATTGTTCTCTTTTGTATTTTGGAATAATGAGTTTCAGCCCTCCTTCGCCGGGTTTCAGTCCTCCTTCGGGGTCTGCAGGGCTCTCTGTATCTTTCTCATGGACCTCTCCCCATCCTAACTTGGGGAGAACATACCTAACACCGACCCAATACATGGGTATCATGAGGAGCCCGTCGATGGTCAGGAAGATGCTGTAGAGCGACGGGTAGACGACCAGGGCGTCGAGCTCCTGATCGGCGAAGGAAACGCCGATGATGGCGAGGGTGAGGGCGACGTTCTGCGAGCTGGTCTCGACGGCGATGGTCCGGCAGTTGGTGGGGTCCTGTCGAAGGATCCAGGCGATGAGGTACGCGAGACCGAAGCTGAAGAAAGGAAGACAGATGGCCGAGAACCATACCGACCACGATGTCATGAAGATGGCTTTGTTGATGACCGTGTTGACGATGATGTTGATGAGGATGGCAATGAGACCCAGTATGCTGCCGGCCTATATTAAAAGTGAACGAATGAGAGAAATGATTGATATGGTTTTCCTCTCATCTCTGAAACATCGTCAACACATTCTCTGATTTTAATTGGTATAATCATGAAAGATAGGTCCTAACTTTCTTTTTCAATGAAAATAAAATTTAAATCAAATAATATAATACCATAATTCTGATGCACCACTCAATAATAGCAGACGCTGTTTCCGTTAACCCTTATCTGCCGATCTACAAGATATTAATCAATCAACATTTTTTTAAATTTTAGCCATGAACATCATTAGCCAAAAGTAAACTTATCATGAGCAATACCTCGTTGACTTTCCGAATAAAAGCACAACTAGCAAATTTTACTTTTAACTGTCAAGAATGCATCAAATTTATCCTTTTTTCTTCTTCTTCTTTCGCATCTTTTCTTTCATTTAGAGTCGCTATATTTGTTCACTGGATAAAATATACTTGTTGAAAGGGGCGTGGCTATGCCAATTTGAATATGGGGGGGGGGGTATCAGACTAAATTTGTTGACCAGTTAACCGACAATTATCTGACAAGAAAAGAAGAAGAAAATGTAACCCGATTTCCAAATTTACCGACAGCAAAAATCAGAAAAAATACTAAATAAATCAAGACAAGACAAAAAAAACCAAAAGGAAATTTATTTGTTCGTGAAAGAGAACATTCATTTATTCCAAAACTTTATTGATTAATAAAGTTTGATCAATAATGTTCTGAGAACATCTATATTTTTTCTATTAAAAAAATGTCACAATCATTTAATGTATAGAGGAAAGAAACCTATTTTCCAACTTTATGAGCAACCAATTTAATTGGAAATCTACAATCCGACGCAACCTACATCCTCACCCAGTGAAGGTTCATATTATATTATTCAACCATATTCATGTAATATACAGTACGTCCCAGAAAAAAACGAAACCGACAGTTATCGATGTTTTATCATAACTTAATCACAATTATAATTAATAAATGACACATATTTGTAAAGCTTAGATCCTCTCCTTTAATTTGATGTAACTCATATGATGCATATTTCACGCATGAGTGATTAAAAACAATTTAAAGAAAGGGAACCAGATTGGTATCTGAATTTCAAAGAGAAAATCACATTTCCTGAAAGTTCATTCTCTGCCCTTTTATATGACACCTCAAACAGGAAAAATGAACCAGGAATAACAAAATTCTGTTTGTTTAAAATTTCCATAATTTTATCAAACGAATTTGTTTTCACTGGCTGCCTGCCGTAAGGAACAAACAACAACTCCGGTTCGTTGACGATCAGCCATGCATGAAGTCTTTCGTCTTTTTTTTTGTCCAACAAAATAATTTTGAAGTTCACCGCAAAATCATTCAAGCAATTAACGGACTGAACAGGGAAAATTTGGGGGAAAATTTGGGGACTGGTGTGATCACCACACCATTGTTAAGCACAGCATTGTTTGCAAACAGCAACCTTTACAACTTGGCCAATATAACGTCACACTTCGGTACTCGATAGACCATCTTATACATACTGTTGAAAGAAAGGTTGTACTTGATAATCTAAAAGCTTGTCAGGGACTTGCCTCACATAGCAACAAACAATGTATGCAGACTGGATTCCAAGTATTGTGATACATTCATTAATAACAGGTTAATGGAATACCTCGTCACAAGGCCCCCAGGAAAGAAATATCCATAAATTTGAAGATGTTAGTAAAGCGGTCTATCGACTACCGAAGCTGTGATATGTCATAAAAATCTATTTTTAGAATTTCTCAATTTGACCTTCATTTTCCAAAAGAACATCAAAATTTGTCCAAACGTCGAAAACCAATTCAATATGTTAAGTATTGGCTGAGATATGACCGTCTGAATAAATAGATTTCAATAGGAAATCACTGTTATTTGGCTCTGGTTCATAACATTACGAACCAGAGCAAAATAACAGTGATTTCCTATTGAAGCCTTCAGTGGATGGTCATATATCAGCCAATACTTAACATATTTAATTATTTTTCCACATGTGGACATTATTTTTTATGCTCTTTCGGAAAATGAAGTTCAAATAGAGAAATTCCAAAACAGTTTTTTGATGACGTCACACTTGACAACTTTATAATATTCAGCGTACCTTGATGATATAAGGCGTCCATTTCTCCTTCTTATGTCGGATGAGGATACCGATGAAGACTGGGATAAGGATGAGGGCCAGGGCGGTGGCTATCTCGAGATAGGGGATATTGATTTGAGCCGCTTCCCAATACCTGGTGTAGATGAAGAGATTGAGAGGCATCATCCCCACCGAAGCAAGCGTAGCAACCGTGCTCATGCAGAGACTGAGATTTGCATTTTTTTTTTATGGAAGGAAGAAGAACGAAATAATTATGCATGGTTATATAGTCGTCGCCAAAAAGTCAATGATAATAGTTTAGATTGGTAGAATAACGAAGGAAATCCAACGATAATCGTCATCGCGTTATTAATGATTGTTTTATCGAAGCCTTAGGTTTTATCATTCAATTTAAACTCGAACGATTCACGATGATGCAAAAAAAAAAACCTGACTCATTAATTTTTAAAGAAATTTAACATAATATTTAAAATTTCCATGTGAATGAATGTTTATATTGAAGGTAATACACAACATCACAGTAAAATTCAAAGTGGTCTATCGGGTTTCCTCCTTTTTTTGTTCATATTCAAAGAAACACAACAGAATGGCGGGAGACAACCCTGAACGAAACCCCGCCCCCCCCCCCCCCCCCAAAAAAAAAAAAAAAATATATATTGATTTGGTTTGCTCTGGAACACCTGCATTTCATTTTATATTACATGTTTCTTGTACATAATTATTTGTGTAGGGTTTATTCGTTTCTAACGATTTGAATTGAATTACGAGAGTCAGGAGTAAGTGAGCATACCTAAGACAAATGTTTCCATTCATCCAATAGACGAAGAGACTGGAAGACACGCCCCCTGGTGACGTAGCAACCATCATCATGCCAAGAGCATGCGCTGGTTCCATTTTGAGTGCCACGGCCATACAAAATGCTAAGAGAGGCAGAACAACGAACTGGCCAGCAAAACCAATTGCTATGCCGACGGGACGACGAATCTATAGTTTGAAGAAATTGGAAAAAGATCAAAGTTATGATCATAGGGAAAAGTAATATTTTTCAGCTGTAACTACTATCATAATTATCATTGTTAAGAGTGAAGACTAACGGTGTAGCCACAAGCAAGTGATAGCTGAGAGCAACATAATGCCCCCATTTTTCTAGATTTTCTAGACCACCGATCGGATATAAACACGTCGTCTCTCCTCCCCCACCTCCTTCCAAAGAAAGATGTTCTTGTCCCGTGACCCGCCCGATCTACACTGCTTGCCAAATTCTCTGGCTACGCCGATGTCGAAGTTTAAGAATTTTCAGAATTAGAATAAACTTGATAATCATTTTTTACGCATCTATACAGTGCGTACCAGAAAAAACGAAACTGAGAATTATCGATGTTTATTCATAACTTAGAGTCACATTTACAATTAATAAATGACACATAATTATTTAGAAAGCCATGCATGAAGTCTTTCGTCTATAAAATACGGCTGATTTTCAACGAAACGGAGTCAAGTCTTTTGTTAATTCCGTTTGTTGCTACGGCAGGCAGCCAGTGAAAATTACGGAAATGCAAGCACTACTTTAAACAAACAGAACTTTGTTATTCCTTGCTCATTTTTCCTGATTGAGGTGTCATATGAAAGGGCAGAAACTCAACTCTCTAGAAATGTGATTTTTCTCCTTGAAATTCAGATACCGTCCGCCAAATGACTTTTTGGTTTCCGCGCTCTCCAAATTAATTCCAATCACTCATGCGTGAAATATGCATCATACGAGTTGCATCAATTGAAAGAGGAGGATCTAAGCTTTACAAATATGATTGTGTCATTTATCAACTATAATTGTGATTAAGTTATGATAAAACATCGATAATTCTCGGTTTCGTTTTTTCTGCAGGGACGCACTGTATATTGTAAGATTTCAATGCAACACAACTAGACGACAGAGATATATATATATATAGAGAGAGAGAGATAGAGATATTATAACATACTTGGCTCACATCGTCATGAATGTTCTCACTATCAAAAAACTCGACATCGAATATCCTATCCCCCCCCCCCCCCTTTTTATATCCTATATCGACATCGCATGTAATGTGGGTCTATTTTGTCCAATCCTCTGCAGAGCTCAATATTAATGAGCTTTCAAAGTCGAATTAGGCTAGCTTTTGTTTTAGTGTGATTTATCTTATTTATATTTCTCGAACTAGAAAAATCTCTTAGCATATAAATAAATCGGTTTCTGATCAGCTTCTTACCGCTTCTTTGAGTCCTGCGATGGTGACGAGGCATCCGATCGACGTCATAATGATCACCATCAAAACCGGCAATAACACCTTGTTGAACAATCTAAGTCTGTCGTGCAGGGGATTTGCGGGGACGACGTCGTCGTCGGTGTCATTCAACGTCGTCATCATATAGAAGGTCGACATCGTCAAGTCATTACCGGCCGTCGTCGAATTGAAGATTTTAGAAACGTAAGTGGGCGTGGATATAGAGGTAGACGGTGATGATACATATTGTGACGTCATTGTGACATTTTCAGGAGCTGAGCTCGACAGGCTGTTGCCAATTGCTGCTACTGTTGTTGCCATGTTTGTATGTCTCTGTTAGGTGTATAAAGTGTAAACATCATGAACGGAACATCAAACTTCAAGAATCTGATGTTTTATTGAGATATTTCTTTTTGGTTTTACATTTAAGTGTAATTCGATTTCAAATTCACATTAGGTAACCTATTAAAGGATTCCAGAAAATGTCTCGGGAGTTCAATGACGAAATTTTAACAGGCAACTTAACACCTCTTGCTCGAATATACACTAGGCCTATTTACATTTTGCGAGTGGGAAAAGCGTACCCGGAAACTGAATGATTACTACGGGGGTAACAGTATTTCATCATTAGATATGTATCAAAAAAGGACATTTTAAAATCGCAAATATACAATCTCACTCTCGCAATTTCACAACCTATAACTTTCATTAATAGTGTCCTATTACTGGACTATTATTAATTATCCTTCAAGCGCTTAGAGACGGTATTTCGTGTTAAGCGCTATATAATCCAAAAATTATTATTATTATCATTGTTAACGAATTTTAACACGACCAAGATGAGTTTGTGTCTTATGAGTACAACGCTACTATCTGGCAAAGTTTCACCACCCGATGTTGTCCTATTTACTCAATTTCCTTCCTCAAAAGGGATGTTTACGGCTACTGACAAAGGCTATGGGAACGAACGCAGTTGTATGTCCAATGCATTAGTACAATGGTGACTTTACAGCAGTGGCACGTACCAACTACTTCCTCCTCTGAGTGATGTACGTTATACACTCTTGAAATCACCATACACCATATTTTTCTACAGGACAAACAGGAGAGGTATCCGTGACTACGTCACAATTTACTGACCAGACTGTTATTTGAGATTCACATAGACTTAGGATCTCATAATTATATCAAACATTCATAACTTTCTTACTATTTGTCCGATTTATAATATACTTTTGCTATTCTGTTTATCTTGTTTTTCTACTTTCATACAAACTAATTACAAAGGTGGGATCGCCCTTTAATATCTAAATCTAACGTAGGGCATTCTCCACAGAGCATTCATCTGTTTTTTTAAATTGGCTTTCGTGTCACGGTCACGATTATCTTCTAGATTATCTTCCAGTGCCAAAAGCTAATACAAAATTATAGGTGTTATTCAGTCGGCTTGATTAAACATATAATTTCAGGAATTGGCAAAACACTTACTATGGTCTTTGTAAAGGTATGAAGTATAATTCAACGGTAAGCCGTAGTTTTTATATATCACTCACTGGGACCGTAAGGAACGACAACTAGTAGTTCTAGAGGGGCTCAAGCCCCCCTTCCCCAAAAATATTATATATATTTAAAATACGTCAACCCCCCCCCCAAAAAAAAAAAAAAAAAAAAAAAATCTTGATTTGTAAATGAAAATAAATGCAAGAACCCCATGTTCCGACCAAAGCCCCCCCCCCCCCCCAAAAAAAAAAAAAAGTTGTATGGCCGCTCCTGATTACCAAAAGGACCCATATTTTCATTATTTCGTAGTTTCTCATTACCATAATTACATAGTACATATTGTAAATATGAATCTAGTACATAACTGTATCTTTTTTATAAAGTGGTATTAGAGACCCTCCGTTAATCCTTACATTCATGCATTATATTCATTGAACGAGTTTTAAAAAAACGTCTTCTATTGGGACTTTTTAAACTTAAGTAACAGCATTATAACTTGACAAGAGCAAAATAACAACCAGCATATGATTACAGTAGTAGAGTGTATACTTTATAGTACATACCACGGCACTTAGTGTATCCTTCCTTGGTGTTCAGTTGCGTCTTTCAATGAAGGTGGTTAAGCCAGAACGTCCTCTAAATGCAATGTTTCAACCTGACTGCCCTACGTAACAAAATAAAATTATGATCCGGTAACCAAGTCGGTAATTAATGGTTGTCATGACCGTTAACCGAAAAATTCTCTGCAATCCCGTACCATTACTGGGAAAAGTTTCAACGTTTCTTGAAAGCCAAATGGGCAGTAGTACTTCGTGGTACCCGGATACCGGGAGGATATGTTACATACGTGGGTCGGTGTGATTGATACGATCAAGAACAGGAAGTTGGGTCTAGCTTTACCTTTTTGGAATCGTATCCCTCTGAACATGCTCACTATAGGCCTATCATGTTTAGGCATATACTCTCATGCAATATGGTTGACAGATCACGATATAGTGACGTAGCTACAATGGGTTGGGCTGGGTTGGGTTGGGTGGGGGTGGGGGGAGGGGGAGAGGTAAATGACCAAGGGGTTTCCCCCCACTGGCTGCTCGATATTCGAACGCATCGAAAGTCCAAACAGAATTTCTTTCCCAGCTAGTCCGCTCTGGAGGGGGTGCATGCACGTAGACTGAGGGAATAAAGGGCAAAGATGGTGAAGAGGGGAGCAATTTAAACATAATTATGATGATCCCCCCCCCCCCACTTTCCCATTTTCACACGTTTACTCATATGCGATCTGTTTGCATTTCATTATTTTCATCCGTCTCGGTTGAATGCAACGCAAATCAACAGTGCCGACAATAACTGTTAATGGATGCGGGAGGGGTCATATCATTCTGGTCCATTGCTCTTCCAAAGTCCCCCCCCCCCCCCCAATGACCTTTTCTTCTTGTTCATCACCATTTCATTTGCTCCAACCTGTGCCCCCCCCCCCCCGAAATGCGAATTAACAAGGCCGCAGATAGAAGGGGTGGTAATTATAGGTAGGAATTCTATCATATTCTTTTTACGTCCTTACCCCTCTTTCATTATTTTCTCTCTCTCTCTCTCTCTCTCTCTCTCTTTCTTTTATTCTCTCTTTTCTCCCCATTCGATTTGCACCCGGACACCGTATACCTCTCCGATATCTCTATACGGCATTCGATATCATAATTAATTCCATTACGTCCCATGGTTTGTCAAACTTCGTATCCGCATATGATTTCCTCTTTCACACTTGCCGTTCAGGAAGATCGTCAAACGGGTTAGGAGATTTCCCCTTACAATGACTCGTTTCCCACTTTTTGCATTCAAGGAGCGATATATTAAACTTCGGAAAGTGAAACATAAATTCTGATAAAATTACTGCCAACAGAAAAAAGGAGAAGACGAAGCTCGCGGGATCGAGAGGGGTCTCATGCTCAGGGAGATGTCAGTTAAACTGACATTTCCCTGGGTAGCTGGAGCATCCTTCTTCTATCAGACAGCAACTCATTAACCGTCAAATACGAGTTTCTATAATTCTTAAGCCACGCCTCCGAGCCCCCCCCCCCCCTCTCTCTCTCTCTCTCTCTCTCTCTCTCTCTCTCTCTCTCTCTCTCTCTACCTTCTAGCTCCTCTCCTCTTTCCTCTCTTTGGTTTGTTTCTGTCTCTCTTCATCTCTCTCTCTCTCTCTCCTCCCATCACCTCCTTCTTCTCCTTTTCATCGACCCTCCTCCCGTTTTCCTCCTATAGCTCTTCCCCTTTCACCCCTTTCTCTCTCTCTCTCTCTCTCCCTCTTCTCCCCCTCCTCTCTCTCAAGCGTCCACTCCCTTCCCCTTTTCCTGTATAGCTACCAGGAAATATCGAGAATACGTGAGTTTCATTTTAATGATGCCAAATACGTAAAATTGTCTATCCGGATTGAAATGCAAGTCATTTAAAGAATTTTACTGCCAGTACTTTCTATGAAACTGAAATCAGATGAAGATGATACACGAACCGTAGCTTTTTACACATAATTACGATTTCTCTCTTTGTAATGTTCTCGTCTCTTTCCATGTATTTTTCCATTCGTTTTCTTCCTGTCATTTTTTCACATTTTACAATTTGTTAAATTAATATAACATTACATTTGTAATTCAATATCATGGTGACTACAAGAAAGATTACCGAGAGACCTTTTCAGGACTCCTTAATCCTCCCTCTCTCTCTCTCTCTCACATGGTGCACCCGCAAGCTTATATATGGTGATTATTATCATCATCATTATTTCAATTATGTGTGTCAATAATGAATTTATAAAGCAGGGCGTCTCAAAGTCTGGACCGCGGTTCACATCCGGCCGGTGCGTAGATCATGCCAATCCGGACCACCCGGAACAAAATCTCCAATTGCCTTATTTTTAGGAAAATGCAGAATTTCGAAAGTGTCAAGGAATTTTTAAAGAATTTAAAGAAAAATCAAAAGGAATGTAAGAATTCATGAAAAGTGAACATTTTCACTATTTTACCGTTTTATTTGTTAAGCTTTAGAAACAATGGAGGATCCTGGTGAGGGCCAAATTAGCTACGGTCCCCCTTTTTTGTGGCGGCCTAAAAAAATTAAAGGGGGAAGAGAGAGCGACGGAAGGGATTTGAGAAAAGGAAGAGAATAGGAAAAAGAGAATATATATACTAATACAATAAAAATTGCTATATATTCTGATTAATGAGTCTGCAACAAATTTGCTAATTCGCATGTTATGCAAATTGCCTATATATCAACGTAAAACACCCTGGCTGATGGGAGGGGGGGGGGTGCGGCGGCGAATCAGCCGCGGCCCTCCTCTTTTCGCAGCTTACAAAAAATGGACATGGGTAAAAAGAGAGAATGACTGGAGGAAATATGTAGAACAAAAAGAGAAAATATTGTCAAAGAGAAAAAGATAGAGGGTGAAGGAAAACGAGAGAGAGAGAGAGAGAGAGAGAGAGAGAGAGAAAGAAAGAAAGAGGAAAAGTGTGAAACTTGAAAGTTACACATACAGATTACATTTCTGATGAGTTGGCTTGACATGTACCTTCAGAAGACTGCGGACGAAAGTACAACAATACGAAGAAAAAAAATTCGATAAAGTTGTTGAGAGAGAGAGAGAGAGAGATTATTTCTAAAATGAAATGAACAGGCAAGGTTCCGCCTCATAGACTCCCAGCAAAAGGTTTCCTTATCAGTAAAGATACAAGTGGTTCCCAAGACAATCTTTTATTGATTAAAATTGTACCTAGGAGAGAGTGTGAGTTTTATGCGGTTCCTTCTAACAACCACTCCTGTGGACTTTTATTATTTACCCAATTTCTTGCTGTCTGCTGCCTCGTGATCAATGGAGCAAAGAAAGATAACGATGTATAGCAAGAGTCCCTATTCATTAAAGGATTTTTCCTTTTTATCTAGATGTGGGCATCATCCCATTGAATGTAGTGTCCAGTAGGCTATTAAGAGCGTGTCCTGCTATTGCTGAATGAGATGGAATATCAATCTGAGGGTTTGGGGGACTCTTTGAAAGGAGCACACAATGGGGCAGTGCATTTTAAATTTCAAGGGTTGAAACTCCACCCAGTATAGCTAGTATTTAGTCGCGATTGCACTCCACTCCTATTTACCCAATTTCTTGCTGTCTATCTGCTGCCCAGAGATCACTGAAGTGAAAAAAGGTAACAATGTATAGCAAGAGTCAGTGAAGTGAAGCGCACAATAGGGGCAGTGCAATTTAAATATCAAGGGATGGATTAGAGTTTTTATCGCCCACGACGTGTGTGTAATTGGGTTTTTACAGACGTGTATCAATCAGATATTATTATTTACGTCTGGGGACCGACCTTAACATCGGCTATCCAAGGGCCCTAGTAAGGCGGACCTCTGGATCCCATTAATAAACAACAGCAACAACAACCTATTAGTAAAGATAGAAGTGAGAGAATGTGAGTTTTCATCGCGCAAAACGGTCTTCTTGAAGGTTCAAAAATCTTAATTTCTAAAACTTGAGTGTCCTGGGCTCCGCCCCAGAACCCCGGCAGGGTCTTAATTTTACCAGGCCCCTAAACTCTACCATGTTGTACTGATCCATTAGAAATCAAAATAAGCCCCAGTAAATAATTAATATATAATATATTCAAACTTCTTTGTGCTCTGCTCCTACCCAGAAGGGATAGCGTTTACGCGCGATTGCAGTGTGCTTCGCGCACTCGTTGGCTTCAACACGTACCCCCTATGAAAAATCCTTGATCAGCCGCTGAGAAATATATAGTTTTTTCCCTTTCCTCTGAAGTATAAATTTGTGCTCGCTCGCAAAATTTAAAGTTTAAAGTTCATAATCTGGTACCGTGCGACATGTCGTAAAGTTGGACCCCCCCCCCAAAAAAAAAGCATTATCCAAGTAAAACGACCTAAGATCGAGGCATTTTGACTTTTAAGGATAAAAAAATCCATAAAATTCCAGTAAATTGGGTGTTCTTTTTAAGGAAACTCTATTCAAACGAGTAAAAGAACTGGCGTTTTTTTTTTAAACTGTAACAATTCTCCTTGGATCAGATAGACCTAGCTAAAACAGGCTTCATTATCTTCACTTATAGTTAGGCCCCTATCCTGTTTATACAAGTGTCATTTCTGAAAAATATAGGAGAAGATTGTCTAAGTCTGAAACAAAATTGAGTGATGCTTGAGTCGTGCCCTGCTATCGACGATAAGAATGTTCAGGCCAATGGCATTCACAGTTTCGAACATTACAGCTTTCTTAGAAATCACATCTACAGTCGAAGAAAAGTTTGAGATCCCATACTATAAAGCGTAGAACACAAAACAAGGAGCTCGCATTGAGTACACGAGCAACATGCACCATTATTTTATATTTTTAACAAAATATTATGGTCGGAGAGACAATTTTTATCTTTCCTCTAGACAAAAAAAAATTAGCATAATATTTCATTATGAAAAATCAAGATTTATTTTCCATTTATTTTTGTCTACTCGAAGCCACTGTGCTTCTTTTTTCTCGAGCAGTCGAGGTAAAAGAAAATAAGAGACAAATAATCATTCCAGATATTGCTTGTTCTGGTCTATATAGCGAATGGGCGAACAGTCATAATGCAGGTAATTCGTTTGTTTATGTATTTGTAATAGCAATATTATTTTCGACATATGTGTATTGTAGTTTCCAACTTTCAGTATTTTGCATATTGTTGTGAAAATTATGTGTGTTCCCACCTACTCGAGTTTATGTTTTGTGTCCAGCCGTCGCCTTTTGTCTTTTTTGACGGGACGCGTGTTTTTTATTTACAATTTTACACAAAGTCACAATAGCCTGTGATTTTACGGCTTTACATTCAATAAACCCGCTCGCTTCTAAAGCTTGGTAAGAGGTCACAAACGATTCGATTTTGATTATTTATTGCTTTGCCTCACAATTTATAAAAATCAAAGGCAAAAAATAAAACTGAAAAAATAAAATAGTGAGCTGAGATTCGAATCTCTACTCCAACGTTGTATTAGTATTACACTGTCCTTACTAATTGAGCTCTCGATGGGTTGATGAAAGGTGGGTTTGCATGATTATTATAACCCTATCACTGACCCTAACTGTTACCATATGCGCAAGCGCAGGTTAAGCTAGCTAGCTAGCCTCTTTGTGAGCGCGTTTATTGAAATTAAAGCCGTAAAAATCACAGGCTGCCTTGTAAATACAAATTATGCTGACGGGCCTAGGAAGAGGAGGCATCTCCCTGTATCCCTGCCCCTGTGTAAAGTCACCTCTTCATTAACCTAAATCCTGAATTAAATACAATTATATGATCACAAGATCAAACCAGTCTGATAATATGACAGGATATTATTTTACAAAGATTTTTCTGAAAAGGAAAACAAAAGCAGATCTAGGTCTAGCATGAAATTTACCTACGGCTACTCGGCAAGGCTAAACTTAATTCTAGAAAAGGAAATAAGCCTAGGTTCATGGTTTCTTAATCCCCAATATTTTCCCTTCTTATTCTTGTTCACTTTCTTCTCCTTCCTACTCCTCCTCTTCTTTTTCTTCTTTTCTTTCTTCCTTCATAAAATTCTTCTTAAAATTCCTCTAATTAGTATTATTATTCTCCTTCTTCTTCATCTTATTTTTTCCTTTTCAGAATCAAGTGGAAATTCTTCAGGATGATCAACCCTTGAATCCGTATACAGAAATCCAGATTCTACATGACCATACAGACCTGATCAAGTTCCTATTGCCCATCAGTGAAAATAAGTAGGTATCAAAGAAAGGACCATTGCGCATGATGGTTATGTATAAAGCATAGCTGCATCCGAAATTGGGATGAGAAATCTAGAATGTAACAATCTCCAAATCATCAGTAAAGACATTTTATTACAAAAAAAAATAATGGAGTTGTGAAGAAAAAAAAATGTTTGTTGTATATAGATTCCTCTCTGTTTTTCTCTTTCACTCTTGGCATACATTGGTTGATAAAGGATTTGTTTCATGTATATATGATAAATGGTAGTTTAGCTAAGTTTTATGACGCCATTCTTCAGATGGCATTGTCATTAATGGTAAACTGATCTTCACAGTAGGGACTGGCACTCCAACTTTTTGTAGTATTTTATCTTTTGAAAAGATAAATGAATGAAAAAATATGTGTGTTCCCAAATCATTTTTAAATCCTAAGTGCTGCCTTAAGCTGAGTCATAGTGTTTTGCCTCATTTTGAACGATCCCAACCATTCTAATCTAATTTTTGTTTAAATTTAAATAGATTCCTGTCCGTATCAGATGACAATACTGGTATCATTTGGGATGTGACCACCGGCTTGAAGCTCTGCACCCTGGTGGGCCACACCCGGCCCATCACCTGCGCCTCTCTCATGAGACCACCGGTGGACGACGAGTCCAGGGAGGTGGAGATGTCGCACTATCTGCTCCTGACGGGATCCTCCGACCGGACGATACGTGTCTGGAGCACCGAGAATGGGGCGTGTCTGCAGATCATCACAGAGCATAATGCCACCACAAAGGTTTGTGTAAAAATAGGAAATGTTTGACTCGCGATAGCTTTATGAAGCCATTCTTCAGATGGCATTAATAATAATAATAATAGGCATTTCTATAGCACCGTCTATCTGGATAATTCTATTCCGAGGCACATTATTATTACCCTGGCTTTAGCCTAGCTGCCGTTTATACAGCACTCCAGCATTTCAAGGAATTAATTCCTGCCAGGTACCCATTTACATCACCTGGGTTGAGTGTGGCAAATGTAGATCAATGTCTTGCCAAAGGACATTAGAGCCGCGGCGGGACTCGAACCGCTAACCTTGTGATCGACAGTCTGGCGACGTATCCACTCGACCACGACACCTCATCAATGGTAAACTGATCTTCACAGTAGCTATCATTTTTCCACATTTACTCCCTCAAATTGAATTCCCAGTTCTTTTGAATTCATGCTCATGACTTTTAATAATAATAATACTGTCAGATTGTCACCAAATAATGGGTAAGTCTATTGAGAAACAGCCTTGTATCAAAATTTTATTTTGCTTTCAATATGGAACAAGCTTTGATGTAATATTACTTTTCCTCTCCCCTCGTCCCCCATCAAATCAAAGTATTTACAAATATCTGTGTTACTTTTGGACCTTGGTCTACTTTGTATTAAAACTGGAACACAGGAAATTAGACATAATATTATTTTAGACTTTGAATCCAATTTGCTAGTGGATCACGCACATGTTTTAATGAAGGGAACTAAAGCTAATTTATTTTCTTCTAACCTTGTTTTATTACAGGCTATTCTAAGCTTCCCTAACAATGGTCTGTTTTGTACTGGAGGTCAAGATCTCTTCCTGTGGAATTCAGACGGTCGTTTGTTACAGACCATCAAACAAGAAGCTGAAGGTAAATTTATTCTATGTAAAAAACATTTAATTGCAAATCACTATTTTAAAGCATGTTCCCTTTTTACAGTTACAGCACTATACAGTGGTGTTGATATGTTGTGATGATTTGATAGAAATAGGCAATAATTTCAAGATGAACTCAGTTTTAAAGGGGGTGTAAACTGACGAATACAGGGGAACGCCATCTACGTCTCCTTTCGGACAACTTCACGTAAACGAATGGAATTGATAAACAGTAGTCAGCGACTTAATCTCTACATGGTCATCGTTCGTGAAACAGACCATAATTCTCCTCACGCTTCGGTTTCGCACGCACGTGATTGCTGCGGTTGCATACGTCCATAGTCATATTATACCCGATTGGCCCCGAGTCAGGCTACGGGAAAGACACGTAGTCTCTTCAGTTTTAAATTAAATTTCTTGATCTGTACTAAGGATGCAATCATCTATTGAATTTGGATGTACCCAACTTTTCTTTACTCCATTGATGGAGGCTGATACAGAGACTTTTTTTCCTGCTATACTTTCTTCTAAATGATCAAGTTCAACGAAAAGAAAAGAACAACCAACAGTCCTGTCACTATCAATATCATAAATGTGCCTCGTGTCTACCCAAAAGTTTTAACAAATCAAATGTGACGATTACGTTTACAATGAGCACCCCCCAAAAAAACTGATACAAACATCCACTTGCCTGACAAACCAAAAAGACACAACATAGATTTTGTTAAAGAAGTAAAGGTATAAACATCTATGCTGAAATTATAAACTCTGATTTCAAAGAATCAGATGTGAAATTCTCTGTCTTTGAAATTTATAACCAATACCTAGTTTGCATGAGAAGTATAATAGAAATTATATATGCTTTTCATATAATATACATCTATGCTGAAATGATAAAGTCTGATTTCAAAGAATCAGACATAACATTTTCTGTCAATTGTTTATGACTATGTCATTGTTTGATGTATCACTCATAGGCCTTTTTCGGCCGGCAGTCTGATGATGGGTGTGATTTTTTAATAAAGAAATAAACTAAACTAAACTATAATATGCAGTTGTTTTGTATGTTAAGAAGATGTATTCTTTTCTTTATTTAGATGTGAGTGACTGCCCTTTGGCCGATATCAAGCACATGCTTGCTGTATGCGAGGATAGGTTTGTGGTAGCAGCAGGCTCGGCGCTGGAGGTGTACGCGATAGAGGCACAGATAGGTCAACTAGGGGTCACCTCGTTCCAGATGAGACGGGTCAAGAAACTGGTCCCTCAGCACAGGGAGGCTGTCATGTGTCTGACTAGAATATCAGGTAGAGTACAGTGTAATATATCAAAGGGTCAGTGACATAAAGACGTAACTCCATTTTGAGAAAAAGTGGTTTATGTGTCACTGAGCACTTGGGCCTTAATGAGTTAAGTCTATGTTTCATTAGCCATTGACTTCAATGGGGTGTTGGGTGGAGTTGAATCTTTGTGTTTCCTGGAGAGCCCACATTTTTCTGAACATTTTGATATCGAATACTCATATTGGAAAAATATGGAGTTACATCTTTGTGCCAATAATCCCTTGATATATAGAGTACCGAAGCTGTGACGTCATAAAAATCAATTTTTAGAATTTCTCAATTGTTTCTTTATATTCCAAAAGAACACCAAAAATTATGTCCAAATGTCGAAAACCAATGGAATATGTTAAGTATTGGCTGAGATATGACCATCTGAATAAATATACTCCCCGTAGGAACTCAGTGTTATATGCTCTGGCTCCTAATGGTTAAGCTACAGTCCCATATACGTCCCGGACCGTCCCGGACCATCCCGGACCCCATCCGGGGTGATCCGGGATTCGGTCCGTGTTGACACCGTGTTGGCACCGGGGTGGTCCTGGATGGTCCTGGATGGTCCTGGATGGTCCTGGGCGGTCCGGGAGTCGACCCCGGATGTTTTTGACGGTCAAAAACTGCCGGGGTGGTCCGGGACGGTCCGGGACAATAGTTTGATCCGGGGTGATCCGTGTAGCCACCGTGCTGGGTCCGGGGTTATCCGTAGTGGCGCCGGGGCGGTCCGTGTTGATCCGTGGCAGTCCGGGAGTGAGTTATTGACCGCCCAGGACCATCCAGGACCATACAGGACCATCCAGGACCATCCAGGACCACCCCGGTGCCAACACGGTGTCATCACGGACCGAATCCCGGATCACCCCGGATGGGGTCCGGGATGGTCCGGGACGGTCCGGGACGTATATGGGACTGTAGCTTAAAGCATCACACTTTTTTGAACAAAACATCCCGGACCATCCCGGATCACCCCAGACCATGGTCCGGGATGGTCCGGAGTGGTCCGTGCTCGTCCGTGCAGGTCCGGCTTTATATGGGACTGGGGCTTTAGGAGCCAGAGCATATAACACTGAGTTCCCATAGGACATATATTCATGTAAACATGTGCTAATCTCAATACACCCATTCCAATGGAATGTCTGTGTACTTGTACTAATGACGGTTTGGTGAAACCCTGCCCTGGTTCCCAACAGATGCTATAATACTGTTGTAGTGTAGGTTGTTCATTATGGTAATTAGATTAGAACTGATAATATCAGATGCAAGAATGAATGTCAGTAGTACAAAATGTAGGAGTATCGACTTGTAATCGTAGTCATGATACTGTTTCATGTACATGTAGTTAGTAGAATTAGTAATGGTTGAAGTAGGTTTTAGTAGGTTAGTGATAGTACTATCATTACAAATTATAAGATATTACAGTAAAGACAGAATTTTTAGACCTTATTGATGGTGGACGAAATGGGCGTAAGACAAACTGGGAATTAAACTCACTAACTAGTTATTAGACTAAATGAACAATATACCAAATTGGTATTAGACTAATTGGAGCTTAGACCTTAAAGATAAAGACCAGTTATGGTCATGCGATTGCATTGTGAAAGAAACATTGTGCAAGGTTCTGGAATCATCAAAATGATAAGAAATTTGGCCCAGTCTTTGTTAAGTTACAAGCACTGTACACAAAAAGATGTATATGGGACTACGCACACGTGCGCGACATGTGCGTTTATCTCTCACAGTCCAATAGATAAACTAATTAATCAGTAGGCGGTTTCCCAGCAAAAATGTTATCACCATGTATTAATCAAAACATATTCTTTCACATGATTGGTAATAAGAGCTTCCATTTCATTTTTTGAAATTGGGGCGTTTCCAATACTGGTCTTTACCTTTAAGGAAATTAGACCAAATGACTATTAGCCTATTTGGTCATTAGACCAAATGATAAGTGGACAAAGTGATTATTAGACCATGTGGTTAGTAGACGAACTGGTTGTAGACCAAACCAAAACAAATCACCATGGTGATGATGATGATTTTAGTCATATCAAAAGCAATAGGTGCAATTCTTTGTGTATGTGCTTGCATCCTAAAGAGTTATTTTTTTCTCATTTTTGTGAACAGATTCCTACTTTGCCTCCGCATCTCTGGATGGTACAGTCAAGGTTTGGAACTCACATACCCTCTCCACCTCCAGGCAACTCAATCACATCAACGAATATGAGAAGAATGGATTCCCTTGGTGTGTTCAACACTTGATTCCGCTAGACACAGTAAGACACCAGTCTATCGCTCGATTATTTATTGACTTCATTTTTCAAAATTCATTGTCACATGCTAGTTTGTATTAAAGCCCCACTGTACTACTTATAGCTACTTGCGCCCTCTATATAGCAAACAATGCCTAATTGCCTGTTGGTCCACCATGATTCCCTTTTTCTTATGTTAATTGAGGGCTGATTTGATGAGATAACCACCTGTCAGTGACCTTGCAGGGAGGTCTAATCCCCCTGGCCAAACTAGTGCAGACAGGCTTTAAGGATTGAAATGATTGTTTACGATCTGTGTTACAAAATCAATGTCGCAAGGTGATTTGTAATCTCCTTTTGAGTTAAAAGCCTTCTTTAGAAGTTACGCACCAGTATCAGTTTAATAAATTGATAATGATTTAGGCTGTGACATTTGATTGGTGTAGGACGAATGCTACAAAGAACCTGCTGGATCGAGGCTAATTTCCCTTCTATACCTGACAGAACCTTCAAACAAACAATTTCTGTCAGTGTATTGGATTGCATCATGTAGTGAAATTGTAACATGAAGATTTATAGTGTATCCAAGAAAGATTGTTCTTGATCCTAATACAGTGAAACCTGCCTATAAAGACCACCAAGGGAGACAAGAAATGTGGTCTTTATAGGCAGGTGGCCTTTATGTACAGGTTCCTTCAGTACATGTTTCAATGAGACACTATTTTCAAGGAAACAAAAAAAACGTGGTCTTTCTATACCGGTGGTCACTAAAGCAGATTTGACTGTACATAAGTTAATTTGTGTTGGAGAGAGAAAAGAAAAAGAAACTTTACAAATAGATTTAGTTGCCTAATCTTTACCACTCATCTTGTCAGTTTATTTATTTATTTATTTTTTATTTTTTGTTCTCTGCAGAAACACCTGTGCATCACTATTGGGTCTGGTCTGGCAGTATTTGACATAGTAACCGGTGATTGTTTGTGGAAGAAGGCACATGCTCATTTCTCAAAGATCACATTCATTAGCATCATCAACGATGGGTAAGCAAAGAATAACATTGATGATTCATGTTTCTTCTTCTTTTTGTAGTCTGCATAGAATTGGATTAAAGTAAAATCACTAAGAAGATTGTACACCTGTACAGGCATCTAATACAGTGTCTGTGATTAGCTGGATTGATGATGGAAATGATTTTCCTCGGAAGAAAATTTTAGTAAATTCATGGAGCGTATCTTGCAGAAGGTGTAGCTCTGAGATTGTTTTTTTTCCAGAAAAGGTAGTCTCCCAATAAGTGAAGTATAATTAACACAAATGTTATATTTTAAGTTCCTTGCATGGGCTTTATTTTAATCAAAGATATCGGTTTAGGGTTGGAGTCATAGTGGGGTTTAAGGAAGGTTTCAGGTTAGGTTCATAGTTAAACTTAAAGATATGCTTTAAAGTGTGATATACAAATACTGAAATGATCTACCAATTAGATTTAGACTTCATCAGTAATTGCCTCCAGAAAGGCCTTGAAAACACATCTTTTTTGCAGTTTGTAGTTAAAAGATTGTTTTTTGTAATTTTCATTTACTGTAGGCGCTTTGGGCCTAATGGGGAAAGCGCGGTATAAGTAATGATAATAATAATAATGATGTCACTGTAGTATGTGTCACACATGTCCACCCGTAAAATGAGTTTATCTGAAAGAGACTGTATGGAAATTATTCATTCTGTCTGTATTGCTGTGTGTAGGAGATTTCTTGCCACTTGTTCAGAGGATGGTACCATTCGACTGTGGGGGGTAGACCAGAGGATTCGTGGAGGGAGCGAAGATGGAGATAACTCGGCCAAGGATCTCTCCATGCACAAATTCACAGACATTGTGCAAGCAAGGTGAGATATCTTTTAATCAATTGTACTTCTTTTTCTTGTTTCATTCTAATGATGATCATGGGCATCAACCATGCTTTGGATGTGAATGAGGTAGTAGGGTGTATGACATTTTATCTTGTTTATGTTTAGTATTGCAATTGATTAGTATCACAATTACAGTGAAACATACCGGTACTTTAGTGACCACCTGCATAGGAAGTTTATTCAGAAGCTGTGCTGATGCGACTTGAAATGAGTATTATCCGTAGGAAGACCTGAGGTTTACGTTAATAAACAGCTCAGTCAAATATGTAGCAGCCAATCCTTTCAGGCACTCAAATGTTAAGACAAGAATTGTGAACTTGATTCTAGCACAAAGGTAACCACTGTAATTTCTTTGATATAAGAGAGATAGATTCATTTGAACAGGTCCTTGTGACAAGTCGTGCAGCAGAAACTTTGATTGAAAAAGTCGTTCTCTTTCGAAATTTATTTAGGAATCAATCATCCATGTATTTTCATGTAATGGTGTATTGCCTCAGATATAATAATTTATGATTGCTCTGCCCCCCCCCCCCCCAAAAAAAAATTCAAAATAATTGAGTACTTGAACTTTGTAAATGTTGTGACATGATACATCTCTCCATCTCTAGATTATGAAAGAGTTTCATCAGGATGGTTGCAATAATAGTTTGAAAGTTCTTGTGTGACATCCAAAAGGAACAAATCTACCTGTAACAGTTATAATGTCTAGAATTAAAAGATCTTCCTCAGACGCGAATTGGCAGACAGGTATAAACACAAATACCTTTTGGATGTGATAAAAGAACTTTTAAACCCCCTCTCCATCTCTTTTCTGTACCTTGCAGTCATCAGAAGCATTCCAAGGAGAGCAGGAGGTTGTTTAGGAGGGAGGAATCCAGGCCCCCTCTCCTATGTCTGCAAGGGGAATGCGTCGCTCACTCGGGAGCCGTTCAGATGATACTGGACTTCAGGCACGACGGGATGGCCTCGTGTGGTGTGGATGGACTAGTTATTCTCTGGAAGGTAGGTAGTGTAAGGAGGGTTGAGAGAATGGATGACCTGTGTATAGTTGCAGGTGTGTTGTGTTCTTTTCATCGCTGATTGATTGAATAGTCTGTAATGGATTGTATACTTAAAATGAATAATGGGGGGAGGGGAACATGTCTGAATGCAAAAGTACAGCTGTTGAGAACTGATTATATATATGTTCAATGTGTGAAACATTAAATGACAGAGATATGTAAGAGTTGAGTGATGGAAAAGGGATTTGTAACTGATGTCTCTCTCTCTCTCTCTCTCTGTCATTTCCAATTTATATTTCTTTGTACTTTCCTTTTGTTTCACTATCCTTCTCTTGCTCTCACTCCTCCCCTCTCCCTCTTGTGCCATCTTCTTCCACTCTTTTCCCTCCTCCATCTTTTCTTTTTCCACTCTCTCCCTGTACTACTCTTTTCCCCTCCTGCCTCCTCACCCCCTTCATTGCCTACTCCTTCTTCTCTCTCTCTCTTTGTATTTCCCAATCTATTTTTTCTTTGTTTCACTTCTTCTCTTGCTCTCACTCCACCCCTCTCCCTCTTTTCCTCCCTACATCTTCTCTTCTTCCACTCTCTCCCTTTACTACTCTTTCACCTCCTGCCTCCTAACCCCCACCCCAATTACCTGCTCTTCCTTCCCCTGTTTCTCTTCAGGATGGTGAGCTAGAGAATGCCAAGAGGAGTGATCTTATCAGGGAAATGCTACAGGCCAAAAATGGACTCCTCTGAAGGACATTTCATAAAAACATCAAAAGTACTATCTCATCTAATCATGTTGGTGGTCTGCTCTTCAAGGCACTGATCAAGATGGTGTCTTCAGAAGAAATAATGCCCTGAGCAGCAACCGAGCATCAAACTGGACATCTGCAAGAATGACCAAAATCATGAAATGCGGAAAACTTTGCTGGAAGGTAACTTTGATCAGATAGTTACATGGGGCGTGAGGTGAGAAAAATAATCTCTTCAGAGAGACATTGTATGTTCTGCTCTACGATTGAATTCTCATTGGATCAACCAATTAATTGCTACAGTATTGCCAAGCACTTAAAATAGTATTATTATTATGGAGAATTCTAGCCTGGATGGTGATAATGTATGAGAAATCTTTTAGTCATTTTTTGTTCTTCTGGACCGATGCAAGTTTCTTTCTTCCCCCTTCTCTTCCTCTTCCTGTTTCTCTTCCTGTTCCTGTTCCTGTTCTTCCTCTTTTTCTTTGGCTATCTTGGCATCAAATTTGTTTTCATGATTCCATACATCTCATTGACTCCACCTGTCTGTCTGAACTATTTGCACAATTTGGAGTGAGATCATGTAAAGATCACCAAAGAGAATAAACATAATTTCACATTCCATTTTTGAATGAAAAGGAAAATATTTCCTAAAATTCTGGAAATTTAGATTCTAAAGATAATATTCTGCATTAGATGCCACTACCAACATTCCTGTTTCTCCAGAGCTGCAAACCTCAACTGAACAAAAATCCTTTTCTTTTCCCCAAAAATATTATTTTCAAAATAAAAATCCTATTTTTGAGTGACAAGTACTCTCTTACGGCGAACATGAATTTTAAAAAAAATGTTTGGGGGGTTGCCAATTTGCGTAAGTTCCTACATACCGGAAGAAAGATTGGCCTAAGTTAATTCTTTCACGACTCTCTATCTGGTGCACCGCAATATCTGCTTTCCTATAACATTCCAAGTTCATGTAAACACAAAAGGGACCTACTAGGTATTTAGAACAACATTTCCCACTTTTTATCGTTAATAACTCAAAAACTATACATCAGATAATTCTGAAAATGATATTGGTTATAGCTGAATAGTGAACAATTTTCTGAGAGGTGATTTGAATATGATATCACATATCAGTTTTATGAAATTCATGCTTAATTGTGAAGTTAGGTTTCAGATTTTGCTCAATTTTCAACCCCCTGTACAAAATTAAAACTTTGTGAAGTCATTGGGTGTGTATGTGAGTGTGTGCTCAATCCCCACACAGCATTCATCAACCCTAGACTCTTGTACGAGAATCTTACACAATAGAGCTTCCAGATATGGAATTTGCAGCCATTGTCCATTTTTTTTCTTCCAATTTTTAAAATTAGATTTCTCATTCAAAATACATCTGCATCTGTCCGTGACGTACAATCACCAGCATCTGGTTGTCGCGTACGTTGGCTTAGGGTCAAACGCTAAACACACCTAAATATTGAAGTGTGCTTCGGCTACAAGGTTTTTAATGTCTAATGAGTCCAATTTGATTTTCAAAGTTTTCACATCGGGTGAATTTCTGGCTTCCTCATCTAGATGATTCCATTCGGGGACGGTCTTGGGGTACAGGGAATGCCGGTAGCAGTCTTTGTTGGAACTAATGACATGGTATTTATAAGTTCCCCTTTGTCTTGTTTTATACCTGCATCTACTTGAGTTAGGGAGCTGGAGATAGGTCGATATGTTGCTGGGTGTTAATCCATGCGTTTCCTTATACAATGCGGTTAGTCTGGCTTTGGTTCTGCAGACTTTCAAAGTTTCCCATTTGAGGTTTTCCAGCATCGTTGTGACACTTAATTCCCTGTCGTAGTCCCTTGTTGTGAATCTAGCTGCCCTGCGCTGTATCCTCCCCAGTTTGTCCTGGTCTGATTTATGCTGTGGGTCCCATATAGCTGCACAGAACTCTAATTTGGGCCTAATTAGCGATTTGTATGCTATGTCCTTAGTGCGAGTACTGCAGGAATGCAGATTTCTCTTTTATAGTCCTAACATCTTGTTTGCCTTTGATGAAGTTTGGTAAATGTGTGTTGCCCATATCATTACATAAAAATCAATGTAAATATTTCCCTACAAATACAAATCTTCATTTCATTTTCATAACACAAATAAATTATTCACAAAAGAGTGAGCAAAGAAGGAGAAAAATGGAATGAACTCAGATATTACTGTCATTCATAAAAAAAACACAATTCATGTTTGTATACAATGCACCCTCCATCAATAACCCCCACCACCCTGGACTTCCACCCCTTCTTCTACTTGACCCCCCCCCCCCCCCCCCCCCCCACCTATGTAAACATTCACATTCACACTCACAAGCTCGAACCTCACAAACATACACTCTTAAAAATATTGGGCAAAATGTTACCCAAAATTTACCCAACATGAGGGTAGTTATGAGTCCAACCAACTTCTGGGTAAACTTTGCCCCTTTCGTATTTTACCCATTTTAGGGCAAACTTAAATGCCCATCTAATTACCCATCTTAAGATTACCCAACCATATTACCCAGCATAATTTACTCAACTATTACCATACTATTGGGTATAAATATAAAGACTGGGTAATTGAGTTGGGCAAATCATTTACCCAACGAATTGACCAGGAATATTGCCCAATTATTACCCACCTAGGAAAAAGACTGGGTAATTGAGTTGGGTAAATCATTTACCCAACAAATTGACCAGGACTATTGCCCAATTATTACCCACCTAGAACATGGAAAAGCAATAATTGGGCAAAACGGTTGGTCATTATTCATTACCCAATTCCATTGCCCAGTTAGACATTGCCCATACATTTACCCAACCTCCTGTTTTACCAACCTTTACCCAACTCTTACCCAGTATGAGGGTTCATATGGATCCAAGGCCACGTTGGGCAAAAACAAAATGGGTAAAAATATCAAAAGAAACTACTGGGCAATCTTTCCTCTTTTTTTACTCAGCTTGATGATCATTTTACTCAGCATTGAATCCAATGCATGTAACTGACACTAAATGGGCAATATGGGGGATCCAAGAAGGGTAAACTGCAAGGGCAAAGTACAGCATGTTATATACGGACAATATAACTACAAATATAACAGAGGAGAACAATTGCATGTTGTGAACAATGTAAATATATTCTTCAACAAAACAAAAATACAATAAACAACAAAATAAATGTCACAATTAAAGTTTGAGGTATAATGGCATCATATACCTTTATAAGTAATTTGTTAACTGACTGAAATAGATCGGACTACAAATCAGGGAAGTTAGGAAAACAACTACAACTTGTAAATTAATGTTAATTACAGTGTAATATTATACCTATCCTTATTTGTAGGCATTATTACTGGAAATGATTATGCAATTACACATGATTCTGATACAAAATGGCTTGAGTTCCTTACATATACCTATCAATTCCAAACATGATGCATTGGTTTATTTAATACTCATACTTATTAAAATATATAACAACAAAAACAAAGTGAAGTATAACGATTAAAGTGTACTCCTGTAAATACATCTCCATCTTGTGAGAATGTAGTGCATATAATTATAAAAAATACATATTTATCATTAGTGCAAGAAAAAAAATGGCTATGTACAATTTTGGTTTGTTGCATATCTTTTTCATCATGTATACCTGTTTTTGTAACTCAACACTTTTCAAGATATGCAATCCAAATCCTCTAAGTTTTCACCAACCTTAAATAAAACAATATCATTTTTTTTCTCTTCAAAAGTGCTGTGACATTCTGAATATCGACATAACAAAAATCCAAAAGAGCTTGATATAGCTGTACATCACAACATATTGACTGAAAGGGTAGGAATAATTGTGTTGTTAAATGTACATGAACCAATTTTGGTGAGAATTCGTCAATCGGTTCTCGAGAACGAGACGTACGGACAGACGGAAGGATGTACCCGAAAGCATATTATAACGCCTCCGGCTACTTTGTTGCGGAGGCATACAAAGTGTTATAGGAGCCCCAAAATGTTAATGGCAAAATTACACTTAGATTGTACAATGACATGAAAAAATGTATCATTAAATCCTCATTTGTGAAAAGATTATACAAATGACTGTTTTTGAAGACAAATATCAATGAACAAATACAGAATTTAAATGTTTGCTGTACGAGGAATATTCAAATTTTGTATTCTTTTATCGATATTCATCTTAAAACACATTTCTTTGTTTAAATCCTTTCCGAAATGATTGTTTAATGACATCATTTTTCCCAAACAACTTACAGTAGCTATGCGATGAAAACTAAAAAATAGGAAATTATACATCACTACAGAGCTGGACTTATAGATAAACATTATAACAGTTTGAATCCTGAGGTGGGTTTTTCAACCGATGTTTCACTTGGATCTGTGATTTGCCATCAAATTAGTTGGGCTCCCAAAACTTTAGAAGGGAACAGTTTGTGCGATATCATATAGCTTGAGCTTCAATTGATGTCCTTAGTTGCAAGAAATGCCCTCAGATCACGAATTTTAGGTGTGATATTGGCATCTACATCACCCATACCATACACGACACTCTGCAAGAAATGCCAGACTTGGCTACATTGCTGTTGGTAGTCAACATCGAATACAAAAGTACTCTTGAACGCTACATCTACAGCAGCAAGCAGGCTTGCTGTCTCGATGGCGTGCCTCTCGACTATCACGTATGTCTGTGCAGGGTTGATCTTGCTACCCCTGGCCATTATGAACGGTTGGGAGCGCTGCTGGCCGTCGATCGACTTCATGAATTCCTCAATGTTCACCACCTCCTGTTTTGCAATAGAAACAGAGAAACAAAATTCCCCCTGTACTTATGATTGTTTCAATTGTTATCTTTACATGCAATTATTAGGCTCATAGTTAACAAAGGCATTGCTCTATGAGATTGGCACGCTCCACACCTGACATTCCATGGATGAGGAAGTAGGCTACTGGTAACTTCCAGCTTCCATTGAGTGCCACAACCATGAAAACTAGAGCGTCAGACGCAACTGGGTTGGTGTCATCTGTGTTGTCTGTTCCAGTATCTACATAGCCGTGAAATTTGTGGCCATCCCACTGTACAAGTTTCTTGATTGCCATTTCATCCAACATAAGGGAACACTGGAGTTCATGACCAGATTCTCTTGCTTCCTTCACTTTGATCTCAAGTGTGCGAAATGCTTCGTCTGTGAAGCCAGGATTTCCATCTATCGAGCTATACCATTTGCGTATTACCGATGGATGAGGCAGCTGAAGATCAAATATTTTCCGCACATATCTGTAAGCCTTCGCGGAGTAGAAATGGAGTGTGAGGGCAAACGAACGTAGTGAAGGGTGGTATTTCTCTTTTGTAGTAGTGCCAGTCTTCCTCCTTTTCACCATTCTCTTCATTATCTCAGCAGGTACGTCACACGTCTTCATCAGTATCTCGACGCCATTTTCTGAGAGAAATTTCTTTTTTTCCAGTGCCCTTACAACTTCCTGCAATGAATCGACCTTCTTACGTAATCGCCGTGACTTTGCCTGCGAAGACCTCAGACGTTTCTGGAATGAAGTGGCAACATCAAACAGTTTGTCAAGCTTACGTTTTATAGTCCTTGGACTTTGCTCAACACAGTAACTGTGATCTTGCAGACTTGACTTCTTCTTCACAGGCGTTTGGGGATTATTTGTAATGTCCTGTGGTCTGTGGGCTGTGGTCTTGATGGAGTGCACAGACGGTTGGTTGAACAGGTGTCAGGAGCTAAGAGTTCCTTCTCTGGCTGTGGTCTTGATGGAGTCGAGTCACAAGGGACGGAGGAACTGCAGGGATGGTTGGTTGAACAGGTGTCAGGAGCCAAGACATTCTTCTCTGACTCTTGGTAGTCACGAGGAAATGGAGATTTCCGTTCCTTGGTAGTCTGAAATTTCAAAGTTAAAAATGCAACATGATAAACGTTTTAGTAAAAACATATTTTCATCAAACTTTACAGTTATAATATTTCTTGTTCCGCTTTATTTACTTTTGTAGATATATCTTTTCAGTCCAATTGTATACATGTGAATACTTTAATTTTTTTAATTGAGGATGGATAGTATCTTATCAGATTTGAATTGATCAGTTATTTTAGTTATAAAAAAACAAAACAATTAGAATTTCACATATAAACATCTTGCCAGGGATAGTTCCCTCTTTTTTGCTCCCATTTATCAATCAATCTTGGGAATGAATGAAAATAATAGTCCTGATAAATATTAAAACAATACAATTTTCTTGCTTAGTTCACAATTTAGTATACCTTTATAAGATGTGCTGGAAATCTAAAGATAGTAGGAACAGCGTCTGCACGAAGTCGTGTTGTTTGTCCTGTCTTGTCAAAACACTTCTCTTCAAAGTGATCGGAACAGATGAGAGAGCATTGCTTTGGTACCCAGCAATCCCTCCTAATTTTCACTAGCCAGTCCGTCAAGAGGGCAGGATTCCGATGAGGAAATCTGATATATGCATGAGGGAAAAAAGAAGAAATAATAATTAGACATTATCATGACTACCGGTAATCATTATAGATCTAACGTTAGGCAGATTGCAGAGCAGAGACTGTTCCAAAGTTTCATCCATGAATCATCATCATCATGCCTAAATCTAGCCATGCATTATTAAAAAAAAATAATAATAATAAAAAACTCAGGGTAACTTTTACAACATTCACAACAATTATGAATTAAAACATTTCTATGACTTTTCGATCTAACGTTAGAGCACACACAGAACCATCTGTATGTCAGGCTGGCTGCATGCTGCCCTTTTTTTGCTGAGGAAATTTCTAAAGAATAATCAACAAAATCAGGTAGATCCATAAACCTACCTCAAGTCAAAATGAAATACGATATAAGTGGTTATTTTCGCGGTGGTTTTATTTTCGCGAGTCAGTCCTCGCGAACTGACTCGCGAAAATAACCACTTTCCACTTCAATGTATGGCTACATTATATGAAAACATCACAAAAATCGCGAAATTAAACTCTCGCGAATTTCCCCACCTAGTCCAAAATCGTGAAAATATATGTATGCGAAAATATTGGCTGATATACAGAAGGGTAATCTAGGGAGTAAGGTAGAGTCTATCATGTTTATTGCATTATAATTCTTTGATTTGAATTATTTTGTTAGTGGCATTTTCAGACCTTTTAAAGTTTTTCTGGACCATGCCTCCTTGGATGTTATCATGTTAAGATTGAATGTATGCACCTTTGCATGCATTCTCCAATAGTAGGAAATCCCCAATGTGCAGCAGGTCCCTGTACGAGGTCATTGACCTTGTAATTTGTACAAGTATAATTAAACGTTAGAGTCTATTTATATATGACTGACGTAATGACTTACACAGACCAGGGACGTGATAGAGAAGGACAGGAATCAAGCCGCTCTCCTTTGACCCCATGCTCCAAGCCGCCGAAAAGTTATGCGCTAATCTGCAACTGTTGACCAGGTGGTGAGATAAAAGAGTGCATGAAATTTCAGGATTTAGAATTCCTACATCAGAAAATGGTATCACTGCAACTGTTCGCTGTCCCTTCCAATGATTTCTCATCCATTGTTGAATGTGTAAAGAGTAGAACAAGCGAACACAAACTTGTGTACTTTCATCCTTTTTTAAACTTGAAAAATACAAAAAACACGCGAAAACACGCATTAGCAAACTTAATGTTATTGAAGATTGTAAATCATGGATCAAATAACGGGACATTAAAGCATGCACAAATTAGCGCATCATCCTAAAATATTGAGTTTTTGACAGAATGTAATTTTTCTTTTACCAACTCTGGCACACAAATTAAAGGAAGGACGGAGTTCTAAATTTGAAAATTTGTTTGATGCACTATTCCCAATAAAATCCCCATATAAAGTTTTTGATTTACACTGAAATTTTTGGTGGTAATTTAATATTTTGTAATAAATGTAAAACTGGTGCCTGGCTTCCGAAAGTCCCCGCAGTGGAAGCGCGGTTCGGAGCATGGAACTTCAAAGCCAAGTGGAATGTTACACATCCCATTGTTACGCTTTAGAACTCAAGAATGCGTTTGAATAAATTACAAGAGTTTCGCCTCCTTTTCTTTCACCTCCCTGCACAGACAGAGTTAAAACTTCAAAGTTCAATTAAAGCCTAACTTTTTGTTATGTAAATTCTAGTAATGCAGCCTTATGCAGACAAATAAAAAAATATCACCAACATTAACAAAAAGTTAGACATAGCTAGCCCTAACGTTAGTCATATTGTTACTAGGATTGCCATTGAACATGTGAAAAACTCAGTAACTAGTTTTACAATTACAGTTACATTACAGCGAGTTGGGTATACGGGACTACACACACATTTGGCGTTCATTCATTCATGATTAGTTTTGGGAATTTACTATATCTCTTACAAAATATTGTTGAAAAATTACCTGTGGAACGTCTTCCCACATCCTTTATGCTTCCGATTTGAGCAGTTGAAAGCCACACATGAAGGCATGTTGGTGCCTTTGGCAGTTTTATCCAGAGTATCAATCAAATCCCATTAACAACAACAGTGCGAAGTTATAGCTATTGGACCATCAACATGGCGCCGATCACGTGACACCTGCCGGATTACGGCGATGCGGAACGTCTCGCTATAATCCTTCTCCTTCTTATAATTCTGTGGATTTCACCATGACCACACTTGCTTCTTTTTTTTTGGGGGGGGGGTGGTTTTATGTGTTTTGTCTTTTGGTTGCTATTGTCCCTCATGTTGTTCTAAAAGATTCTATTTGTTATCAGCCTGATATCACTTTTGATCTCAACCTTACTGAGGATTAGCCTCATATAATACTTACATATGGTTAATTGTTAAATGTGTATTGCACTATTTTTTTTCCAAATTGCTGTACGTTTAGTTCTTATATCTGAATTTTTTTTTATGAGTTATATGGAGAAAAAAAATTAATTGAATTAATATCTATGATCTGTCTACCTGGTGGTGTAAGATTCCTCTCAATCCTAATCAATATAGTTTTGAGAAGTATTGGATTATTAAGTGTATTACACCTGTGTATTGTAGCGAATTGTTGTGATGTACATGTAGCGTGTAGCCTTTGTAAAATAATTGAATATTTTAAATATCTTTAGGTAAATTGCTGTAGTGGTTGTCAAAAGTAAATGATCAATAATGCCAAGCCGGGTAATCATTAGTTAACACTAAGCGCTTAGAAACACCAGGTGAATATTGTATTAAGCGCTATATAAATGTTATCCATTATTATTAATGTTACTGAATTTTACATACATTTTAATGGCCAATAAATAATCATCATTCTTAATACTAACCATGTTTAGTTGATACTCTGGAGGATTTGCTGTGAGCATCTTTGATGTGTTGTGTTAAGCCCTCTTCACCGCGACACAATCTCCCACATACCTGACATGTCACCTGGGCATGGTACATGTCAAGGTGATCAGTAAAGTCCTCAATATTGACATTCTGGCGACACAGGCCACATTCTAATGTTTGCTGTCTTGGCGGGCTTGTTGGTCGTCTTGGTTGGCTTGTTGTTTGTCTTGGCGGGCTTGTTGGTTGTCTTGGTGGGCTTGTTGGTTGTCTTGGTTGGCTTGTTGTTTGTCTTGGCGGGCTTGTTGGTTGTCTTGGCGGGCTTGTTGGTCGTCTTGGTTGGCTTGTTGTTTGTCTTGGCGGGCTTGTTGGTTGTCTTGGTGGGCTTGTTGGTTGTCTTGGCGGGCTTGTTGGTTGTCTTGGTGGGCTTGTTGGTTGTCTTAGCGGGCTTTTTGGTTGTCTTGGCTGGCTTGTTGGAAGGCCTCCACTGCTTTTCTTAGGTTGCTGTTCATTAGAAGAAAAAAATAGCCCAGTTAAGTAAGGATTAAAGAAGTAGACAATTTCTGATCTCTTTTTTTTCAGAATTGATTTATAATCCTTTCAATATATAGGCTAACAATACACAATTTGTAAACAAGGATCAAGGGTCTGTGAACATTCACTCTAACCATGATTTTTTATTTTTTATTTGTTCTTTTAATTTTTAATGACGAACTAACCTCATGGTAGCCGCATTTGCAGGACAGCACAGTTCCGAATACACCTAGAGCTTGCTTCCTCAAATGAAGGGGGCATGCATCGATCCTTTTCTTCACCTCCTTCCACTTCTTACCACCCGATGATTTCCCTACACTAAACCGATGTTGCCCTCTGGCGTATAATCGCATCAAATGGTCCCAATAGCTGTCCGGCTTCCCCGTCTTGGTCATTTTGCATGCTACTGTAAACAGAAGAGAAAACTGTAGAAATTAGGACTTTTATTTGACATAATTACAGTTTATTCTTCCCTGAGATTTTTTTTTTTTCACTGCTAATGATAAGTTAGAAAAGAATGGTGAAAACAAGAATAGATGGAGTGTACAATGTTCGCACGCAATTATACAAATGTATATATTATGTTATTGATTTTATGAAAAACGTGAAAGAAAAGAACCTATAATGTATATACTATCTGTTTGTAAGTTACTGTATTATTCATTTATATCCTCATGGAGAAAAAGAAGGTTAAATCCCGACTAGATCTATACAAATTTTTAAAAATTATTATTATATGTTCGAAAAGAATATGTAATTCGATTAATATTTGTATCATATATATTATACGATATACATACAACAAAAGAACCTATAACATAACTGTATTATTCATTTATGTTCGCATCATAAAAAAAGAAGGTAATATCCCAACTATATTAAAGTTTTGGTAAAGATTCAACATATCAATTATATTGGTCTCCTATGAAATATACTCAAATTCTACAATAGCATGTACATGTATATGATATAGATCTAGATCTACATGTAACGTTAGATCTAACGTTAGGCCTAGATGTGACCATTGCACCAATTCTTTATTAATTGAATCTTTGTGAAAATTTGTAGTCTATATTTGTAGTCTTCTAGACTACTTTCTAATGACCAAAATGAAAAAGCTCCAAATAGTATTATTACAAACACTGAGAATGTAGTCTAGAAAGAAACGGTGTAAATTAGGCTTTGCATAGGCCTTATATATAACTTATAAGAAGGAGATGCATTTTGAAATTTGACATGTGAATTTCATTTTCAGGGGAGAAAGAAGTAGACCCAAAACCAAGTCTAATTTGTATTTCTTAAGTGCAAACGTCATTATGAATGTTATCATCTTGTAGCAAATTTCATAAGCTTTCCAATGATGTATAATTTGTGGAGGTTTCAAATTACAAAGACATGAAAAAGATGATTTACTCGGAATGTTTCCACGCACGGGGCCGGGGCGCGGGCAGACACTGACCAAACAACTTTTTCAAGAAGGTACGGACCCCTACCAAGCCCAGGCCCCAGACCCAGCCCAAGGCCAGTGAAGGCAGTGTCCGATACGGCACTTTTTTCGCTTCGACAACATCAACTGGTGATGTTAAATGTGATGAGCATTACGAGAAAATGACATATAAACCTATGAAAACTTCCTTAAATTACTCCTGTCAATAACAAAAGCCAGTATCATTGTCCTGGGATCCTTGCTTACCTTTTCCAGGGCAGTTGAGAACTGTTTTCTTTTCTTTCCTTTCTTTTCGTCGAACTTCTGTCGCACTCCAACAGGCTTGCACAATGCACGAAGTTTGCGAGGTGTCACGTGACAAGGTTTGCACACGGCGTGCTCGCCATCCACTTTCGAAAAGTTCGGAAAGCTGTTAGGAAAGTTAGCATATCGTTCGGAAAGTGTTAGGAATGTTAGGAAAGTGTTCGCAAAGCGTTAGGAAAGTGACCCAATGTTAGGAAAGGGTAAGAAGTTGGATCCGCGCTCTGTATGGCCACGACACCTCTACATTGTCCAGTGTTTGTTTGAAAGTATAGATTAAGCAAAGAAATTCATGAGTGAAGGAAGTAAATAACTCTGCTCAATGTAATTTAATACGTTAGCAGTTGAGAGGTCCTGGCAATTCTGCTTGCATTTACATATTTCTGGATCAGTGAAATACCTTACCGTACTACAATGTATGGTAGTATACACTATAACTAAGTTTGGGGTGGTAATTTAAAATTATCTAACTTTAAAGTCTTCAAGATTTCCAAATGTGCCAACAAACTTCCATTTCCAATGACCTTTGATGATCCATGTATGATCTCTCACATCTTGTTAGAGAACATTGCTCTCACAGATACATTTGAATATGCTTCAAACTGATTTCTGTGAATAAAATGAACAGTCCCACACAAACAGAAACAGCAAATCTACATTGAGATAAAGGTCTGGCACAGATCCATTGAAATCATGAATTTAGAAGGTGAAACAATTTGTTATATTTTTTAAATAACTATTTTGACCTTTCAAACCACACTTTCACTGACACAACAAAACCGAACCTAATACAGGGCAATGTTCATATCTCTATTTGCACTGCTCCAAAGATGCTTCTGTCAAAACTAATTTGTGTACTGTGTAGGTAGTGTTGTTATGTCCGGCAAGCAAACCATTCCAAAGTATATCAATGGACTGGAGAAAATATTGAAATAAAAAATCACATACCTACCAGGTTTTTGAGGAAGTCGACAGCTTGCATTCTCAGGGAAGTTGCACTCTTTACAGGACTGCCCAGTCTGGCCATTTGATCCGAAATGCAGTGAAAAAAGCAATTTCCATCAGATGGCACGGGACGCCTGAACATCAGATTAGGAGCTTGCACATTACATTTCGGCCTTTCCAGATACGACTGGTGACTTCGCTACTTAATAGGTCCTGGGGATAAACCTTTTTATTTTTCATTAAAAAATAGATAAAATTTCAATTGTTCAACTTTCTGTGATCATTCTTTTATTTCTGGCATAACACCTTTTATAATTAAAGTAATTCTAACATTGTCGTGCCAATCATCTGTTTGACTTTCAGACACATTTCTGTAACACTGCTTATTCTTAGACCTTAAATTTGTGGAATAGATTTATAATACAGCTTCTGGAATATTCCGTAATGTCATGATGAGCACTGTATACCTAAATACAGGGTGTCCCAGAAAAAAAAGGAAACTAATCTTTTCCAGAATATATTTTATTACCAAATAAATTTGTTCAAAAGATATACATCATTATAAAGGGCATAATCTCTTCTTTCATTTGAGCACTACCAAACACATGATGATATCTCAATGAATTATCGATAAGGGACAACTTGTTTAACTGATTTTTTTTTCTTCTGGAACATAAATATGTATATGTCTGCACAGCCATGCCCTTTTTTTCCCCATATTTTATTTATTAGAGATTTCATTCAAAATAAATAATTACATAAAAATAAATGTAAATAATTCCACACAAATACAAATCTTCATTTTGTTTTCATAACACAAATAAGTTATTCACAAAACAGTGAGCAATGAAGGAGAATAATGGAATGAAATCACAAAAAAAATGTTATAACAATAATAACATACTGAACTTAGTTATTACTGTCATTCATAAAAAATAAC